TGCAGGACAATTCAGCCCTGAACCTCCTCTGAAGGAGGAAACAGGATGCAGTAAACTCGAAAAGAGGAAAGGCAGCTCCATCTAAAAGAAAACAAATCCTTCTTTAAACATAGTACAAAACGTTACACTTAAAATAAGATGCCAAGAAATCTATGTGGGAAAGGTGCCATGATGACACATCTCTGATTCATCCACGCTGGTATTTTTCTGACTGAATGTAAGAGTCCCAGAGATCTGAGGCTAAATCGCTGCTTTTGTAAGGTAATTCTGCACAAACATTATCCTGGATAAAGATCCTGTCTGAAAAAAAATCTACTTCTGCTGCAACCTGAAAAGTGTTTCTCGATTCAGAAACTTCATTTAGATTTTATCGCCGTGTTCAGTGGTGTCGGTGAATCATCAAAAGTGTGAAGTTTGGTTAAAAGGTTCCTGACAGACCCCGGCTAGAAATGAACACACTGATTAAATTAAAGCGTCCTGGGGTCTCTACACCAGCTCCTAATTAAATATTGCACAGAATGCAAATGCTCCTTACTATAAATCCCAGCATGGCCCTGCCTGAGCACACGCACAGTTAATAATGTGATGCACCACTATGAGCATGCACGCCCTGTGTGGTCCCATATTATTGATCTAGTTGTAATTTCAGGATTAACAAAAACTGATGCTCCACCCGTCTCCTGCCGAGCTTCAATATGTGAAACAGTCTGTCTTCTCAGCTCTTCTCCGTTCAGCATTTCAACCTTTTTTTGTTCTTGTTGTTTTTTTTATGGGATTTTTAACATGTTTTATCATATTCCCCAGTTCATCTCATGAATTTCATGCTGCAGGCTTTTGTTACCACAGTTCTCATGAATAAGAAGCAAACTATTTGTTTGGTTTTGTCTACGTTGTTTGTCTCCCAATACCAGCTGAGTCAAACAATCCTCCTTTTTTGCGGGCTGGAGGGTTTAGTTTTTTTTTTTTACTGAATCTGAAATACAGTTCAAACCTTTTACTTAAAACTCACTGTAAGTAAGAGTGAGGCAATTATACAGTCAACTGATTTCAGCCTGAATATCACCCTTATTGCGCGTCATAAAGGATTGATAATGGAGCAATGATAGCAGCTTGAAGGCAGGATCATTTTAAGGTTAAATCAAAAATATAGAGCCTTTTTTCCAGGGTCCGGCTTTTTAACCAGTCGCTTAAAGCTCTCCTTTTCCACTGTTTTGATTGGCATCATATCCTTGGCCAAACAATATGTAACCGCATCAGTAATTTCCATCCACTGTTTGCTCTTTCTGTCATATGGAGTACAACTAGGAAGTGCCCCAGCAGTGCTCGGTTGAGCAGTTTGTTTACTCTTGGGCCGCACATCACTAGCTGCTGGTATCTCCTCCTTGCCTTTAAAGTAGTGGTGCAACGGATCACAAAACTCACGGATCGGATCGTTCCTCGGATCAAGAGTCACGGATCGGATCATTTTTCGGATCAGCAAAAAGAAAAAAAAACAAGACAAATAAAATATATAAAAGTAGTGCACAGTGCATCTTGTTTTTAACATAATTATTAATGAAAAACAACATAAAGTACAATATACAGGCATATCTCCTTCCTTTAAAATGTAACAATGAACCAAAAATGAAGTGTGTGCGCGATGGGATGTGGCTCAAGCACTTTCAGCATGTTTTTAAAGCCCTCGTTTTGCACAACTGAATACGGCCTCATGTCTGCAGCTATAAACACACCGATAGAGTTTGTGATAGCTTTAACCCGGTCGGATTGCGCAGGAAGAGGCTGCTTAAATGCTGCGGTGATGAGCGGTTGTTGGGCAGCTTTCGTTTTATCTCAGGTGTTATGCCAAAGAATGCACCCCTGCCGTATAGTGCACCCCCTAACGGGAGCGCGGTTGAAAGTACATAACAAGGCGAAATAATACAAGTTTTCCTTACGTTGGATGTATTCAAAAGCGTTTGCCTTTAATAATTTCATTCAGGCTATTCATATCAAATATGAGATCATTATCTCCACTTTAAGAAGCTAACGGGTGGAGGGGATGCAGGGGGTGCGTTCTACGGCAGGGGTGCAATCTACGGTACAACACCTGTCAGTAAAACACCCGGGTGATGTCGCTTCAAATGCGTGAACATGCTCGATGTGTTTCCACTGTCATGTGGCTTTCTTATGCCACAGTGCCTACACTCCGTCGCAGTTTTGTACACTGACCTCTTTCCTTCTTCATCATAATTGACAGGGAAGCCAAAATGCTCCCATACAGGGGATTTAAGTGTCGCGGGGCGTTCGAGCTCCTCCTTTCTCCGCTTTCAGAAATCGATCCGCGGATCACATGTGTGCCGAACCGAATACGTCGATCCGAACGGATCACGGATCAATGATGATCCGTTGCACCACTACTTTAAAGCCTTGTTGCACTCGACCGAGCGTTTGTGCTTCAAGAAGTGAAACTATTTTGTTGCAACTCCACCTTCAGTAGAAACAGTTTTCTTCTATATTTTTCGACATAATCTGTTTTGACGGAGGTCTGATCTCTTGGAGTTAAAGCACTTCCACTCTGTTGAAGTAGCTCCTTTTTTAAAAAGGTACTAAATCATCAGGGCTGACCTGCTGCTCTCACTTCAAGACTTTTAAGTACAACACTGCGTTGCTATATCACAGGTGTGGAACTTTTTGTGACTTGAAAACTCCTACTAGCATTACCACGGGCGCAATCCTAGCCTCATTTTCCATGCAACCTGCAGGGAAGCACAAGGGTTGATTGTTGCCCAATTAGGCAGCTGTATGAATATGTGGCATTTCAGAAAATGTTGGTTTACTGTCTGTTTCCTCTTATAAAGTGACAGCAGGGTTACAAGCAGGTTCCTCAACTTCAGGGCTTTTATCCTGATTGTGCCTACGAAAAATGTCAGGCATCATCTTTAAGCTCCATGGTAACAACAAGCCACACGACGATGTTGACACCTGAAATATACATATATACTGTATGATTGTATGTATGCAACTACCGGCAACTCCATTCAAACTACGAATGCAATTTCATCCAATCCAACACAACAGCTCAACCCTAAACACTCTAATTTTCAGCTTTGATTGTCATGTCAGAGATGTAGCAATTACACTTCACATTTCTGGCGTCAACACCTCAATTTGCTTACGGTAGTTGTTATCCTGATGGTTTGTGCATCCATGAAAATGACAGACCACCAGTTGACATGTGCTCAGGAATACAAGGTTAAATTGTAAGTGGAGAAAACCTAGCTTTACTTCATTATTACGCCGAGCTGTTAAGAAATAAATCAAGCTAGATATTTTTTAATCTTCCACTCACTATACAAAAGATGTTAAAGATGTATGTGCACAATTCTCCTTAATAGTGTTTGATATGATAGACATATCACACTTTAGAGTCACCTAATATGACCGTCTCCTGTGCCGTGGGGGAGGAGAAATCTCACAAACACCTGCAGTGTGGATGTGATTTTTTGGGAAACAGACAGAAAAAAAAATCTGTTTTTGAAAATGACCTAACCTCAGTTTCCTTCGTAGCTCTAGCAGCATCCACCAGACTCCAGGTCTAATCAGGTGGTGTAATTAAAAACACCTGTGTGGGTATGCTGAGCTTTTGACTGATTACTTTCTCCAACTATACTTGACAGTAATGGGATGACTTTTACTTTACAAAAGGCCTTTTTTTAGCAGAGCTTTCATTTGTTACTGTAGGGAAAGAAGAGGTGTAATTAATGGTATTAATGATGCCTCAGTTAGACTCAGCATATTAGTGAGCACAAAGTGAGACAGAGGCAGCACTCGAAAAGTAAATAACAGGTGCACTGCCATGGCGAACGTTTTCTATTACTATATTTCAGTGTCAATCTTCTACACTGCAGAGATTTCTAACATTGAAATCATAAAAAATATTCTGTTCAGTATGTAAACCACTTTTCATAAAAACTCAACAATGTCAAGCTCTACCTGATAGATGTGAAAATGAAAAATGATGTTGATTCTTAGATATACATTTCCAATTACTGCCTGAGAGTTTGAAAGGTATCTGACAGTGAATAAGTTATGTCAAGCACAACAACGGCGTTAAATGTAAACACAGTTAGCAGAGCTTTTCACACCTGTGGTAACTAGAGTATTTAACTAGAACTACTGCGATCAAACCATCTATGTTGGTGCATTTACAGAGATATGCTTGAGAATGTGTGAACACATAATGAGTCTTTTCAGAGCAGCAGAAGAAGTTGACTAATTTGCAACGAAAATCCCATGTCATTAAGACCATCTGCTGTCCAGCTACAGAGTTTACTGAGCCATACTGTTCCTGCGTGTGAAGTCTTTCCCACTTTCATGCAATTCAAAGTAGTTATGTCTTCAAATTGGTCTCTTTACATTACTCAGCATGCTAAGACGCTAGTGTACCTTTTTTCAGGTGTGAATTGTTTAGCTGGAGATAAAAACTTTAACATTTACACACAGAGGTACAATAAAAAACTGTGATGCTATGCAGTGCATGTAACCAAACCTTGACCGGCATGACATGTTGGTTGTCAGGCTGAAATATACCTAAACTACAGCTCAGATTTTTGCTGTGTGGCAAAGAGTGAATGGTTAAAGCCTCTTTTTTGACATCCATCACTCATACAAACACACCTCACAGAATGGGGCCTAGTTTGAAGTAATAATAACTGTGCCTGGAGCTAACACGGGCACTGAAGAAGCAGGAAATCTGCATTTAAAAGCACTGCTGAGGATTTCGAGCGTATTACAGCCAGACATGTCTGCTATATGTCACCATGTCTGCAATTAGCAGTGGTGTGATAAGGAAAAAACCTGGGACATTCAACCACATTTGGTCTCATGAGGAAAATGTGTTTGTTTGTGAAATGGCTGAGGAGCCTTGATTATAGACGCTCAATTTTACACATTTGTCAATCATATTCTATATGAGTCCAGTAAACAAAAGCTTATCACACAAAACCCATAAGCTCACACAGCCTGAAGCAGGGACACATAAAATCAACGACTTACACTAATTGAAAACAACAATCAATAACCAAACAAGCTTAAGCACAATCCCAGATGTGACCCCTGCTCAACAATCAATGACCAAAACTGCAATGCTGATCAACAGACCGAGCCGGTCCTGCAAATAGAAGCCACACACAGTCCTTCCAGGCTAATGTTCAGCACAAAGAGTGATGCAACATATAATTTAAAAAGAATTACTTACTTCTTCTCTTCACGGCTATGGCCAAAGGGGATCTGGACGAGCTGAGAGTTCATCTCTTGAAGAGGCACATCTTCTTCAGTGTCTGATTATAGTTGTCCAACATGTCCTGTGCAGCCTTTCTTTAGGTGAATGTGGCATTTATCTTGCTGTCCAGTCCATTACATAGGCCTTCTATGGATGAATAAACTCTGCAGCAGCTTTACTCAAACTTAAAGACCACTTCTTCCCTCTTGTCACGTTAGGCAGATCCAGCTTGTGTCTTCAAAGTAGCGTGGTTAATATTATTGTACCTTCTGCTTTTTGCAAGCAACAGGTGGTTATTTCTTTTTGTGGTCGCTTCCCGTCATGTAACTTCTCGTGACCGGAAGAAGTGCTGGTTTGATTTGACGCAGCTGCGGACGTGCGGAATGCTAACAAGCGCGCGAGGAGCGTCACGCAGAAACTACGACCGATATGAGCAATATCGGTTTTATTTATCCCAGTTTAATTAGAAAGACTTTTATAGACACCAGTTCTGCATATTGGGACATATAAAGTCGCTGGGATAAACCTTCCAAAGTTACCTTCTTTCACCTGACGTTACGCATAAAAATGGTGGCCGGAAGTAGCATTTTTTTTTCTACTGTGGGAAATTGTGGCTATTTAAAGGGGAGGCGCAAGTTTATTTACACAGCGACATGAAGTACCCCTTTGAGCATTTTTTGGCCTAAAAGAGGTGTAATAGACGTATAAATGTAGCCTAGACGATTGGTCTAAAATCAGGCTACCACAGGTCTAAAAATGAAAGTTTTTTTAGACGTCTGAATTTAGACCAAGTTTGGACCAAGTCTAAATCTAGGCTATATCTTTACTACACTGTATTTTGCTCAACGACTATCGTTATTATTTTGGTAAAGTACTTGGAGATCAGTTATGCAACTCACAGTTGCTTTTTGAGATAAATAGTTATCAAATTATGGGTTCAAGTGCAACCGTCTAAAAATATACAGAATCTAGACAGTTGAAATTAGGTCTTTAAAAAAAAACTAGACATCTAATAGCCGTCTATTGCTCAGTGGGACGAAAGGCAAATCAAAATGCTTTACACTGCATTAAGAAATGTAACAGTATTAAAGAAAAAAAGGGAAATCAGTTATAATTAACCTTTTTTTTTTTTTTTTTTTTTTTAAGTAGACAGGTTTCTTGTGTACAAACAATAGTAGGTGCGCGCAACCAGGGGGCAAAAGCCTTCTTCTGAGTAAACAGATATCAGTGAAGATGCCGTATTGTTTGCAAGTTCTCCCTGAAACAATTGCAAAAAAATGTCATGAATTTCACTCAATTTACCAGGTTGTGACATTGTTTTAGATGTTTCTAATATCAGGAGCAGTGTCGTAATGTTTGCCGATAGCTTGTTTTGCCGATTCGTGCAGTTTACAGCACAACAGCTCCTTGTCATTTTGGTTGCAGAGCAAGTAATGATGAAATAATATGAATTCAGTTTACTGGAATAGGATATAAGTAATTATGGACTATGTTCAATTAATTTAATGTGATTACAGTCAGCAGGCCTACAAGTAGCTAACTCTAGCTTTATGTTATTAATGTCGGTGAGGCTGATGTTCATGTCTGCAGCAACAGTCCAGAGGAACCTAAGAGAATAAGGAGGTCAGGGCCTGAAGCAGACAATCATAAATGATGAGATTGAAACCATCAAGGGGTCATTTGCCCCTTGCCTCAAACTGAGGTTTTTCAGTTATTAAAATTCTTTTCTCTTGGTTCCCAAACCCCATGTAGGTGTCCCCTGTTGATCTTGTACCTTGCACAGCCTAAGCTGACCTTGATACATAATATCAGCAGCTACTGTTTATATCACTGTTACAGTTATCAGTTACTGTGTTTTATACAGGCCTACCCATTTTTATTGTATTTTTTTATAAAAGATAAGTTCTTAAACTTTTTGGAGTAGACTTTCAAAACAAGTTGAATGATTTCTAAAGTAGGTCTCCATCTCCCAGTTTCTTTTGTGCATTACTGATTATATAAGAGGCTCAAACAAAAGCTGTACTATTTCTTACTGAACACCACCAAATTCAGACTTAACTCTCACCAGCCAGCAAGCACATGCAAATCCTCTATTCTTCTTAAAGGATATCTTCCTTTGCAGTGGACTATTAATGCACCATATGAGTTATGGTAAGTGTGTTTTTCTTAGAGACCTAATCATTCAGGAGCCTGAGCGCCGCCAACATGTTTCCCCGCAAATTAAATGTGTCCACTCTGTAAGAAAATGTTAAAAGGATGGAAAATTAATGCTTGGAAATATCACAGGGTCCAAAAGGTGCCCATTGTGAGGAATGGCTCTTACAATAACTAGCTGGCAAGGTCTGCACATTTCTTTCTCATTTGTATTTTTCAATGTAACACACTGGTCAATGGAAGTGTTGTGCAACAGCATAATTAGTCACAGAGAACAGGAGTTATGTAATTTAATTTATCATTCATCCAATTATACATTTTCCCTACCTTTTTATCAATGATGCATGTGCGTTTTTAGCAGTCAATGTGACGGCTTACTATAATTAATTCATCTCTGAACAAACAATGGCTATCTATAATTATATCAGTGTTATCTGAGGCTCCATTACAGTAAGAAGATGAACAAACACATTATGATGCACATTACAACTGCATTTGACATTAAATTACAGGATATGCTAATTTGCAAAGCGTCATATATAACCTAATATTCCCATCTATATGCAGGTTATATCATTGCATTATTTCCAGGCTGCTAGTTAATGACTTCATTGGCTGAAGCCTAGAATATAGGTTGTTGTGTGTAATTTACACTGCAATCCCATCAATCTCTGTTGTATCCATTGGCTTGGCTATACCGATGCCCGACACCGCCATTATTCCATCAACAGCCTGTCAGTGCAGAGGAGAGTGAAAAACAGCAGCCAGAGATCGTGCAAGAAGAAAACAAGCAGCTGCAAATTAGAATACTGATGTTTTCTGTAGCAAAGGCTTCATATGAGTCCCTACATGCCTGCCAGAGCTGGAGCGCATTTCGATTTTTAGACGGGGGGAAGGAAATACTGTGTTGTCAAAGGCTTGCTTCTAGGGAAACAAACAGCCAACATATGCATGTCACCTTGTGACAATTTACCTCCTCGGGGGGTAGAGTGAGGCTTTAAAGAACTGAAACTTTAATAAGTTAGGAAATTACCTACTTGGCTTTGACAAGAAGTGCTCCACTTGCAAAGGGGTGACTCAAAATGATCCCAATTACATTCAAGGTTGAAATTCTGCTAAATTCGCATACTGATCACAAAACAATTCCTCCTCTTTCTGTTGCAGTGTCTCCTACAGAGAAATATATTCTACATCACAGGGTAGATAAGAGAAACATGTTGCATGCCCTTTGCTAGCTTCAGTTTGATACTCCTCCCTGAATTAATGGCCTAGAAAAAAAATGCATTTAATGCTATTAGAGTTCACTGTATATGGATCTGCAAACCCACAGACAAAGTTAGTCAACATCCATGTTTTAAGTCTCAGTAAGCCGAGTAAGCACACAGTCAAGCCTTTTTGGTGCATTTGTTAGATTATGACCGGCAGATTATTTGTAAAGTATTTGTCCCCAGGTGTTCCAAGCTTATTCTCCACCTCCATGATGCTCAACGGTAGAGATTAGGCTCTGAGGAAAATCTCTCCCCTCAATGGACAGCCAACAAAAAAGGTCCAAACAGACACAAACACACTAAGCATGTGTAGCCAATCAGCTTTCTGCTTTGCTTGAGCATGCTCCCCCTCTGGGCCCACTGATCCAGGCAGAGAAAAGACCTCTTTTTTTCCCCCAGGATCCGTAATACCTGCATGATGACTGTTATGCTGCTGCCAGCTGCAGCAGCCTCACTCAATCCCACCATCTCAGTACACCACACACAGAGAGCACACAGGCCTGAGAGCAGCCAGTGGAAAACACACTGAAGCTCTTTACAGCCACCTGCTGTGCCTGATGTAATACAGCATTTTGCACTGATGGAATTGCTGTATTACATAAATTTAAACTGCATCTGCTCTTTTGTCAAAAATAAATAAATAAATATCCGGTATGTGAATATTTAATGAGCTATATAATTACCTCCCCAAAGGAGGTCATGTTTTCAGTGATGTATATGTACCAGCAGGATTATGAAAAGATTACAGGCCTGATTTGAAAGAAAACTTCGTGAGAGCAGCATGCTCCAAAGACACATAATATTTTTGGCATGTTTTCATTGAACTAATTAACTAAATTAGTCTCAAGGACATTTGAATCCAGCAAAAAAAAAATCTGACTTACACAGAAGCACAAATTTCCCTCTTTGTTGTACTGATTGGCATTTTAGTCTTAAATTTACATATTTGTACATACTGTGTATACACTGCTCAAAAGATAAAGGGAACACAAAATCATCCTAGCGTAAGTCAATAACACTTCCAGGGTATCAACCTGTCCACTTAGGAAGCAATAATGATTGTGGATCAATTTCACCTACTGCTGCACAAATGGGATGGACAGCAGGTGGATAGGAGAGGCAATTAGGAAGACAAACCCTATTAAGGAGTGGTTTTAAAGGTGGAGGCCACAGACTGTTTTCCTCTCCTTATCCTTTCTGACCAGGAGACAGGCCAGCACACCAGGAGAGGTAGAGGGGGCTGTAAGAGGGCAATAATCCAGCTGCAGGACTACTCTCTGTACCTTTGTGCAAGGAGGAACAAGAGGAGCTGCCAGAGCCCTACAAAGTGACCTCCAGCAGACCACTCGTGTGTATGTCAATCCAACCTAGCACCTCTGGGACATCATGTAATGTTGCACCATGAACTGTCCAAGAGCTGGCTGATGCCCTGATTCAAGTCTGAGAGGAGATTCCCCAGGAGACCATCTATCATCTCATCAAGAACATGCCCACATGTTGTAGGGAATGCAGAGATGTGTGGAGGCCATATACACTCCTGAACTTTTTCTGAGCTTTTGATTTTGAGTGATTCTGAATCCAGTAATGACTTTGGCTCCAGTAATGACCTTTCTTATGTTATTCTTTCCGCAACAAATTACACGCTGTAATCAATAAAGATTTTCAACTGAAATATTTCTTTCAGTTCTGTGATGTGTGATTTGACGTTATTTTTTGAGCAGTGTACTTTAAAAAGCGTAAAATTTATCAATTTGAGGCTAAATAATACTCTAAGAACGGGCATGAAATTCAGGGTTAGCCATGGTTTGATATGACCTTAAGATTTGATAGCAATTTCAGATCTCTACAGAAGTAAAGAGTTTATTCCTTTCAGATTGTACACTCAACTATCTTAACTCAACTGAGTTTGTTTTATGGATAAATACACTAATGGTTTTGGAAATTCCTTTCATGGAAATAAAGGATAAAAAAGAAGAGTATTCATTGGATAAATCATGGTTGTTGTGTTGAGTGTGTACATAATTCTCAATAAAACCGCTTTAGTTGAATGGAATTAAATACTCATCTTATTCATGTGTTCAGCAGATCCACAGTCCTCTAAATCTCTCAAGGTTACACTAATTAATTTTCTATTTTTGATATGAGAAGTGCAAGTTGAATCAATAATTAAGATAAAATTATCCCAGCAATTCCAGAAACATGTTAGCCCTGAATCTAAGAGTTATTAAAAAACTGTGAGACCTGCAAATCAAGCGTTAAAAGTCCAGAAAACACATTTATCTTTGGATCTCTTCTGCCAGAGACAGCAGATTGCAGAGCAGAGTATTCTGCTGGGAAATACAAACGCCTTGAGCTGCCAAGGGGGTAAAATTGCTTGTGTAGAGGCTTCATAGTGCTGCCCACGATTGTGTATGCACGCCAGGTTATATGTCTTCCAACACAATAAATTTCTTCTCATAGTTCAGATTTTATATTGATTTAATTGAGTATACAAAGGTCAAAGGTCGTGACTTTGTGTTCTGAATGCAGACTTCAATGCTGCTTTTAAACCGCTGTTTAAATTATTGCGGCTTCATTAGCGGTTGAGTGCTTGTCATGGATGATTTGCACCCTGCATATCAAATCGCCCATCTCAAGGAGAAAACAGCATCACAGTGGTTCAGAGGATGATCTGCGATCAGTTCTCCGTGCTTTCTCATTAACACCGGAACGGTTGTCTTTTGCAATTATCACTTAGTTCATACAACAATTAGCAGTGTGGTCTCTCTTGTGAGGTTTCATTAATACAAACTGCATCCATGCACAGCAGTAAATGACTCAACTGCAGTGCTGCACTTTGTAATTAGTCTTAGAATCAACGTGTGTTAACATGGTGGGTTGAAGTGTCTAGCACTGAATGTTTTTTACTCCGTCTTCAGCCAAAAACATGATAAATATTAACCCTGAGAGATTAAAAATCCAGGTTACCTCCTGAAAATGGCAAGTATGTTTTTATAACATAAATAAAAAATAATTTCATAAAGCAGCTCTTCTGTTAAGAATAATCAGGGATTAAGGTTACATAATATAATCCATATTTATTTACTCGGGTATTACTGACTCATGGTAAACATTCAAACTCTTAGTGGTAAAAAAGGGGCTTCTTAAAATGTTCAGCAGCCTGCCACAGAGGCAGGTGAGAAAGAAAAACGAAATACACGGTTCCACAAGGTGTTATCTCAGGACTGATCCCTCTTTTCAGAGCAATTAGAAGCTTGTAGATTTCTGTCTCTGTTACCGACTTAATATCAAGCTGTAGAAGACGGCTCAAAACAGATCCCCTCGCCTCTCATTTTATGTGCTAATTAAGAGTCATCAGCGTTATTCACTATGGTAATTTTGTCATTGAACCGCTTCAATCGATTAGTGCGTAGACACCCAATCTCTTTATAATATGCACAGCAGGAACTACAGCAATGAGATGATTTCTCCTTTTAGGGATGTGGGTCTTTACACCACAATTAAATGCTAATAACCTAAACCAAATCTCCATATTGAGAGAAACTAAATTTAGACCCGGACCACACAACAGATTTTTGAGCAAAACGAGCTCTATAAATGGTCGGGCTTCATCATTTGCATTCCAGTAGTACAGCTGCTTCACCTGCTGCTGACAAGCTCATAAGGGCCACATTTGATCCTTTACATCAAAACTAATGAAGACCGCTGGCACCGGCTGCAAGCATGTTAATCTCACAGGAGAAACCACAGATGGAGGAAAGGTGAAAACAAAGCAGCTGAACGATGTAGAATCTGGGCAGAAGACATCCATTTTTTACTCCAATACTAGAATCTCAGGTGAGCATGTGATCGCAACTTCAACACATGACAAATACACTCTGTATTCTCGAGGACGCGTCTTCCTTTTTGTAATGAGAGTGAGCAGCATCTGCACCCGCCTCTCACCCTTTGTAATCAGCCCAGGCTCAATGTGGGAAACAATGATTAATACTGCAGACATGCAGCACTTCCACACCTCGGTAACAAGACAAAAACACTGTCCGTGTGTGTTCCACCTTCGCAGCACGTGACTGATGAACAACTCTATTATAATCATCTGGATTCACACTGGGACTCATTCTCTCGTCTACAGATAATGAAGCTGATTTAGTCACACTTGAGAACACAGTTGATATGTGAGGGTGATTCTGAGCACACAGAAAAAAAGGGTCTAGATAAGTTTGTTTAATTTGAGCTTGAAGAACTTGAAGTGTTCAAGGCCAGTGAGATTACATCGTGTCACATCAGTGTAATGTGGTTCTCATTGTTAAAACAGGTACAGCAGGAATTAAATAAATAAGTACAGTGTGGTGTAGGTTAGTGACAGCCAGATAGGAGTGAAGGACAAGCTTTAAGTGTTCAGCTCAGGGAGAGTTCTACATGTATGTTTGTATATCGTCTTTAAAGTCTAAATGTCTTTGCTGCTCTTCATTCCCACCAAGTGTCCATTCTCCGTACGCGTACTCTCTGCTTATAGTGGTATTCTTTCAGGTGCTTTTTCAAAGCGTTTGGAATGGGAAGCATGTTAATGCCATCATAGGTAGTGCAACTGCTTATGGCCGCTCTGCAGATGTGTTGCAGGGTGAAGGGCTGTGTACGGTGGATGGGGTTTGACAGCAGCGGCTCGAAGAACATGCACGAATTGGGGTCCTTGTAGTGCTCCAGCAATCCTGTGACAGTCGGAGCGTGGAAGACACTGGGGTCGTGCACGTCAAAGCTAAAGTTGTGATTCCACTGTTCGATGCGGGCGTGTAGCGAGCGGCCGTAGCGGCGGAAGCTGACGGAGAAGAGGTAGTCTTCCTGTGCAGAGTCGCGTAGGAGGAATGTGCCTTCTGGTTTTCCCTCCAGCAGTCTTTCAGCCTCGTAGCGGTCCATGACCCCCCAGTAACACGGGAGGTTGGTGATCTGCAGCAGGTCTGGGACTAAACAGTGAATGTAATCGATCTGGGTGTGGATGCGGTAGCTGTCCTGACATTTTTGATGATCTGTCTGAGGAAGTATGGCTGCAGAGGGCATGCTGGTCGCTGTAGCCTCTGGGTCAACCAAAGAGTCGGGAATAGTATCAGAGGTGTGGGCGGAGGCGGAGGCAGAGGCAGAGGCTGCAGCTGTGGCCACCACCTCATCCAGAGTGTCCAAACAACTCTGAAGTAGGAGCTGATGCTGCTGATGTCTTTGGAGAAGAAGCTGTTGCTGCTGATGAGCGGAGGCTCTATCAGCTCCAGCTAACTCATTCATACCGTGCGCCAGTTTAGGGCCGTGCTTGTAGAGAGGGTTGATTTGGGCGGTCACCTCAAATGTGTGGATCTCTGCGTTGGGTGGTGGCTCAACGCCTTGTTCAATGCTGATGCGCCTGCGCTCTCGCAACCTGTCGTCTACGTCCTCCACCACGGTAGCCATTGCTGAAGTAGGAGCACTGCACACTACTGCGGAATCGAGCACAGGAGGCTGGGTGATGGGGGCTGTGTGTTGTTTAATGAGATACCACTTCTGAGCCAGCTCTGAACCTACAGGGAAAGGGCAGTCATCCAACATCAGCTCGCTCAGATGGATTTTACGCCTGGAGGACGCACAGACAGTTGATGATGAAAAAGCTTGCGGAGGTGGTGCGGGTGCTGTTGCGCTGTGGGATTTTATTGGGAAACACTGCCCCATGGCATCCTGGATTTTTTGGCGGAGTGTGCGACTGCTGCTTGACCCTCTTCCCTCCCCTTCACTGGTTGTAAGTGAGTCTGTAGCAGAGCTAACAGGTCCTGGCCTGGCTGTTGCCCGTTCCTGTCCAAGTAATGAGGCAGCGACTTCCAAACCCTGCCATCTCCAGCTCTCCCTCAGAGGAGAGGAAGAAGACTGATCCCTGTTCTCAAGGTCGCTCAACAGTTCACCATACTCAAAGCCGTCGCTGACAGGCCTCTCAGCTACTGGTTCATGGGAGGCGAGGCCTTTCTTCTTCCCCTTTCCACCTTTCCGTCCACTGCCGGCATCACGTCTCTCCTCTGACCGGCTCTGTCTCACCTTGGGCCTTGCGCCTCTCTCTCTATCTTTCCCTCGGCTCCCAGAGTCCTTCGGTAATGACATGATGGATTATGTGGCGAAACAGCAAAAGTTTCACCACTCCAGGGAATCGCCAAGGGACAACTTGTAATTGCAGTTAGCTTCTGGAAGAAACTTTTCTATCCACATCCCCCATGCGAGAAGTCATTATCATTGTCCATGCATTATCACTTCAGGGCTTTAAAAACCTGCAAAACATAATGAGAGTTCTGCTTAAAGCATACGACGAACAATATGGAGTCATGTATTATCATATTGGAAGAGATACCTACTCAGTAGCCAGTACATCTGATTTTGGATATTCAAAGTACTTACACAGTTAAAAAAAAAACATGTTACAGATCAGTAGATTATATTCAAAGGATGTAGGTTGACATAATAATGACACTGAAATAAACAACAGAGCTGGCACTGTGCTGATTTGGCTATTACAGGTAGGTTTTGAAACAAGGTCCTGATCCAAAACCACTGGATGCAAACTTTTAAGGTCTTGAGTAGCTTATCTAAGAGAGGCTACAGGCTCTTTAAATTACAGTTTCACATAAGTGAAGCCTTCATTATATTTGGGAAAATGCAAGAAAGAGCCATATCACTTTTTTTCTGGCTAGACTGCATTAGTCTACATCCTGATCCAGAGCAATAGTACCCTGGCTTCTCGGATTTGGAATGAAGGAGTTTCAGTTTCAGGTGCGCCTACTTTCAATTCTGCAAAACAGGGGGGAAAACTGTGAAATCATCCTTTCTTGCGTTTTCAGATAAGCTTTCAAAAACCTGAAACTGTGTTGAAGAGATTAAGGCCTCTTTATTCACTTAATTTAGGTCAGATAAGGAGCAAGCCCAGGAGTTTTTCTGGATCAGTATGGTCTTATGTGATCTAGTGATAAAATATTAAAAAAAACAAGTTGAGAGATCACCCCTTTTCCCATTTTTCACCAACTAAATGAAAGCTACACAAATCTGAAACTGTGTTTGAGACTGCACCATCTCTTCCATGACCTTGTCCAAATCTGACAAATCTCAGTGTAGTTGTTTTGGCTGAAGACCTTGTTTTCGTAACCTTGCCTGTAACAGCTGAATCAGAGGAATAAGATGCTAACTTCAGCCTTATACTGTAAGTGCAGGCTCAGCTGAAACCAACCACACGATTGTGCTGGTTCTGACTCCTCTAAAGGTGATCAGGGCTGTTAGTTTCGCTTATCTTTTTAAAATCATATCAACAGAACCGTGGTATACATGAATCACTCTCAAAAAAAGAAAAAAACAGAAAAAAAAAGTTTACCAGCCCAGCCATAACACTATGAACACCTTAAAGGGCTATTCAGGCGTAAAATCAATTTAGGGTCAAACACACCGTAACACCGAGTTAGACACCCCGTCGAGAGATGAATGTTAACAACTACCACAGGATAGTAATACACAGCAGTCTTAGGAGCCATAAACAAACCTCAACCAAAACACAACTCTATAGCCACAAATAATGCTCAGACCAGCATCTAGAGAAGCAAGCGGTCGGCAACATTCATCTCTCGACGGGGTGTCTAACTCGGTGTTATGGTGTGTTTGACACTAAATTAATTTTATGCCAGAATATCCCTTTAATGCAACCTAATACAACAGCTTTCCTGTACTTCCTTCTGTTAGAAAGCTGCTATGTGTGGATTTTTTGTTGTTGTTGTCATGGTCAATTAGGTGACAGATGCTCTTTGCATTCACTAGTAGACATTAAAATGGGTGTTGGTGGTTTATAGAAGTGTATTATATTGGGAGGTGCTCCTATTGTTCCCTCCCTCACGTCATTCAATGAGGTGGACAAAATGTAGGGAACGCCAAAAGTAAGTATAAAGCACTATAACCATCCGTCTGATCTTGTCAACAAAAAAGTGAACATTTAAATGCTTTTTGGAAATAGAATTTGTGATAAATTTGTTGTACTGGATTGAATTACATTGCTCGGGTGCTCATAATACCATGGCTGGTCGGTTTAAGTACATCAGAGCAACTTATAAAGCATCGATATCTTTAAAAGTTTCACAAAGTTTGCCGATATTTTCCATAAGTGAACATTTAGATGCTTTTTGGAAGTAGAATTTGTGTAGATTTGTTGTACTGGGTTTAAGACTCCCTTAAGTCTGGAGCACAGTCTGGCAAAAAAAATCAAGACTAATAACTGCTATTTGTTACAGTTATTTATCAAAAAGCTGTCATCTACGAGACAACAATGTAAAAACACAAACTGACAGAACACTAAAGAATTAGTATAAGCTATTTTAAATCAGTTACTGAGACAAAAACACTCTTTTCGTCCTAAAATATGTAAATAATTGGACTTTTTCCTTTTTCAAACGTGCCAACCATTATCGTACCGATCACGAAGAATAGAACTTTTTAAATTTAGCTCTAACTTTTATCAGCTAAGTGTTACAAAACAATTCAACTCCTAAAACAAACCCACGAATCAACTATTTAATATAAAACATACAATATGAGAACATTAACCTTCGATACCAGGCTAAACTCTTTAGCTTAGCAGCTGTTTACGGTCGACGAGCTACATGCTAGCTCTGCTATTATTTACGTCAGGAAGTACGGTTGAATTACTTTAGGACAACTTAAACGCGGCTTTCTTAAACAAAACAAAAGATGTGGACATACCTATGGAGTTGTTGTCAAGTTTCCATTCGAAAAAGCGGCTGTTTTCTCTTTATATAAACTAACGACGGTAACAAAAAGGCGGCTAGCTCACATTAGCTTGATAAATGAACGGCTGGGACGGTACAAACCGGAAGTGAAAAGTTCTCGAAGTCGCTCATTGGACAGCGTCGATATAAGAAGGTCGACTATAAAAATAGACAATGAAAGGGATTAAAAAAAGGACACAAAGACTAGTTTTTGTTTGATAAAAATGCGTGTTTAATGTGTAACAAAATAAAGAGACAAACACAGACCACGAAGTGAAGTTGCAAAAGAACTGAACCTCTTTTATTGGGACTGTCAATGATCAGACGAATGCTGCACACTTCAGACCATTCACACACATATGAGTGACAGTAAAAAAGTAGAGAAGGCATGGGATGCAAAAGGTTCATAAAATATTAGAAAATGTCTGGGGAAGTCATCAGAATTAAATATAAATTGTACAAGACAAATATATATGCAATGGAGCCTACAGCTGGCTGCACTGTTTTCATAATGATGCCTGGCAGGGACAATAACATGATGTTGGGACCACTTGGTAGAAAGTCTCCATTTGACACAGGCTCTGTACCTCCTAGTGGATGCTCGCGATGTGAAAATGCACCAGGCTGAAAATATGAAGTGCATTTTCCCCCCTAACTCATTTCATGCATCACTGGAATGTAAACATGGAGTAAACATATTTCCTTGGCCTGCTATTAGTGTTCAGTTTCCTCATAATCACGTGATTTGTGGCTCAGATAAGCATCGTCACCCCCTGCTGCGTCTTCATTTTATGCATAGACACTTGCAGAAATCTGCTGCACTGTACCTCTGTGTCTATTTGTAGTATTACAAAGGCTGTCAAAGGCTACAGAGGCTATGAAAAGGATAATCTGAGCCATTTGTAACATAACACAATTGGTTTACAGTATAGTGAACAGTTATGAATGAAAAAAAAGCCATGTCTTAAAGTTGTCAGCATTGTAAGTCCTTTTTTTGAAGGGGGGTATAGGTGATACTTAAAGTAAGTCAGATCTATCCAAGAGCCTGCTCTGAAGAAATCCATGACTAGAATACTACTCAAGACAATTAACTCGGCATATTGAGGATGCTGGAGCTGTGCATTTCAGGCACCACATGAACAGTTTATCAGGACATGACAGCTAACAGTTCAATCACAAGGCCAGGAAAGCAATTCTCTCTTGCTGCCGCATGACTAGAAAAGCAGGCGTTACATGCCTCATAGTCATTCACGAGGGTAGAAGGCTTTTGTAGTAAGGTTCTACCCTGCCAGCTCATGTGCGAGAAGGCGTCAGTTCTTTAACGTGTTACATAGTGAGATAATGAAGTATTCATGACATCATATAACATGAAATGGGCATTATCCCAGAGAGATGTAAACAGTGACATATAGGCGATATAAACATACAACATGAGTTGAAAGATTTCTGCCTCTCTCTGGCTGTTGGCGACTATGGACACCATCAACCACCATGTCCTCTATCTACAACAGTGCTGTATTAGTGTGACAAAAACATGCGATTATAGAAAATAAGCATAAGTTATCAATATCAAGGGAGAGTAAAAAATACAATTGGAAAAGATATCTGTAAATAACCATCTTTACTACACAGACCTCCTATGGCTCTGCTGAAATAAAAAGTGAATGGTTATCCCTGCCTTATGATGCAACCAAAAGTGATCCGAAAGTTAAGACCATATTTCACATACATGCACCTCCGCTCTGCCACATTCAAAGACAGAGGCTGTATAAGACAGTTTTGGATTCAACACTGATACCACATGATAATGTTAGGGTTCTGAGACTGAAACACATTGAGACACAAACAGAAAAATATGGACATTGTCAAGCACCTTGAAAATTATGATTCATCAAATCGTCAAGTTGGCCGTTTGAGGAAAAGAAAAAGGGGGCACTGTGAGGGCAAGGTGCTGCGCTTCTGATCATTTATTATGAGATCAAGCTTCACTTTCCAGAGCAAATGGTGAGGGGTCCAGGGGACTGAGATGGGTTTCATTTCGTTTTCTCACCCGTCATTAGAGTGTAAATCGAAAACACAAGCCCCTCCTCGCTCTTATCAATTCGGTATCAGATCAGCTCTCACACAGTACAAACCCCACCAGCCCTTATTCACCCCTCTGGGGATTCCTCGGCACAAAATGAGATTCATCATCATTTATGTAGTAGGGACTAAAATAACAGAGACAAATTGCAGCTGGCATAAATTCTTCGAACTGCTGTTCTTTTGAGAGAGAAAAAAAAAAGAAAGAAAATCATACCATTCTGTTGCATTTCACCACAAATATCCATCTCAAAATAACAATCGCACAACCCTTCTCTTTGGCTTTGTAGAAGTTTGGAGGACAGTTGCTTCTACTTTGATAATGTGTTTTGGGAAAACAACCGAGACAAAAGGGTTTGGTTGGATTACAAGCTTTTCCTAAATCCTTTTGGACCTCCTTTGCCACCAAAATGTTCTCTAGAGAGAAGAAAAAGAACAGAGGAAAGCTGTCTAAGTTTCAACCAACACAAGCTTTCTCTAGTGGAACAATTTGAGCAACCAGAAGAGTGTATCTGTATATCCACAGCTGTCTTCAAGTGGAACCTTAGTGAGTTCAACCTAGGGCCAATCACAGTTTAATGGCTAATATCAGATATAATTTAATAAAAGTGCCTTACTTCTGGCTGGAAATGTTCTGAATCTACACACCATGTGGTGCAGGGGGCTGTGACTGTCAGTGTGTTGTGGGAGGACGCCTTGCTCCAAGGCAGGAAGAAAAGAAGAGTAACTAACAGGGCAGAACCCTTTTAAGACAGCACCAATCCACCGTTTTTCTCTCAGACCACGGCAAACTGAGCCTCTGCACACCATGTCACAGTCCTGCAGGTGACATGGAGCAGTTTGCTTTTTTTTTTTTGTCTCCTCTGTCCTGCAATATAATAATCATCTGTATTCCATTTTTTAATAAACTTAGTTGTATATAATAAAGTACAAAAATATTAGAGAACATATACACAGTTTTTTTTGTCATTTTGTAGTGACTGCTTTGCCTGGTTTTCTTAAGCATACGTATATCTTTGTGCTGGATGATGAGGAACTTAACGGGCCTCAACTGAAGTGTGTTTCTCCTTCTCTTTTTCTCATATTGTCGATGTCCGGTCGGTTCCATCTGAGGGGAGAGTAGAAATAAATATGTTTCAAGACATTTACAGACATAAAATACTCAGCACCATTCCCACTTCATCTTTTAAGGCTTGCCTCCTTTCCTGTCTTTTCCCAGGGCAGAAAAAGTTATTGATGCTCTTTTTATGTGCCCATGAATTTTGACATTCATTGCATTCCTTCCCTTGCCTTTTATTGTATGCCTGCCATTGAACTAAGCATATCTTATTTATTAGATAATTATCAGGATTTGGAGCAGCTCCTTCCAGGGAGTTGAGCAAATACAACTCAACGCTGGAGGAAAGTATGGTTTTTATGTCACCACTATTGCTACTTTCTCAAAAATTCATATCAATCTGTCATGAGTGAAACAAAAGTGTGGTAAAATTTGATGGCATTTACACAACGAAGATGTATTCTGTTTCAGTGTGTTAGAATAATACAGCGCGCACTACTGAGAGTAGGAAAGGGAGCCAAACATGGTTCCACTAACCCCAATCCTGAAGTGAACTCAGACTGTACAGACAAACACAAGAAGACATAAATAAGTCTGGTTCTGCAAAAGAGATAAACCAGTAAAATCTCTCTGATTCCATCAAACTCATAAACATATAATAATCATAATCGACATCATACACAGCCACTGAGCTTAACCTTGTTTGATATAAAGATGTAAATGTTTTCATTCAGGCACGCTGATTCAGTGCATCTCTGCTCCACAGCAGGAAATACCTTATTGCATAATTCAGATGTGATTAAATATTAACATACAATTATAACTAATGAAACATGCACATTTAAAGACTTTCTTCTCTATGCGCATATTAAAGGTGTGAGTGAATTGTTCAAATTTGCAGTGCTATCCCTAGAGGAACAAACTGTTCATAAAAATGCCTGTTTTTTAAACATAATGAGGTGTTGTTCTCTGAGTGGTACTTGTGTGAGGTCTGACAGCCAGAGCCTGTTTAAAGCAGGGCTGCTGAGGACACTTACCCCCTAAGGCATGCTCCGTCATACTGAGGCACAGTGACTCCAGCGTGGGGTTGATCTCCAGGTCGGCACCTGGAACTTGGCATTCTGAGGGAACAAGTAGAAACAGACCACAAGAATGATTGGAGATATATTTGCATTAGAAGTGCATGTTTTATGACAAAGCTGAATGATTACAGGCTACGTTCACACTGCAGGTTATGATGCACAATTCAGATTTTTTGTTAAATCCGATCTTTCTGTGGGGTCGTTCACATTACAACAACGAATGCGGCATCTAATGTGAACGGAATGCGTCTGTGAACTTAAGTGACCCGCATGCGCACAAAGCACAAATTGCTTTCTGCGTCTGTTTGTGTTGTCGAACAATGGTGACGTTTATCGCATATTGATGATGTATAGGTCGGATGAACGCGACCTGAGCGTCCACACTGCAGTCACATCGGATACATATCCAATTTATATCCACATACAAAAGAGGCCTGGGTTGGATTTGAAAAAATTAGAATTGCACCGTTCACATTTACATGAAAAACCAGATATGTGTCACATATGGTTAAAAAATCAGAAGTGACCTGCAGTGTGAACATAGCCAAAATTCTTTGAATCTGATTTGTGCAAAGTAATATTCAGAAACTTATTGACCTCATGGAATAAAATCTAGTTGATGTTAAATGCTGTGAGTTATTTTAGATTTTAGTCGGCAAGACAAGTTTTACCATATTACAGACTCTTTGACAGTTTGATTTAAAGTTTACAGCAGCATCTAATGTTTCCGCACCAATCTAAATGACAGTACCCGTGCAAAATTCAAGGTTAAGGATTAAGTGGATCACCACAGCAGCTCTTTAGAGAGTGTCTGTTTTATTTTCGGGGACATAAAATGTGTCAAAATTATGGATCTGTGCAGTTAGCCAACTAAATGATTTCAACACTTTCACCACCCAGTACCAGAGTTAGTCCTTGGCTGAGCGGGTTATTGATGTTTTCATCATCTCCTGTAGTGCAGGTAACAGATGCTGCTTTAATACTCTACTACCAGATGTAAACAAGCACAGATGACAGATGAGTGTTTTTTATTTAGAAAATAAAACAGTGCGTAGGCTGTGTCTGGTGTCTTCAGTCTATTTTTAGTCATTTCATAACCCTCCTACCATGTACTTGGTGCATCATGATTTGCACAAACTGGCGTTTTATCTGCCTGTTTTTAAAAAGTCTGGATGTATCGCATCTCTGTGCCTTTGGGGAAATACTTCTCGCTCCTCCTGAGGTGTCTTCCTCTCCTTTGTTGTTTTTTTCTTATCTGAATCAAGGGTCTCTGCGTACGGGGTGTCATAAGCCGTTCAGACAATCAAGTCCCCGGAGGCAAAATTTGGGGTTGTGATTTTGTGCTGTAAGAATAAAATTTGACTTGACTCTTCACACATTTCCTTAAAATACACGAGGAGCCAAAAGGGATCAGACTCAAGCCACGGTGCGCAATAAATTTGCTGCAAGTGACGATGATGGGATCTGATGGAAATGTAGTCTGTCTCAACGTATAAGCGAGAAAGCCGTTTTTCTCTGAGGTGAGGGAAAAGATCTGTTCCCTAAAGGGTGTGTTTAGTGTACATGAGCCAGGGCTTACATTAGAAAACTCACAGACCAGGACGTGATCACAAGTGGTTGCCTACGAAGCACTCTAGTCATGTTGTGATCTCAGGTTTTAATAACTATCTGTCTCAAGAAGCTGCAGACATGACCTGCAATATTACCGATCATAGAAAAGACAAGAGAATAACCTCAGAAATGGGACCTAAGCGTACAGGTCAGCAGCAACACTTGACCTCAGATTAGAACCTCAAGAACATGTGTAGCGTGTCACACCCGTTGGTTCATGTCTGCTTCTGCGCTGCCAGGTTTAAGTACAAGAAATTTACAACAACACCTCGCTGACAAGGTGTATGTAGCATGCTATAAAGTTGTGAGACACGTCAGTTCAAGTAAAGGGAGCTTGGTGTTGAGAGAAAGGTGCAATAAACAAAACATCATCTTATCAGAGACACCTCTATGGTTGAAGGTTATGGTTACTTTCACTCACAATTTGCTGTCACAGAATTACTAATTAGACGCAAACAACATCGAGAAGAAACAAGCTCAACAGAGTAATCAGCTGAGCACAACAACCGAAGACACACGTGCTAAAGTGACAGGTACACCGTTTATAATGACGTTTTACCAGATGAAGATTCAGGTGATAATGAAGAGTTTCAGTCAGCATGTTTTAAAAAGATTTCAGACACAGTGTTGAATTAGTTATCAGCTATGGTGTTGTGAAAATTGAGGGAAAATAAGTTCTTTTTATACGAGGTTTGTCTTTTTCTGAAACTTAACAGTTCTTCCAATATGAGAACTTATTTAATACAGTTTTAAGTGCTTTAACAGTTGTATGCTTATAAATGCAGCAATTTGATATAAACCCTCATTCATCACTAAATCTTATAAACCGTTTAAGATCTTATAAATATTTATCTACTTGTTAAGACCTCAAACACCTTCACCTTTTTAAATGTCATTCAAACATAGTCGGTGTCCTTGTTTATTACATCTTTGTCGCATTCAGTCTAATGTTTTCCACATTAACACAGAAATTATTCAATGAAATATCATCATTAACTATGATGAAAACATACTGTAAGGATTATTAGTGCATCTTTACTCAATCAAAGTGATGAAGCTCATCAAAGTCAGTTTATGCTTTATGAGTAAACTGATTTTCCAATATTATCTTCTTATCAAAGGTATATTCTGGCATAATATCCCTTTAATATCCCATGGAAATGCAATCAGACCGAGACACTAAGGCAGAGGAACTACCGCATCTGATTATTACTTCAAGGAAATGATAAATAAAGGATCATAAATGTTCTTCCTTGAGCTGTGTCACCCCGCAGTAGTCCGTAAAGGACTGGCCCAAGCTCGCGTTTCAAACAAGCAGCTGCTGGAAGAGAGATGGTGAGTTGTGTTTAGTCTCTTTGCTAAAGAAATAAGGCAAAGTTAAAAAAATGTTTGGTGGCTAGGACCCTATATGTCCAGTTGATGAAGTTAGGTGCTGTTCTGAGCATTATTTGTGGCTATAGAGTGGTGTTTTGGTTGAGGTTTGTGTATGGCTCCTGAGACCGCTGTGTATTGCTATCGTGTGGTCGTTACTAAAGTTGGTATGACCAGAGAAGCAATCAGTCAGCAACATTCATCTCTCGAGGAGGTGTCCAACCTCGGTGTTACGGTGTGTTTGACCCTAAATTAAATTTTACACCGGAATATCCCTTTAAGCAAGCTCACCCCTATTTTCTCGAAATTAGTCTAGCATTTGACTGTGAGCTTTCTCCTCCTCATCTATTTGATATGCTTTTATTTGTATTTACAGTGCTACTGTCTCAATTTATTTTCTTCTGTAACCTCAATGCCTTAAACTTCCTATTCAAAACCTTCTCTGGCCTGATTGCCGAACCCAGCTGCGATGACTCCATGCGACACTGGAGCATCATCACGACCAGAATGATGATAAAAGTCCAAATCATGAAGTAGTCGAAAACTTAGCAGCTTGACCCCTGGCTGTAAACATGTACATGTTACATTTCTGGCCTCATACATCTACTGACCCCTTCTGGCTCCAGCTTCAGCTCAGATATTGTGCTTTTTTTATGCAAATGTCTTATGATAATGATGATGGCTCTGTTCAAAAATAACTGAGCCATCACAGATGAATTTCAAAGCTCTGGTGTGGCATCTGGCACATGAGACAAAGCAACTAAAAGGTTATGTATATTGTAAGGGGTGACAGATTGTTTACTGGGACATGCAGCTAAGCTGTCTTGTTATATTGTCCTTGGCACAGAGGGAGAGCAGCTTACTGTTCTGGCAGCTGACCAGAAAGCATCTCTTTCTTCCTTTTTTTATATTGTTTTTTTAAAAGATGATGCAGCCTGTGTTATATCATCTCCATTCAACAAACCCTTCTCACTTTGGCTGAAAAGAAAGGATTTTTAACTTAAAACGGGCAACAGAAAGCAAAGTTTCAGAATACTGGTGTGTTAAAATGATCACTGGCACAGTTTGTTGTTAAAGTCATTTTTTGCTGGAGCATATTAAAACATAATCAATGGCGGTTAGTTTTTAATGAAGACAAAAAGAGGCTTAACCTCATACAATACCTTGCTGCTGGAACATGAGCATGGTTTGTGGGGACGTGTGGACAGGGAGGGAGTGGGTCCGCTGCACAGAGCTGCGACTCTGACTTGGCATGCTGTTACTGCCCCCAGGGTTGGCAAACCATAAGCTCTACAGAGGAAACACAAGTTCTCATTACAAAAATGCCACTCACCCTGGGAGGGTGGCATGGTTTGCTTATCTTTCAGCAAAGTCATTAAACAAAAGCTCTTCAACCTATGATAACAAATCGATACATATCAAAACGTGATGCCTGACTTCTTGTTCTGTCTTGTATGAGCTGATTAAAGTGCCAAAGTCTTTTTATTCTTTTTAGCTTGTTTGTCACTCAAAACAAATGTTTACTGAATGTTATCATGATTTCCTAGGTATGTTTTCATGTCAGTTAATACTATCAGACAATTCTGAGCACCACAAACCAGAGGTGGGGGAAAGTCCCTATGTTGCAAGTCCAAGTCGAGTCTCAAGTCTTTGCTCTCAAGTCTGAGGCAAGTCCAAGTCCTTTGCTCTCAAGTCTCGAGTCAAGTCCAAGTCAACACAGACAAGTCTTAAGTCAAGTCCAAGTCCTGAACTTTTTGTTTCGAGTCCCAACCAAGTCCTTACCGTTTCTTTCAAGTCAAAAACAAGTCATATCAAAGCCATAAACCATTTGTTATATGTTGAGATTTACATAAATCATGAGCATTTTTCACTATTTGCATTTATTATTAAACAAGGGTTCTTGTTTGTGTGAAGTTACATAGTGCAGCTTTAACCAAACTATTTTACATGTCATACAAAAAATAATCAGATAAACTTCAATAATTGGAAACTTAGACAATGTGCACAAAAAAAGGAAGACTCAAATACAATTAAACATGAAACTGATACTCTAATTCACTGTTCCAAAACAAAACAAAAGAGAGACACAAGGCAACACGTGGAAAAAGGCGGGCAATACTAGCGAGCGATTCATGTTCAGTCCTCCCGGTGTTGTCGTTATGAGGGAGGCTAGAGTTTGAGACAGTGTTGCCAAGTTTCGTGATAGAAATAAGGAAACAGACATCCAGAAACAAGCCAAAAACAAGTGAACCGAAACACGGTGTTACCAAAGGCCGTAATTCCTGACTATTAGTTGATGCGACACTTTTTAAACGGTTTGGGCTTGCTGTAAGGTATTTAGTGACTTGAAAAGACTTGACATGACTTTTCAAGTCACTGGGCTCAATGTCAAGTCAAGTCAAGTCAAGTATCAAGTCTTTAGCAATCAAGTCCCAAGCAAGTCCAAGTCATTTCTTGATTTCATCAAGCAAGTCAAAAACGGGACTCAAGTCCAAGTCGAGTCTCGAGTCGAGTCGTCAAGCCCCCACCTCTGCCACAAACTCATGCTAAAACTACTCTTATAAAAATTACATATCACCCACTTTGTCCTGAACCCTTCAGTTATTTCATGGCGGCAGAACTGACCTGTCTACCCTGCCCTGGCAGCGCAGGACTTGTGAGTGTGTGACGTGGAGAGGCTCCCCCGATCCCACCGGGACTCAGAAGACCCATTCGGCCAGCTGGGAGACCACGAGGCGTCATCGGGAACTGCCTTTGGCCCCGCCGCGCTACACCTCCACTCACAGAGCCTGCTGTGGGGAGGGAGTTAGACCCGTAGGTCCAACTGGAAAAAAAACGACAAAGCAAAGGAGGAAAAATCTTCAAAAATCAGAGTTAAGAAAAGTGCACACTCAACTTCTGAAGCCGCTCAAATAAAATTCTATCTTTTATTAAAATTATGAAGCCAGACGAGGAAAAGGAGAAAAGATGATAAAGGGAATCAAAGCACAAGACAGACTCTGAAAGGAGCAGGAAGAGAGTCACATTTAGCTGTTGTGACATCTCCCTCATTAAAGCGGCGGATCAAAGGTAAAGATGGCCCGAGTCTCACCCTTTTTGGCGATACACAGGCATGTCCAGCATCGCTTTCCGAGGGAAGAGGCGAAGGAGTTTTAGGACCTGCTGCTTCCAGGAAACCAACCGTTTCTTGTGGGTTTCTGTGAAAGCCTGATATCAGGGAGGAAAGAGCGGAGGAGGAAAAAAAGGCATCCGATTTTCAAAGAGCATGTGAAGACATTCGGCAGGTGTGCCTGGAATTCATGATTCGTAAAGGATAAGTCAAGTGTAATGCTATATTTACTTTTGGAAACAATCCAAATAGTCTAAGAAGAAGTCACTGCGAGGTAATGTGGTGTGACTTTACCTTCAGGTGCGTGCAAATACTGAATACCTTCCAAAAAAAAATCCATAGGCTCTCACCTCATGAGACAAACACTTCTCGATGAGCTGAAGGTAACAGCTGATGTTCTCCTCATCCGGCCTGGACACCAGCAGCTGGGTGCACACTGAAATGAAAACAAATGCACAGGGTTCAAACACTAATGTCTGCTAAAACCACTTAGTCTGCCAGCATGGAAAATATATGCATGAAAACACAGGTGCACCTCAAGAAATTTGAATATTTTAAAAAGTTTTTTTTTATTGCGATTTATTTCAAAGAGGCAAAATTTCATATATTGTATGTTCATGAAATCTGCAATCCAGTGGGTCTCGGATTATAAGAACATTTCCAAAGAACCAAATCTGAAAATGTCTGTGCATGGTGGCTCCTGTTGTACGGACATCATTCTCAGTCCACTCGTACAGAATCTTTCAAGGTTCTAGAATCCACTTCTCTCTACAACCCTCTCAAGGCTACGGTCATCCCAGTTGTTTGTTCATTTTTCTCACCGCACTTTTCCCTTCAAGTCAGCTTTCCATTTAAATGCTTCAATAAAGCTCTCCAGCGACAGCCGGCCTTTTCAGGAATGACCTTCTTCTGCTTACTCCTCTTGGAGGAGGGCGTCGATGACTGTTTCTCTAAACAACTATCACTGAACGAGGGGTCAGCAGCCTTCTCCAGGATTGTAACTGCATGCTCTGATTATTTATTTAATAATAATTGTTTTTTTTTCTTTGCAAAATAAAAAAGGAGAAAAACATTTTAGAGTACATGCAATAAATCCAGGTTTTATCATGTTTCCTCTTACTCAAAATGGTGATGGAAAATGATGCAATTTCTTATCAGTTTCTAACTTCTTGAGATGCAACTGCAGTTCATACTTACAAGTAAAAGTAAAAGTAAAAGTATGCCAAAATAATGATTAAACACAATTTTTCAAACATTTATTTATTTGCTGTTTATTGTTCTTCTTCAACCTTTTCTTATGTGCGAGTTAAAATACTTTTATAGTACTTTTCTCACTCCTACCTTTTCCCATGACGCGGGTGAACTGTCCAGCGATGTCGCCTTCTGAGATGGGGGCAGCTGATGAGTCTCCATCACAGGGGGGAGGGTTGTGGGTCTGGAAGCTCTCTGAGGTCGGCTCTTTGTCCGCTCCTGTTTTCGTTGCTTCTGAAGGGGAGGTGGCTGCGTCCGAGGCGGTCGCCGTGTCTGGGACAGTCCCTGTCGTGCTCGGGGGGCTGTAGGGCTTGATGGGCGTGATGATGATCTGTTGCAGCTCTTGGAGAGCATTTCGCAGGTTCCCGCCTTCCAAAATATCCTGCAATGAAAAGGTTCAAGGGTGATGTTTTCTGAAGCGAGGAAACTAGATATCCAAGCAGAGGGTCTATTGAAAGAGCTTTGTGGAAGACAAAGAATCCGTCCCAGCTCTGCTTTGTTTCTGTTCCAATAATTACGACAGGGTATTTCTCAATAGATCTCAAACAACTGCCACATAATAATCACAGAGTCCATTCTAAAAAGCGTTTTTTGATCAGTATGAGGGACAAAAGACAAAACCAATTGCTCCCCTTTGCATGAGAAAACCAGCATTACCCCATCTGAATTACCTTTTCTAAAGACTTGAGCACGCCCTGCCTCTCACGTAGTTTCTGAATACTCAAGGCAATCTTATGTCGTGCCCCTTTGGTGACGTTCTGCGAGAGAAAAGAGACAAAATTACAATACCGCACTCGGCGAAGGACAGTTATTTCTTGTGGGAACAGTGGGCAATTTATACAGTTACTAAATAACAAAGCTAATCACCATTTGTTTCATTAAAGCCAAAGGGCTGACACCAAATCGCACCATTTGTATGTGTGACTGGCTCAATGTAACTGTAGGGTGTGTTGCTTAATTTCATGCCTCATTGAGAGTTGATGTATCATCAGGTTTGGGGACAGTTATGTGCACAAATGATAAGGAGGGTGGAATAATCAAAGCCTGGCCCCAGTGTATGTAAAAGGAAGGCTTAAAAAACCTGCGACTCCAGGTGCTGCTCTGTTAGAATCATCATCTCCTCATAAGTCATCTGGGAGAAGAGTGATGCATATTTATGAAGGCGGAGACTCTTCAGCCACGCGGGAACATCTAGAGCAAATACACACAGAGGGACAGAAAAATTAAGTTACATCTCTGCGAGTACAGCAACAGCTGTTGGCAAAGCATGCCTTTTACAAAAGCCAAATGTTGTGAACGCCCTTGGCTCAGTCAGATAATGAACTCTGACCTTTCATGCCGCTGCCGTCCTCCTGGAACGTGTTGCGACTGGAGCCCTGGTCTTCCGTCTGCTCGCTGCCTGAAGAGGCTACACTGCTCTGAGGTGAGAGGGGTGCGTGATCTGTTGGAATGAAATTCTGCCGGCCCCCTGCATCATCCGGGCTAATCCACTCAGAGCCACAAGCCTGGGGACTGGAAGGAATAACGGACATGGGCTTCTTCATAGGGCTGGGCTGGAGCTGCCCTCCTAAACCTGACACAGGAAACAACAGATTTATGAGGAACAGAGGAATCTATTCTTCATACCTCACAAAAACTGAAGTTTATGAGTCCATTTCTCTTGATGATAATACAAACAGTACCTGTGTTATTGCTGTTGATGGGAGATGACATCCCGGCTGGGAAGGGCATGTGTCCGTTCTGGCCTGCTGGAGACGTGCTGGATGAAGGGGACTTATCATGCCAGGCGTGGCCAGGGTCCAAACCCTCAGCAGAGCTTGGCCATTCGTCTGAGCCTTGGCGGGGGTGGTAGGGGCTGGATGGGGCCCTAGGTGCATAGCCACTAGAAAGGTGCTCCTCCAGGTGATTAAGCCACATGGCTAGAGAGGTGCGGTCATCCAGTGTGGTGGCAGGGTGGATGAGCGCGTAGGACAGCAGCTGCCTGCTTTCTTCAACAAACAGGCTACTCTCAATGGTGTGACTCAACACCTTCTGCAGCAGCTTCATGTACTCACATTTGGCCTCACTGTTGCGGGGCTGCAGCAGAGGCAGATGGGACAGCAGCAAGGACACAACCTTCTCCTTTGGCTCCTGTTGCCACTGGCTGACAATTGCTAAAGACGGAAGACAAAGAGAGAGTTTTTACAGAGATGCTTTTTATTTAACTGAGTGATTATACTTGGCTTTTTATATTGGAAGGTGATTAAAATAAACATGGTGGATGAAAACACATTGTTAATGATGTATGATTAAACACCCAGCTACCTGCATTGTTGGCCTCGGCTTCTAGGATGTGGATCTCTGTGCAGTCTGCCAGCCAGTGCTCAAGGCAAATGTGTAAAAAGCGAGCCTGGGTGCGGGACACCCTCTTCAGGAGGGACAACAGTGCCACCGTCTGTTCACACTCATTCCAGCCCTTGAACCAATCTGTCAGGATACCTACCTGATCTCGGAACATCATGGCGTGTCTCCTGGGTAAGGAGAACAGGAATGTTTGGATGGGGGGAGGGAGGGGGGTGTACTGGAAAGACTTCTCTCTCAGACACAGACAGGATCAGTCCCACCCCGCACAGCGGGGTCGTACTTGCAACAGTCCTGGGATCCCCTCAGATTGGACCGAGGGGCCCTCACATGGTTCACGTCCAAGAGAAACTGCAGGCAGGCGTGCTGTGTGGATAATCGGTAAGATATCTGATGGAGTAAAGCTGAGAGGTTGTAGAAAGTCTGACTGGTAATGACCCAAGCTGGAAAATCTTTTTTTACTCTGACATGTTCAGGATCACATCATCCGTGCCCTAAAAACAAAAGAGCAAACAAAAGAAAAATCTCAGATAACAGTTCACTTAATGCATGAAAAAAAAGGTATTAACAAACATATATTTCAGAAAATATATTTCTAAGCTTTTCTTGGTTACTGTTTTCAATTTGACACCAACCCCATTTCATTTTCCAGCAGTAAACCATCAGTGCTTTTACATGATTAGTTCATATATTTACTCCAGAGACTTATGCTGCGTTCGAGTCACCTCGGAAGTCAGAAGTCCGATCTGAAAATGACGTCACACCCGAGTTACAAGCCTTTCAGTTACGGAGTCGGAAAAAAGCAAAATCAGAGGTGGAAACAAGATGGCTACATTTACGAAAGTGATTTTAGCGCTTGCCTTGTCCAAATAAAAGGCAAGCGCTAAAAAACTTAAGTAACTAAAAAAACGCTGGGAACTTGAGTGTGGTGTCATTTTCAGCTCCAACATCTGACTTCTGAGGTCACTCTGACACAGCATTAGACTTAAAAAGCATCTCTGTGTGATCTTAAGAGTTTTGATTTTCTCACAAGATGACTCTACTGGGGAACAAGCTGATGTAAAAGTGACAGTAAGAAGACTATTGCTATTTTAAAAGATTATGACAAACACATAACACCAAAATAATGGTCTCCATCTTTGATGATAAACATTTAATGTCAGTGGTAAGGAAAGAAACTAAAAACTGTTGTAGTTCCTGTATTTTTCCATGGTCACAAAGCTGTTTGTATAATTATTACAAGGACACCCATAGGAATATCCAAGTCAGTGTTTTGTATAAAATTCTGATAATCTATAACATGACTGGGAAAGTACATGTGTTATTTAAGGTCAGCCTTGCCTCATAAACTCCATCACTTTATAGGGTCTTGTCAGTCCCACTGGTGCTGTCAAAATCATGACATGCCCCCGACTAAAGGCGTGCCAGACGGGTCATCCAAAAGATAAAAATTCAAGCCAGCAATGTTGCAGCATTGGTATTGCACTAAACTCTGACCAGCCATCTCATTATGAATAATCTAATACAACAGCTCTGTCATATATCCTACTTTTACAAAGCTTCTACATTTCTAATTTTTGTTTTTTAAATGTATTGCTGAAGTTGCAGTCAATGTAGGAGACGCTCTTGGTATTTTGCTCCTTTTGGATTTGCTTATGAAGTAAGCTAAATATAAGGAACACTTTTGCATTTAACACACCCCAACAAACTACCAACGCCCACTGCATCTTCATTAACTAATACAAATCATGATCATATCCACAGAAATTGAGAAAGTACAAGCTTCCTGTGTATTAAATTAGTGTCGGAGCTGTTGTATTAGATTGCATTAGTTTGAACAGATGTCTGTAATGTTATGAATGTTCTGTGTGCTTACAACAACTCATTATAACACCATGATGACAAGCACAAACATAACCACTGAAGGGCTACCAGCAGCAGCAGCACCACCTGTTACACTGTGAGCCATGACTTTGATTTGACTTCATTAAAAGAGTTTGGTCCAATAAACTGGTTTAAATGTCACAGAGGGGTGAGTTAGGTTGAATCAGGTTAACATGAAACGTTTTGATGCAGCTTTGCATTTCATAATAAAGCCATTTTATAGATAAAAAATTGAAAATAAAGCATTGAAAGCTATTTAACCACTTGTCTCATGACTGTTTCATCATAGTCTTAGGTTTAATCCATCCACACAAACGCGATATCAGGGCTTTGTCCAATAGATGTCGCCACTTTTAGCCATGGAAAAATGCTCCAAAACTGTGAACAGTTACAATACAATGATCTCAAATTGTCTTGAAGCTATCTAATGATGAATAAGACATCGCTTTTATCATGTTTAGCTGTGTCGGCCCAAAGCTAGCCGGTGATGAGGGGGTTCGGGATGTGGATTGGGTTTCGTTGACGCTGTTGCTGCCCCCTTCAATCTTAGCTAACAGGGAGGTTAAACGGCACTTTTCAGCCTCAGTAGGTTGCAGTTAACCGCCTCGATAAAGTTATGCGAGTTGCGCTAAACAGTAGACACAGTCAAAAGGTGTGTTGTTTACCTCTGTCAGTTGTCACTGGGTAGCGGGTTCGGCTAAAGTGCTAATGCATAGCTAGCTCGACGGTGGGTTAGGGATAGCCAAGTGCTAGCGCTAGCTTCTTAGCTAGCAAGTTTTGCTAATAGATGCAATAACGTAAGCTTAGCTCAGAGAAGGTAGATTTCGATCCCGTGTGGTGTGTTCCTCAAGAATATTCCTGTTCGGCGGCAGACTCCAGGGTTTTCAAGCATACTACGTTAAAGAATGTATGTACAAAATATTTATAGCTATGCAGAAAATAAAGAGAGTACGCCTGGAGAAATCTACTTCGATTTTGAGTTGACGTAAGACGTAGATGCAACGTCATACGTCTGGACCGTACGTAGTGTTTTGTTCCACCCACAGTCTGGAAAATAAGTAGGCTGCCAACCTGAGGAGTAAACACAAGCCTGTTCTGTATGAAAATAAGCATGAAACCTATGTTTTAATGGAATAATCCATACGGAAAGACGACATGTACAAGTCTGCACAAACATCATCCTGATAGACCTTTATTCAAAATTGTCTTTTAAGGGTAAATTGGCTTATTGTTGATGTAGAAGTATAAGGATTTAACATATTTAGTAGTTATTTGTTCAAAATTTTTACAAAAAAGTGAAATAACCAAATGGTTTTCAATAATTCAGGCCAAACTGAAGTATCCCCCTTTATTTTCACAATTGTATGTTTTGTGTGATAAGAAAAATACCCCAAAGAGAAATAAACCAGCTTTAATATTATTTATGCTTAAATGAAGCAGAAATGCTTATTCATAAGAGGTTTATGTGTTGTTATTCTAGAGTTATTGCTTAAAGAAGGACAAGGGAATTGTATTGCTGACTCTTTCATAAATAGCAAACCACTTGTGTTAATGCCACCATTGCTGTAGTTCATCACAGAATACTAAAGAAGCGTACACATTTTTACACATTTTGTGGTTATTTGTTTAAGATGTTAATAATAGAGTGAAATAACCAAATGGTTTACAATAATTCAGGCCAAACTGAAGTATATCTCTTTATTTTTACAAAACTGTATGTTTTGTGTGATTAGAAAGGTACCTCAAAGAGAAATAAACCGGCTTTAACCCTTTATTGCCTTTTGTATCATATTTGATACATACTTTTATATACTACTATCAAATCAATATGATTAACAAATTACTAAAAAAAAAACACCTTAATATAAATGACAAAAACGTCCTCTTGTGGTTTATCAGTTTCCAAAAACATCTAATGTATCAAACAAGATAAATAAATACTTTTTAAATTTTAAGGACATTTTTATTTTTTTGGTTTTCAGTAGTAAGTGAAATAAACATTTCAGCTCCAAAAAAAAAAAAAAAATTTCTGGCCATAATTTGTGGTTTCAGGCATTAAAGGGTTAGTATTACTCATACTAAAATGAAGTAGAAATGCTTATTCATAAGAACTGGTTGTCAATATAGAGTTATTGTTAAGAGAAGGGCAAGGGAATTGCATTGCTGACTCCTTTATAAATAGCAAACCACTTGCATTATGCCACCCCACTTGACAAATTACTTACATTCTTAATGGATTACAGTTGTTAATAGTGAACTCACCCATCATAACAAAATAGTGAGCAGCGGGGTTACTTTAAGGACACAGAGACTTTTGATCAGCTGAGGTTTTGGGCCGAGGATGTTCAGATTAAATTTTGAAAAAACCTCAATAAAAACTATGAGTACACCTGGTCTTCATGGGTTGAAAGAATAATGTGTGCAGGTCATAATCAGCTGTAACAAGCGGTGTTTGCTCAAGTTTAATACACTGTGATGTGGTGTATTGACCAAAAGTAGGATCTGTTCCTCTAGTTTCATGTGTGGTACGGGACTTTGGAGGAGGATTGGTAAATTTTACGCATCCAAGGAGGAAAAGCATAATGTATTAGAAGCCGAGTGCTGGATATTTCAGGTCATTCCTGCCCTACTTAATGTTGAATCTATGATGCAGAGACAGGAGACTTCGTAATGAGGACATTTTACTAAATGATGTTAGTTTTGCCTTCATGAAACTGTAACTATATTCTAAACATTTACTAAAAAGCAAAAGAAAATCATGTATTTCCATGTATGTTTTTCCTCTTTTTTGGCCCCTTTCAGCATCTTTATACACTCTTCTACTTTCTGTTTGATGTCCTTCCATGTATGGTAATGGGAAGTGAAAGCAACTCTAATAACTTAAGTTTTATTGATAGTCAGGAAATACTACAAGAGCTTATTAAACTTAAACCAGGGTGCAGGACATCCTCTGTCAATCTTGTATCCTTAGATTTTTCTTTCAGATTTTTCCTTGCTAGCCAGACTGTTTCATATAACACTTGGCTGAGCGCGCTCACTGGAGTCACCATTTGTTGTTTAAAAGAGGAAGCGGCACTGATGCGTGCTTTAGTTTCGAGACTGCCCGCCCCTTACCATCTAAAGGAGGTTCTCCACAGTCTGTGAGTAGCTGTCAAGGCAAACCGTTTGAACCAGGCCGTGTCACAGGAAGACAGAAAAGTATCCTTCGAGAATGGTAGGTAAAACTGATGCAATTGCTTGAAAGATTTTGCTTTTCTGTTGAAATGTGCAGGATCAGATGGACTGTCATTCATATGTAGATGTATATACCTATATGTCTTTCACTTTACTGTTGCGACACAAGTCTACCATCCCCCGCGCCCTATCACAGGAAACTACATTCTTGCATGTTGCGGCAAAAACATTTCCTGCCCTCAATATGTCAGAATAGTGTCATGAATGTTTAATGCATCCATGCAAGCTGGATAGAGATCTCAACATCTAAACAGAACAAGCAGACGTCTGCTACACCCTTTCTTCGTTTCTATTTCCAGTCCATAAACCATTTCTATTTACTTTATCTGAAGCACAGAAGTAAAGAAACATATCGCTCATATTTCCAGAGTGACAGAATCTGAGTGATTCGTCTTCATCCTTTAATGTGCCTTTTTTTTGCAGTCAAGCACCCTGGTTGTGTGCGAGGTCGATGAAAGTCTGCAAGAGAGACTGAAAAAGTTTCGATTTCGAAAAGAGACCAACAATGCTGCCATCCTTAGTAAGTATCACATACTGAAGATCAAAGTTTTTGTAACTTAAAATTCACAGAGAACATCAAAAAATGTAGATCAGAAAAAAATCTTGAATATTTTGCACCACACAGTGAAAATAGACATGGAGAAACAGCTTGTCATCCTTGAGGAGGAATATGAGGCGAGTACAATTTCATATTCCTTTAGATTCATTCTGAATTACAACTCACTTAACACAAAACTTTCTTTTAGGACATCTCACTGGATGAGTTGAGAGATGAACTACCAGAGCGGCAACCCAGATATCCTGACTTAATGTTTTAATTATGAAGCAAAATCCTCTAATTCAGTCTATATTAAAAAATAAAATCCTTTGGAGATGTTGTGAGAAAGAGGATTTGATCGAGTTTTCAATCTGGAGAAAGTTTAAGTGCCTTGACTGTACAGCACATTCATCGTCTACAGCTACAAATATGTCCACGCAGATGGCAGGGTGTCTTACCCTCTGTGTTTCATATTCTCCAGTCCTATGGGTGAGTAGAGGAAAAAATACCAGAATCTAATAATACATTTAATTTAACAGGTTCTTCTCTGCCTGAAATCACTCCAATTAAAATGTGTCGTTTCAACAATGGTTGCATTTGTTCGAAATAGTTCAGGTGTTTAAAATATTCCAGAAAAGTGTTCATGTCTTTTTTTTTTCTCAGGGTGTAAGCCAGAGCAGCAGATGATGTATGCAGGCAGCAAGAATCAGCTGGTCCAGGCTGCACAGCTCACAAAGGTAGCTCATATTGACGAAAACACCATCTTTAAACTGACCAGAAACTCGGTCAGAAACTTGTGTTGGGTTGCGTCTTTCTTTTCTCCTAAAATTCCCAAACCTCTGGCCTGATAATTAATGAATGCATAATTCTGAGCTGTCAGGTATTCTGATAACACTTTCCTTTTTTATTTTCCTTTGAGGTCTTTGAAACAAGAAACGCTGATGAACTGACGGAAGAATGGCTCAAGGGCCAGCTGGCATTTTTCCGCTAAATATGCATCAGCAACATCTCAATTACTATCAGTCTCTTTGTGAAACATGGCTGTCAATTTTTAATTATCCACTGCTGTGCCGTTATGCTTATTAAAAGATACACTGTGTGAAAACTCTTTTCTATTTGTTTACTCTGTGTTATAATTGCTACTTTTGAACACGGAAGTTCCTCTTTTTTTCATTAAAAGTAACTAATTAAACTTTTTATAACATATTACAAAGTACAGACAGTTCAGAACATCTTGGGAAAGCTGTAAAATAACTAGGGGTGGGAGGAAAAATCGATTCACAGAAGTATCACGATTTTTTGTTTTACAATTTTCAAATCGATTTTTATGTTCAAAATTTGTTTTTTTTTTTTCAAATTTAAGAATAAATCTTAAAAACTGACTTACACGTGATGTGTGTTTTTTTGGGGGAAATATGGTTTCTGGAATAGTCAGTCATAATTGACAGACAGACAATCATAATCATTCAACTGTTTCACTGGTGTTTAAAATGCAGACTAAGGGTCCTTACTAAAGGTTTTTTTCTTGCGATTATTTTGAACCCGTATCCTGTCAATACAAGCATTCACATCATCGTCCCAGCCCTAAAAATTACACGTTCTTTGTTAAGATTACTAAGTTGTTCCTGGCTCCTGTAAAACGCTGAAAATCAGCATTTTTTGAAAATGTCATCTTTTATTATCAGTTCAAAGCTATATCACATTGACATGTCAAAAAAACAGGGGAACAAAGACATTTTCTGCATGATCCTGATTATGTGATCAAAAAAAGGTTATGAAGTACACATAGCTACTAGTGTGCAAGTTTAATCTAAAAATAAAACAAGGTGGACTGCAGGGAGATATCCCAGATTCTAATGAGCAACAGGCATACATACAGTATCTGAATTCATCTGCCATCACCAAGACTACATCCCCAGAGTGAGCTATAACCGGGGACAGTGAGAGGTGTTTCAATTCATGTTTTGAGGCATACATACAGGTAAGACAGGTGGCCATCACCTCATCCAGATCACAGCCCCTATTCACTGTCACTGGCATCACTGGAATCAGACCCTCTGTCACTTCCACTTCCACTCTGATTCCTCTCTGAGTGGTTGCTGCTGCGGTCGCTCCGTGCTGGAGACGCGCTGCGACTCCTGCTGCCTCCTCTGTTCCCTCCTTCATCATCGCTCCCGCCGCTCTCCCCCCCGCTGCTCCTCCCAGAGTTCTTGGGCTCGTTGTCATCGCTGTCGTCGTCGCTTCCGAAGATCTCCTCCTCGTCTCGCATTTCTCTGGTCCTCTCCTCACCGCTCTCGCTCCCGCTGTTGCTCTCCTTCCTCCTGCGCTTGCCTCTGTCTTCATCCTCATCCTCGTCGTCTCCTCTTTGTTCTCGGTCGTCATCTTCCCCTTCGGATTCACTACCAGAGTTCTCAGCCTCGCTGCCGCTGCCTTTGTCTTTCTCGTCGCCTGGAGGAAACAAATTAATCATTGTAAATAGAAATACAATAAGATTAAATACATTTTAATTTATGCAGAAAGTTCATAATACAGCTATAACTGTGGTGCAACAGGCAGCCAGTTCAGTAACAATCACATGATGACAACTGCAGAGGCAGAAAATCAGAGACTACTGACCAGAGTCCTGCAAGTCCTTATCCAGGTCCATGTCTTCTTCTTCATCTTCAGGCTCGTGGTTCTCCAGCTGAGCTTTACGTGCTTCCTGAAATTCACAGTGAAAAGTAATCAGTCACCTATTAACACATTATTACGCTACATAACCTAATAGATAATGAAAAGGTGTAAGCTGTAGATTGGATTCACAAGGTTCTCAAAGGAAAGGATGTTTGGTTTGTTTAATTGGAGAATGGACTGAATTAAATCAACATTTTGTGTTCGGTCCATGAGCACTATTTCCTTTATTTCTATTGGCTTAAACAGAATCAAAAAGTTACTTAAAAAAGATACAGCAGAAACAAAAAAAGAAGTAGAAAAATATTAAAACAGTGACACAGTTTGACAGTGACATCGATCAAGTTTTCTCACCTGTGCTTCAAGCTCTTTCTCGTTCATATCTCTGTGCTTACACACCAGCACGGCGTTTGTGGTGGACTGGGCTCCAGCCTTGGCTCTCCTCTTGCTCAGACGCACTCTGCAGGGTGGAACAAAAGGATGTCGGAGAGTGTTTACAGGAGGTGCTGCTGAAAATTTTGTCAATCTAGGCTTTCTAGATCTATACTTAAGATTGATTCAAAAACATCAGCAGCAAAGTTTAGTAAAAGTGATGCTGCTTATTCCTCCTGCTGAGAGGCAAAGGCCAACGAGCCCCCATTCCAAGCAATGACGTACCTCGTCTCAAGCTCATTGTAGTAAACACCATCTCCATCTCTAAAGATAAAGAAGTAGTTCTCCTCATAACCCTTGCTGGCTTTGTTCTTGACGTTCCAGTTGTACTCCCTGGCAATCTTGTAATCATACCTGGAAAACACATTCAAAGCATTCACTTTTTGGCACACAATGTGTAAGCAAAAAGGTAAATCACAAAATGATCATGAAATGCAAAATAAAGGCAGTCTTTTCCTAATATAAATTCATAACGTACAGATCTTCAGGCATGTAATCCATCCCTTCTTCAAAGTCTCTCTTGCGTTTGCGAATTGTGTCTTCATTAGGCAAGAAGTAGGCCACAAACTGATTTCCTTCCTCATCCATCATACCCCTGAAATGAAGAAATAGCAAATGTAAGTCAGCGTTGATGCAAAAAGAGTAGCCGTAGAATTGCACTTCTCCATTGAAAATATGTTGTGAATACCTGATCATGGCCTGAGACATCATTTCAACTCCTGCTGGTCCTGACATGTCTTTGGGTGCAGGATCAGAGTCAAAGATGACCTGAGCACATGGGTTGATCCACATCTAGGAGGAAAGAACAAATATATAAATATCTACTAGAAATTCTTACATAACAGCACACAAAAGTCACAAACACTAACACAAAGAAAAGCTACTCCAGCATTCTATATTTGTTGTCTGTAGTGTTTAATACAAATTTCCCCTTCCTGTGCTCACCCTGCCACACACATAATGTAATAACTTGACATAATTTGATGCCATTTAAAGTCACATGAACCCCATGTAGCTCACCTTAAAGTCAGGGAACACAGGTAGCACTTCCACAGGAGTAACTCTGGGTTTACTGTAGTGCTGTGTAATCTGAAAAAAAAACAAAACAAACAATCATTGAAGCACGACCTCAGCATGGAGAAGGTTAAAACAACACGGCTTTGAAAAGAGTAGTAAAATGCACAAACCGATTTCTGTGCATCCTCAAATGTCTTCTCAATAGCAGAGATCTGGCTGTCTCTGTCTTTGTAGATTTCTTCCTCTGTGAACTGCTGTTTGACAGACACACCGATCCTGAACACAAACAACATCCCAGTTACACAAACGCACACACTAAAAGACTCACACTCCTCTCTACTTTAAGGTCAACTCAATGACAACAAATATTACAAACTTACTTGACTTCCACTTTCTCATTGGAAACTCCATATCTGTTGAACTCTGTGGAGATGTATTCTGTTTTTCTCATCCATGGGACCACTTTGGCGTGCTGCTGTGATCTGATGAAGAAGCAGAAAATGTTGAAACAGACACTCTTAACATGAATCCTATATAATAAAGTAAAACTCGCTATCAAGTTTCCTTACCGCTTTGAGCTGGATGGAGCCTGGATGTCTTCTTCTAGCAGTTTCTCGTCAGCAGGATCCAACAGAACTGAGAATTCAACAGAACGGTTCATGAATGAAGCAGGACACTCTCTTATCAATCAGTAGGAAGTGACATAAGACAGAGTTACTTACTGTTGGGGTCTATGCGATAGGTATCTGGGTTGATGAGGTCAATGGTGACCCCGAGGTCTGGCTCAGTCAGGAGCTCATGCTTGTGCTGTTTCTCTAGAGATGTGGCTTTATACTGTACAAACCTGCCACGACAGAGAAGCAAGTGTCAAATTTGACTAATGTTTGTCAGTGTGTACTCGAGGGAAAGATAAGATGGATGTTTACCTGTGCTGATCAAATGGATATGTGATGAATTTGGGGTCAAAGGGGATATCAGGCAGGCTGTTGCAGTACTTCACCCTGCAGACCACTCCTGACCTGTTACAGACACAAAATACAGAATATTTACTCTCAGGCACTTTTGCAGACCACACCACTAAATAAGGTAAACACCAAATTACTGTTTCTAATAGTAAATTAACAGTACTGAATCTAGTTACCTCTCTGGAACGGTTCTGTGTGATGACTGCCGGCTGGAAGAGACATGAGATAATAGTCAGATTCATTATACAGACTGATCCTGCAGTATGGTGGATAGATGTTTCAGTATGAGGTACGAAATAATGTCCTACTAGGCTGCACTTCCATGGCCAAAGAAATAATCATGATTAATTTGATCAGGATTGAGATCAGTCTTTGTGTCTCTTCAACGTTTTGTCGTACGGCGTTGCGCTAGAGACAGCGGACTGAATGGTCTGCTGCACAGGTGCCAGGTGCCTTTTCATTGGCTATTCGTATAGTCTACCAAAACATGGCAGAATGCCGACTATTGAAAAGCATATTGACCATATTGATATCAAGGGAAATTAATTTTCGATATAAGCGTCATTGTTTTATCGCCCAGCCCTAACTATACATCAATCTAAGGGGCAACTTTACTGGGTTTGTTGGATTAAAAAAACATGTATTGTGTGTCTATTGTGCATCCATCACCAGTCTGCCCTGGCAATTTGCAAAAGATCTGAACTTGAATTCATTCTTTCAAAGTGTAGTTATAAATGTTAACTATTAGTGTCTTAAGACTGACACATAAAAAAAACACACACAAAGACAGAGGACTTTGCATTTAAAATTCGAAATAATGGGTTAATCACAAAGCTTAATCACAAAGTGTCACTACTGGCATTCAGAAAGGGTCCTGTCCTCCATTTCGCGCCGTCTTGCATATTCTCAAACCAAACAACTAACTAGTTTACGGTTTATAGGCTGATTTATATTCAACATAGATTTATCAAAAACACCTTTATATATTAACATGGGACAATTTACCGTTACAGTTTTTTACTGTGAGTTAACCAACTGGCGTCGTTGGCTAACGCTGTAAACAACATTCAAGTAGTGACTAAATAAGCTTCCAATCACGACTCATATCGGCTCAAGTTTAAATATATATTAAATTTTAAAATTAACGTCTTTAACTTTACCCAACTTGGGGATTAAACTGTTAAAACTGTTGATTTTTACCATACCTGTGTCCGTCTTCTCGTTGAGCTTGAGTCTGAATCGTTGGAGCCATGTTTGTATAACAAACTGCTCACAACCCAAATACAAAGATTAACAAAACAATCAACGCAAACACGCTCCTCTACGAACAAATTACTTCTTCTTAATTAAAGAAAACACGCCTTATAAGTTTAGCTTCATTTACAATGCTAGCTGCATTTTACCAGCACGGTTAAAGACAGGATAACAACCCGGCAGTGTTTTGAAATTCATGTCACTCTATGACCAGTGCCCCCTACTGCTCTGGCATGCGAAGTGCAGGTCAGTGTGACGAATCCAGGGAGACCATCCAAGTCAAAATAATTATATTTATTTATCATATTGATACACAGCATTGACATTCTATCCACCTGATACCAATCACTTCAGTCCAGATATCAACAACTACCAGGATCTACAAGAGCCAGTGGATTATTGCTAGAGGGGTTAACTGCTCCCTTGTCATCCTCACTCTTCAGTTTTCTCTTCTTACTCCCTGTTCACATTTTTTTTCCTTTTAATCTTTTAAAAGTTGCATTCTCACTTCTATTACTAGTGCCTCCAACTGCTCTGGCATGCACTGTGCAAGTCAGTGTGACAAATCCAGGGAGACCTTGCAAGTCAAAATAATTATATTTATTTATCATATTGATACACAGCATTGACATTCATTTCCATTTACACAAAATGAAACCTTACCCATCCGTTGGTTTTCTTTAAATGCCAATCCTTTAATTGATATAGATGTAAAAAAATCTATTTTACAGTATAGCATCACTTCCGTTCAACTTACTGCATATACATTTTACATAAACCTCATTTCTCTTTTCCACCACCACAGCCATTTCCAAACCTACTTGTCTTATTTCCTGATCTTTATCAGTAGATGGCGCTTTTGCGGTTGTCACTGAGGCGTGTCAGTTATCGCACAACCTCAGTGTGAATTTTTAGTCACATAGCAACAAAGTCTATCAGCCCATAAAAGAAAGAAAGATGCGCATAAAATCTATTAAAAGAAAATTTACCTAGAAGTATTGAAATAGATCCCGCAGCTGAATTAGTGCTGTGCATATGGTCAACATTTCTGTGTCAGGTTAGTGTGACAATTATAAAAGCGGAGATCAAATGATGACCTACTTCCAATATTCAAAATTAGCTGACTGCTGAAGGTTGCTGTATCAAACATACACCAAGAGAATGTTCTGAATGTTAGAAACATTCATATGCCTGAGTCATAACAGATTTAGTGCAATCTGATATCTATGACACATAAAACAGCTGCAGGCAGAAACAGCTGTAGTCTCACTGAATGCCAATATGATCAAAACACTGTCAGGGAAGATCTGACATGGAGCTTTAGGACAAATACATCTTTTATTTTTTCAGTAAGCCTCTTCTGCCGCTTCTGTCAGCTTCCCTTGTATCTTAAAGTGAAAATGTGAATGTTACAGTGGTGGCTCTTATACACGTCATTATTGAGGATTTCCTCTGACCTCTTAGTTGTGTCCTCGAAATGCTGCAACCGTCTACTGCCTATTATTAAAAGTGGGTCTACTATGTCATATGTTAATAAGGACTTAGCACAACAGTGTGCAAGGCAGTCAGTGCAAAGGTGAAACAGCTGTTCATGTTCATGTTCTTCAATCACATGACTGCAGTCGTCCTCTACTGGGAGTCCTTTCAGTCCAGCTCTTGATCTTTTCCAGTCTCAGGTCTGCACATCTGTCTGCATCTGTGTATCAACTCTGCAAAACAACAAAAAAGATCACAGAATTAAACTTTCACACAAACACAGGTCCTGTGTCAAACCCTTACACACAAAACAACAACTTCTTACCTGCTCAACATGTATATCATCTGCCCAGGATCATCTGCAAACACCCTGTAACAAGAAAAGAGTAGCAATATGAAAAAATCATAAGCTTTTACTAACCTTTGAACAGTGCATAGATAAGAATGTTCCAGAATGGAGAGCAACGATTAGGCCTGAGGGTCCTTGCTTGCTGAGACAACAGTTCAACAAAGATTGGACCTTTAAGGTTTAAGGTACAAGTTCTATTGAAAAAAAAACAAACATGTTTTTTGAATCAATAGTTTCATTATTCATAGATCTAGAGCTGAACCACTCTACAATTTTGACCTGTTTGATTCCCATTTTTGGAGGGCTAATATCACAAAAGTTGTTATCAACTTAAGTTACTTGTTACACAGTGTACACAAAGGTTTGAAAATACTATCTTTAGGTAGTATCACAGCACTCTTTGGTTGAACTATTACGAATTAGAGATGCTCAGGAAAAATGTAAACCACAACTATGTGAAAAAAAAAAAAGAAACTCATACCCATCTCCCCAGTGGTAAAACGCTCTGTCCTGATAAAACATGGACAGAAACAGCCAAACGCTTATTGTCTCGACCCAGAAGATAACAAACAGGAACCATAGTGATGACAGCAGGACTTCACACAACATCCTGGAGATCTGTTAGGATACAAAGTGGGAAAGAGTATAACTGTACTGTTTTTAATATCTACAGCGAAAAGAGTCACCATGGTCTAAAATAACTGTGTGCTTGGAGGCATTTACTCATACAATCACTCCTGTTATATAATCACCTAATTATGGCTGGTTGCTGATCATATCATCGAGTAAAGAGCTGATTACTCAACATGTGATTGTAAAAAATAGCTTCAATATTCATGTGTTCATACTAAGAGTAATGCTGAATTGGTACATTGTGAACAAACTTGACATTTTGCACATCAGCATACAATTATTTGGATTTCTAAGCAATTATTTAAATGATTCATTAATTTTCATACAGCAAAATGCCAATATTTTATGTTGAGTTCAAGTATTGTTTATAGTAATTCAACCAATGTAACAGCATTGCAGGAAATATATTGTTGTTGTGTAAGATGCTGAGGTAGAATTCGATAGTATAGCACACACAAACACGAGTTGTTGTTATTTAAACTCATATTTTGCCATTACGCACAAAGTTTGCGTAAATTCCTTTACCATCGTCCATTTGCTACCCTACCAAACACCTCTTAAACCGGCCAAACATCGCCAACATCGACATTTTCCCTCTTTACTGAGTGTTTTGATGTTATATAACATTATTTGTCACAGTCAATATCCTCGGACATTTAAACACATCGGCGTTAAGAGCTAACTAGCTGTCCAGACAAAGTCAAGCTAAAGTATGCTAACTGAGCCCTGCAGCTAAACCCTCTTTCTGCACCCATTTTTCCGAACAGCTGGTCAAGATTGATAATGCATATTAATATTAACACAAAAAAGCTGATTTTCAAAGATAATGTAAATTAAAGTGTGTAGAAGTCGTTCGGTTGTGGAAACTACGCGATAGAGACAAAATGAAGCACAAAACTGTATTTTTTGAACAACTATAAACAGATTACGTTTCTCATAATGCTTTCTAAGTCAGCGAAAATACCCATGCAGAAAGTGGCGTGTGTTTTTCTACTTTTTACTTACTTAATTCTGTTGAGACGACATTCCCTTTTCCAAGCTAACTAGCTAACACTCACGTTTGTTTACAATGTCCGTCACACATCACGTTGTTTGTACTTCCGCTTCTGTGCTGCAGTCCGCTGATATGATTGGTTCCCTGGCTGTGATCCTGGACCTTCAAAGGTCACTGCAAGCACGACAGGTGGGTTTTAACAACTGCAAACACATGCACGTCCAGGGGCGTGATATACAGTATACTCAAGATGTCACACTTTTAGGCCCATCCCTAACACAGCTCAATTAGACCTGCTAAAAATTATGATTCATTAAAGGGATATTCAGGCGTAAAATTAAGTTAGGGTCAAACACACAGTAACACCGAGTTAGACACCCCTGAGAGAGATGAATGTTGCCGACCGCTTGCTTCTCGAGTTATACCAACTTTAGTAACGACCTCACGATAGCAATATACAGCGTTCTGAGGAGCCATACACAAACCTCAACCAAAACGCCACTCTATAGCCACAAATAATGCTCAGAACAGCACCTAACTTCATCAACAGTAGTACATACAGAGTCACAGCCATAGCACTAGCCACCAAACAGCTCTTTAGCTTTGCCTAATTTCTTTAGCAAAGAGACTAAACACAACTCACCTACTCTCTTCCAGCAGCCACTTGTTTATAGCGAGACCTCAGGCCAGTCCATTCCAGAATACAGCGGGGTGACGCAGCTCAAGGAAGAACATTTATGATTATTTCTTTGATCATTTTTCATTTATCATCTCGCTACAAACAAGCGGCTGCTAGAAGAGAGTAGTTGAGTTGTGTTTCGTCTCTTTGCAGAACAAAATCGTGTCTTTATCCAGTTAGACTTCAGTCCATGATTTTGAAGAACCTGAAGAAACCAAAAAGTGAATGAACTTTGACATATCACACCCGTGAGTGCATTGTCAGGTCTTGAAACAAGCTGGTTTGACGTTATGGTTGTGCTGTGGGAATCCTTCCAGTCTGATGTCTGGACCAAACTTATGAACCACTGGGATGTAATGGAAGGTATAAAAACCCTGTGAAGAAGCCTAGACAGATAGTCAGTAGTAGGGGAGGTGCTGAAGCCCAGACTGAGGCCCTCCTGTATGGACCTTGAGTGTCCTGGCTTTGCCCCACTGGAGTCTGAACCAGGCTTTTGAATCACAGAAACACAACTATGATTAGACATTATCTATTTACTTTAGGGGTAGTACTATGGTAACATAAGAACAGATGACCTTTAAAAACTACTGTATTCATGTATATGATTGCTATAAAGACTGATTATTAGACAATACTTCCTTCGTACTGATCGACTTATTTAGCCTGCAGTTATATAAACCCCACTCATCCTCTTTCTGAATAAGTCCCACTGTGTCACTCATTCTTGCTTTTCTTAATGTGTGTATTCTCACTTATAAGAATACAAGTTTAAGATATTCACCATGACCTTCCTCCCGTCCACAACTGTCATTTCAGATCTGCGTCACTCCTCCCAGGAGAAATGTCACAACCTTCACTATTCATGTGTTTTGGGCTATTTAAAAAAAAAACACCAGACAACTTATACTAAAATTACTTTATTACAGTTGATTTCTGTTCAATATCCCTCTGCCAACACAATGGTAAATATAATACAAACAAAATAGTAAATTTGATCCTATTCTTATTCTGTTTTATGAATCTTTTTACACAATTTAAATCCAATTTTTAGTACTTTTACCATCTCTTCTGTAGAATCTTCATAATCTCTCTGACATTCAATAACAACTTCCACCACTATACAGTTTAATACAGGTTATGAGTTCTAGTGGTAATGTGCCAAAGAAGAATACTGACATCTTCAAAGAAATGCAATCTCTTTTCATAGTTTGCCTGTCACCATGTCACCTTTTCAAAGCCTTTTTTCTTTGGCCGCCAGACCAGAACCAACTTGTTTGTATTTGTTGAACATTTAATGCCGTCTGCCCCTACAATAGGGGCACATTAGACAATGCAGTGGTATCTGGGCTTGGCAACTCAGGTATGGCACAGTGTTTGACCGTAGAAGGGATCACCATATTCTGTTGCCGTTTCTCTTTCAGTTTCCCATATGCTTTCAGTCAGTAGAACAAAATTTGACATCAAAGTAATAAAATTAAACACAAAATAAAACCCCAGTTGGTAAAATGGTCTCTTGACTGAAAATGATTGACAACAATATCCATACTCCCTTACACATAACATTGACATAAAAGAGAACAAGAATTGTGCATATAAACTTAAAGGTTGGCATGTTTGTGAGGTTAGATTGGCCTAACATTCAAGCTCTTGGCTTTAGTTTTGACTTCAGGTCTGATCGTTTTACTTACATTCCCCTTTTCTTTACCAAACATCAATAACTCTGACAAGAAGTGATTACTATAACCTGCTTTATGGCAGTAGCTGGAACAAGTAACTTGGCGTATCTGGGACCAAACCAAATGTCACTTGATATAATGCGTAACTCTCAATAGGAAACGACGTGGACAAAGTTTAGTTCCACTTCTTTAGGAAAGAACCCCCCCAGCATTTTTGTGTCCTCAGATGTGATAGGCTTATATCACAGTATGACATTCAGAGTGAGCCAGCTTGTTTAAAAAAAAGGTGGCTCTGAATCAGTGGGGGAAGGGGACAGTCAGTCAAACATGTGCAGTGATGGGAAAACAAACTCTGCAGTGATGATGCTCAGAGATGGCCGTCTGAATAAATAAGTGGCATTTAAAGAAGATGACAGCAAATACATGCATATGAGGCATTCTGTCCGTGTACACAAAACCAAGAATAGCTTCTAAAGAGCTATGTCCAGACAACTCAACAGCACTTTCACTTGGAGAGCGAAAGGGTTTGCTAGTATCAGTGTGGTCTGTCAGTTAAATAGTTAGTTTTAGAAATTATTTCCTTAAAATGTAAGTTTAGTCTTTTAATGTGTCCTTTTAATAAAATATACACATATAAACATATAACTCCAGCTTTGTGATTCAAGGGAGTATCTCTGGAATAGTATCCATGAAGGCCTTTTTAACAAAGTCTTTTAAATTCTCTCTACGGAAAAGAAAAGTTGAACTTCCACAGAGAAGCTGTTAAAAAGTTAAAAGGGCAAAGAAAGATATTGTTAGAGGTGCAACTAGAGCTATCAATGGGATACCTAAGTGCTTTTTTTGCCACATTTATTTTGTATTTGGCTGTTTTCATAGTGTGTTGACTATATGTTATGTTTACATATATATGCTACAATGTCATCCTGGGATGTGCTTAACTCCGTCACCCTTGCTCTCGGGTTCTTGAGAGGTGTTGAAAAACGTCAAACTTAGCACCTTCTGGTTGAATTTAGTGTCAGTTAACAGGGCCCAAAGTTATTTTTGAACAGTGTCGTAGTTATCTTAGTAGTGCCAAGCCTGCTGTCATGGTCATCACAATAACATAAAGCTATCTGCCAGGGCATCATGGATTTCTCTTTGACATTAACTCTATTCAAGTTCGGAAAAATCACATCTTAAAAAGACCGCAGCATCCTTGATTGAGCTCTGCAATATTAACAGCTACACTCCAGAATAAATCCAAAAATGGAGGGAAAATGCTCTCTCTCTTTCTCTCTCTTATTCTTTATGTAGACTCGTCTGTACTTGGGAAAATCGCTCCTCCTGAAGAAAAATAATAAAAAAATCACAGCATTAGTGGTTCAACTTAAATGTAACTACACGCGTACCGACACTTGTCCACCGGCTGCTCCGTGAAAAGAAGTTGAGTATTCATCTTACACATATTTAGCTGTATAAAGTGCTTTTAAAAAGGCAGCAGTTTTAAAAAGGCACTAATAAAACAAACAGATTAATACTAGGATTGTTTTTAAAGGCAAACAAGTCTCCTCTTCTTTTTTAATCTCCTCCTACAACAATGACATTTCTGTAATGTAGAGTTTCACCCCTAGAGTACCGCCACTCTAAAGACTCTAAAATACAGTTACTCATATACACAAGTAATCTTTTCACACCATTTATAAGACTTCGCCTAACCTCATTGTAACACAGTGAAAAGAATCATCTGAGAGAAGTATTTGGGTCCTCTGGAAGTACAATCACAGCATGGACTGATCTATACACACACCGTCAGGCTACACTGATTATAAACTGATGAAGTCTAAAAACTTGAACTATAAACATCTGAGATTGATTCATATAATCATGGTTTAAAAGGCACTGTAGTAGTGTTGTAGCATAAGCTCTGAAACGGTTTACATTGCTTTATTTGGCTCTGAAAGTCTCAGTTTGGCTGATGCTCTTGGAAAAAATCAGGTAAAATCAAACTATAGAATAAAAGGAGGTGGTGCCTAGTTTATCACTATGACCATTACAGCAGGCTGGTATCCCAACAGCAACACATCTTTAGTATCATTTGCTGCATTTTCAACAATTGACCAGTGTATAATTGAGGAGGGATCAGTGGGTGTAAGAAGAAGCGGGGGGCTAAAAGACATAAATTTCCTGTGATTGTTTGATACCACATTGCTTAAAGGACATAGTGAACACGTGTCAAAGGCTTTTTAACAGTGTTTGATGTGCAAAATGAGAGTAATGGCTGTGTAGAGCACAAAAAAAATAGTTTTAGATTCTGTAGGAGAGAGCTGTAAGTAAAAACAAAAGGGAGTATTATGTGTTGACACCGAGATTGCAAATGTAACAGAAACGTAAGGATCTGTATGTGTGTCGATAAACTGCCGTGAGGACTGGCTGTCTCTTCCAGCCCTTTTGACCTGAGCAACATTTCTTTCATCACACATCCACATCTGTACACGGGATAAACTGAGGCGCAGGGACGAACAGAGCAGCAGAACTCTGTGTTTGTTGGATTTCACGTCTCCCTGCTCGAGCTGACGGGAGACCTATGTGTAGGAGAGGTGTGACCCGTTGGAAATTTGAGAGGTGACACTGGTACTCCTGCTCATGCTCGGGTCACTGCGCCCTCCTGAGGATGTCCTGCCCATCCCTTGGGGGCTGTTCTGTACACCTCCACTGCTGCGGGACACCCGGGCCGCTGCTGACGGGTGGCCCCACGGTGATGGAGCCCCAGATCCTGGCATGCCCTGCCCCCAGCCCTGCTGCATAGGTGCCCCTCCTGGACTTGAGTGATAGTGGTGATGGCTGCCATGGTGGCCTGACCCTGCGCTCGATCCGCTGCCAGCCCACTGCCCGCCTTGTGAGCCCGCAGATGGATGTTGCTGATGGTGACTCCAGTTTCCTGGAGCCCCGGGAAAGCTATTGCTGAGCCCCTCTGGGGAGACGTTGGATAGCACCATGTTGCTGAAACCCAGGCGCATACTCTCCGAGTCAAAGGCCTCCACTTCTCGGGCTTGACGCTCCAGCAGGCTCCGGATTCTCTCCAAGCGTTCGTTCTGCAGGGACTGCATCTCCTCCTCAATCTTCAAAAGAACAGAGGAGTTCATGTGTGTTTTAGAGCATATTTTCTGGTAACAGAAACCCCTAAACTACAGGTCTAACAATCCAGAACAATCAAAAACCTGATCAAGCCTTTAAATTTTGAGGTGCCAAACAAATGAATATTTTCTGTAACATGTAAAACTGCATAAAAATATCTATACAAGCCAACCTTCTGCTCCAGCAGGGCCCTTCTGAGCGACACCCTCTGCTCCAGGTCCTTCCTCTCACGGTCATGCTGGGCATCCGTCTGCATTTTGATCTTGCTCTGGTAGGCGTTGAGAAGCTCCAGCTCCTGCTGTAGCTGCATTCTTAGGGCTTGGCACTGAGCCTCCTGAGTCTCATCCAGACGTAGCTAAAGACATGGAATAAATACACAACTGTTAGAGATTTGAGAGCACAAATATGTAGCTGTCACGGCACAAATCTAAGAGCCTTTTGGGATCTCACTCTTGTTCGGATCATATATTCTTGCCGTCGCTTCACTTACCGCCTGAGTGGAGAGCATCTCGTTGATGGAGTGGTCATACTGCTCTGCTAGGATGGCGAGTTTGCGGTGCTGCTCCTGCTTCAGCCGTTTGAGGACAGCCTTGTGCTCTGACTTTGGTGTGGTCTCCAACAGGTGATTCCTCAGTGCTTTGTACTGCCGGGTCTGAATCTTACACGTGTCCTGGAACTGCTTCTTGATCTGTAGCTCTTTGGACTGAGTTGTAAAGAAATTAAACCATATTACCATTATTCATTAAATCAAGGATGAGAAATAGGTGAGCACTTTGCTCAGACACATTTTTCAAGTACCCCAATATGTGCATCCTCACAAGCTAAGTTCCCACCTTGAGGCTCTTGGGCTGCTGGCGGACCTCCATTACGTGCTTGCGCCGAAGTTCCCTCTCCCTCCTCTTGTTGTACTCTTGCTGGTTGGTGAGCTCCGTCTGGTGCTGCAGGCGGATCAGCTCAGCCCGTGTCTTTTGGATGGTGTTGAGCTGGCGGAACTCCAGCTCCTGCATGGACTCGTGGTGCCGGAGTAGCATGGCGTGTTCCAAGTCCTTCTGGGTCTGACGCTTATTTAGCTCCTAATTATGTGCAAATGTGGAAAACAAACAAAACGAGAACAGATTGTCAAGTTATCAAGATGAGTTTGCCAGTTAAGTAATCACTGTATGAAATATTGGAGACCCAGCGTGCTTACCTCTCGCACTAAATCCTGCTCAATATTGTGGCGAGCGATCAAGATCCTTCTTTTAAACCTGCGGCACTCCAGGTCCAGATACTGCCTCTGCCTGCGCTGTAAGTTGGCTTCCTCCTCCGCTTGGAAATGTTGGAAGTTCTCCTTTTGTTTTGCCAACCACTCCTGCTTCTCTTTCTTAGGTGTCGACTGGTTTTCATTCAACTCCTGAAACAAAAGAAGAAGAAAAACTGCAGGTCAGAAACAGACCAGATTAAACACACACAGGAAGTGAGTAAAGTGAAGTTTCGAAGACTTCCATACCTCTTTGAGCTGTTCTTTGCGAAGTTTATACTCCCGTTTCTGGGATTCGAGGAAGCTGTTGAGCTCTTTCTTCTGCTGACTCTGAATATGTTGTTGGAACTTCTTTTCATCATTGCTAAAAGTCTTTGCCTGGAGGAAAGATGCACACCAATGTCAGTTTTTTCTCTGTGCAGAACAGATGTTTGAAATGAGCTGAAGGTATAATATAATATAATATAGGAGGTAAAAGCATACATCTTTCTCCATTGACGCCTGGTGCTTCTTTATCAGCTTCTCCATCTCCTGGGCAAAGCTGTTCCTCTGGTTCTCCAGCTCCTTGTCCAGACGGAGTCTGTGCTCGTCCATCTCGGCCTTCAGCTTGTTTTCCAAAGCCATCAGCTGTTTCTGGTGCTGCCGCCTCATCCGCTTGTAGCCCAATATCTGCTCTCTTAACTCAGAGTCCTGCTCGTGCTCCTTAATCTGCCGAGTGAGCTGGAAAACACGGGACACATTGTCTTTTTATTGTTGGTGGTGAAAGGAGAGAGGTTTTGAGGTGGTGAAATATTTCTGTGGGTTATGTATGCATCAGATAAAAACGAGGACTTGATCTGAATCTGCACTCGATTACGACTTCTGAGCTTCAAAGTGAACAGATGTAATTAAAAGGAAAATACATTTAATGATTTTTCACTCAAGAGCCGACCCTGATGTCAAATATTCAGGCAGGTACACAAAGCTGTTGTCTTGGTTGTGTGCTGAGTTTTCTGCTCCCTCCAAGGGCTGGGAGATAAACCGAAAATTTAAAGATAACGAAATTTACGACAATAACTGACGTCATTTTGCCCATGTCAATATATTGGGTGTCAAAAAAATAAATAAATAAAAGTTGGTTTTGGATGTGAGTAGGTAGGCTCTGGTCTCATGTCTTTGTAAGATGCTGTCGGAAATGTGACTCCAGCCTATCCAGTGCACAACAAAGAGGGAAAGACAGGTGAGGAGCTGGAGGATGGTTCACAAGTTGTAGCGGCTGAAGTAGACGAAGTTAATGTGGGAGGGGGTGAGCAGCTTGAGGAGTAGTTATCGTCCATTTATCGCTATCGAGGTAAACTGCTCAATATATTGTGATATTGATTTGAGGCCATATCGCCCAGCCCTACACTCTCCTTCATGCGTAAGACAAGAACTGCTTTCTTACCACTGAGGCTGTGCGAATGGTAGCAAAGTGCTCGCGGTTCCGTTTTGGCCGTGGAGTTTGTGCGGGAGGGGACTGGGGCTCAGTTGGCCGGGTGTTGGGCTCTGACTCTTCATTGTACGTCTCTTCCTCCTGAAAAGTAAGATGGACAGAAAATGTCAGATAATGAAAATGTTACGAGTTCAATAATGTCTCTTGTTGTTTTAGCCGGAGCCTCGGCTTCTTACCGGTTTCAGATGGATCACAGAGCTGTTGGACATGACTGTGTGATCCCCCTCCATGTCCACCTCACTCTTGTCATCTCCTGCGTCTGTCAGGCTGTTGACTGAACTGCTCTGTGAACTGGCACTGATCGACATACTGGGTATGGACTGGTTGCTCCCCACACTGTTTACTGTACCCGTCCTACCCACACTGTGCTCTGGCTCCTTAAAAATAACACACATGGCAGACGGTGACACAGTTACAATAACACTCTCCTGTTACATAGGATGAAATAATGAAGATGACAGAAAGAGATTTTCTAGCAGGCAGTGGTCATAACAGTCATATTACCTCCTCTTCGTCTTGTGCCTCTGTTGTGGGGCCATTATGGGCTTCCTGAAACAAGATCTTCTTCATTTTACGATACTGCAGATTGTCCAGCTCTCGTACTGCATCCTTGGTCCGACTTATCAAATCTATTAGAACCGATTCTGGTCGCTCACGTTGAACAAATGCATGCTGGAGGACAAACACAGAAAAGACCTCTTATATTAAACCTCGAAATCTGGTTTGGTTTAAAGAATGACTCATCGATCGTCAGAATTTTTTTCACTCGCACCTTTAAGAGCTCCTCAGAATTTGGCCTATCCTGGGGAATTTTCTGAAGGCAAGAGTCTACAAAGTTTCTGAAATAATCCGTCCTAAAATCGAAGCATAAAATCATAGTTTGGTTATTTTGATAAGCACAGGTTAATAAAAAAAAAAGGTTTCCATAAATGAAATCCTTCTTACCATTCACTAGACTGCAGCATGGGGCTTTCATTCTGTGCTATGTGGTATAAGGCACTCATTGCATTCATGTTGAACAGTGGAGGCTTCCTCTCAGCTACACATCAGGTAGCAGGTTGAAACAAGGAGTCAGGCGATGGCAAAAAAGAAAAATTGAAAGAGAAATAGAAAACAACTTTTTTTTTTTGTTATCTTTGAGACTTGAAAAGAGATATCAGTGAAAGCGACTTACCTAATTCAATGCAGGTTATTCCCAAAGACCAAATGTCCACCTTCCCGTCATACTGACCCTCATCCATGGCTAAAATAACTTCCGGGGCCATCCTAAAAACAGAAACGAATACAGTAAACAAATCTGCACAAGAGCTGTGTTTTTATATTCACACCTTTTACATCTTACCAATATGGAGTCCCGACAAATGAGTTCGCAGGACAGGCGATGGAGGCCGAGCCGAAATCTGCCAGCTTCACCTGCCCTGGTTCTGTCAGCAAGACGTTTCCCGCCTTGATATCTCTGTCAAACGCAGAAAAAGGAAATAATTAAAGCACCGCACACGGAGACAAAAACGCCCGAGAGCAAAAGCACTCGGTGCCCAGCGTGCGCCTTAACACTTGAAAGACTCACCGGTGAATCATGTTGTGGGAGTGAAGATAAGCCAGGCCTTGAAGAGCACCGTGGGTAATTGCAGCTATTTCAACTTCTTGCAGAGGTTTCTTGTGAACTGGAGGGGATACATTCACCGACAGAGATGTAAACCAAAAGAGAAGAGTGACAGAGAGAATACAGTCTGTGCTTAGAGCCAGATATTACAAATAGAAGGATTTCAAGTTCAGGAGGTTTTCAACTCACCTTCTAACAAATCTGAAGCAGAGCCTAAACAATACTCCATGACCAGCTGCAATGAAAATCAGACATTTCTCTTAAGTTTCTTTGGTCTGATATCTTCCATCAGCACGTTGAAATGATAAAGCCAAACCTTACCCATGCAGTGTGCTCTCGCAGGTAACATCCTTTGTACTCTATGCTGTTTGGGTGCTGTATTCTCTGAAGGAATTTCACCTCCTTGATTATGTCTTGCCATTTCTGTGTGAAAAAAAGTCAAAATCATATGATTGCAATAAATAAAAATAACACAAGCCTTCATGAATGAAGATGTCAAAAACTGCCTCTCTGACGTACCTCACTGGACTGCTTTCCACTGTAAGACATCTTCTTGATGGCCACCACCTCGTTCGTCCGCACATCCCGTGCCTGAAGAGAGAGAGCATATTACTTATTTACTCTGTGGTATGAGTGGTGACTGTCATTTTTTTATTTTGGGGTGCACGTATTTTTTCTGTATCACTTTCCCATTAGCTTGAATATCTTAACTGATTGATATACACTGAAATGGACCTCATCGCCCGAACTGTTATGACATCCTAATCTGTATTAGAGATCAAACTACATAATCCTTGTGAGAATTCAGACTCTGTAAACGCCATGTAGCTGCTGGGGAGAAACAGCCATTATGTAACAACAACAAATCTGTTGTACTCTGACATAAGCGCTGAATTCGACAAAGTGCTTTAATCATAACCGCTTTCTCTGTAACATGATCAAAATGGAGGCATTAACACCATCAACATAACTTAAGAACAAAAGTTAATATTCACTGACTTCCATCACCTGATCATATTCAAGTGAGGGACATCTACCCATGAGCCTTCATGGTATTTCTAGCCCTTGGAACAGTGCTATTTATGTTACTGTGACTTTATTGTGAACAGACCATGTGTTTTGCCTATAGCTTCTCCAGGTTCGCTCAGCATATTGAGAGGGATGTGTAGTTTGCTCACAGTAAATTCAAAGTCAAGTCCTTTTAGTCTGCAGCAATGTATTTCTTGTTTTCTGTTGCCTCTTCATGTTCCTGCATCTGCATGGAGATTCCTGTTTACCCGTGCTACTTCTTTTTATCATTGAGGAGTTTTTTGAATGTTTATGAAACGGTCAGAAATTCATATTGATGCTTTAAACTTTCAGGCCACCATACCCAAATCTTTAAATCTGTACTGTGACAACATGGCGGCCAAAGGCATATTTACAAGAGGAGTGTCTCAAAACAATTGATTTCGCATGATGCTATATTAAAAAATTGCTTTTACTTAACTGAATAATCTGAATTAGGTGTCACTTTCAGCTTTAACAGCCCTCAATTTGCACCCCAGACCCCAGGTGTCCTTTTGAGCCGTTAAGTCTCACTGACATGATACAGTAGTATGAATGAGGTCAAAACTTACGAGGGCCTAAAACTTAATATTTAGTCGGTCTGAATACTCACAAAATACACGGCACCAAAGCTGCCATGTCCGATCTCACGTAGATCTGCAAAGAGCTTCTCCGGGTCCTCCTTGAAGAAGAGCTCAGCAACTTCGGGGTCCTTCAGGCTCCCCGCCCGACTGCTGTTGGGCATAGTGGGGTGAAGGGGGGCACAGCCGCTGCCGCCAGGAACTATCTGGTTCTGCGACAGCGACTTGACAACCCCCACCGATGGCTCATCTGCAGGACTGCGGTCTCATGTGTGTTAAGAGCTGAAAAGTACAAGGAAAATCAAGGATGAGTTCACTGACTAAACGAATCAGCAGTACAGAAATACAGCTTTGTAATGGTTTGAATTTTATCATATTGTTTGTTTAGGTCAAACGTAGCAAAAAGACACGTGTCGGCAAAGCCAGTCCACCAATGCAGCCAAAACCTAAGACCTAAAGCCTTAACTAAGGTCCACATGTGGAAAATTGCCTGTAGGAAATCCTGCAGTAACAACAGATAAGTCTTCTGTTTCCATAGTGACAGCAACCACAGTTAGGAAATCAGTGGGCTGTGTCCTGACAACCTCCCCACACACCTTCAGTGACTGCTATGTAGACAGACAGATGTGAGGAGGATACAAAGCCGACAAACTCAGACTCGAACAAAGACAGAGAGCCAACAACTTGCTTCTTCTCAGAGACAGATGCCTGAACTGAAACAAAGCATTCCAGTGATAGGACTACTTGTTAAACCTGTACTCGGTAAACACGCATCTCAAACATACCAAACGTTGCCCATAAAATCTTCCTTCAAGTGATTAAAGGGCTAGTTCGCCAGAGTCACCCAAGAAATCCTTTTCTTAGTCATTCAAAATATTTTGTGGCTAGTTCTGCTTCCTATTTCCAAGGTTTTCGATAACCACAGAGGAGCACCCTACTGTGATCCAGGTAGAAAACTTTTTTGTGCTGCTCACTGACATACTCTCCTTTCCACAACTACCCTGTACTTAAAGTAATCGATCAACATACCCAAGAGCAACTGTAACTGTCTTACTCAGAGGGTTAAAAATACTGACAGGGTGTGGGGTGTGTGAATTCACCTTATCTGAAAAGTTCACCATGTTAAACCTTATCTGCTTGACAAGACACCACCAGGAAGAATGTTTTTTTTGTTTGTTTGTTTTCCAAATGCTGTATGAACTTACCCTTTAAAATGTCAGACATAACGCCAATGTCAGGATTAAACTTCAAACTGTTAGCTGCCCATTAAAAAGTTTGCTGAACGGCTTAACTGCTGCGGTACAGATGTAGACTGTAAAAGATCACTGAAGACAAGTTTACTGAGTCCATGCGGCTCAGATGATCAGCTGCAAACAGATGCAGAGCTGACGCTAGAGTCACAAGACTTCTTTCCCAGCCTGGGAGAAACAGCCCCCAGTTCAAGCAGACATCTTTTGTCTCAAAACAACACTGAACAACTCACTCTTCCTCACAGATGCAACCACGGCCCTGAAATAAAGCCTCATTACCATGTGGGACTGTGCCTCTTTATTGCCATTGTTCCTTACTACATTGTTGCTCATGAATGAGCCTTGTTGTCATATCTCATGATGGCATTTTCAACTGGTGACACGTGATCAACAAAAGTGAGTGATGATAACTGATACCTCCATAAAACACCCTTGCGTTCCAACCAACACAGACTCGCACATGCACAAGAATGCAGCAGGACAGGACAACAAAAGCTGGAGGGCTGGAATTCCCAATGTATGTCCTCACTGCGCTGCATTTCTCAGCATTTCCTGTTAGCACAGCTATAGGGAGGTAGGAAGGGGCCCTGGTGAGCATTTTGACCAGTGATTATCTGTCTGTCTTGACTTCACAGCCATGGCGTGCATCCAGATGGTCAATACAGACAATTAAATACAGGTTTAAGAGTTTAGTTATCAAAAAACAAATGTATTTTTGAATCAAATGGATAGAGATTGTAAGTCGTGTTGGTTAGTCAAGTCATGAAATATCAAAAACCAAAACAAAAAATAAGATTTTTTTTAAATCTCCAGTGTATTCTTAGTCTTTCCCATCCATGTCAAAGAATAACACTCTCTTTTTTTGCCCCTCTGAGTAAGTGTTATTGTATAGGCCTACATTACAGTACACATATTAAGGGTTTTTCTGTGGGAATAAGACATGATCTTGTTAGTACAGTGCTGAACAATATTTTTACAAACCATTGGTATACAAAGTTTGCCTTAAAGCAAACATAAAATGATCATACCTGAGGTAAACTCAAGAGCCCAGCCCAACATGTTGTATCCCAAGTTACCTGTGGCTACTTGGGTAACACCTCAGCTGTGTTGCAACATGAGTGGAATTAGAGAAAGGACTTAGTGGGATTTCCTCAAAAGTTGTCACTTTACCAAAGCTGATTTAGCTGTCACACAAGCAAGTCAAACCCACTAAGTCCTGAAACGTACAGACCCAAGATCACTCTCAAACGTGCGCAAACAAATCAGGGATTTCAGAGGCTCTTAGCTAGCCAACGTTCACTGTAATGTTAGCAAAACCACACTTAACGTCAAGCTAAGATACGTTTCGAGTAAATAATGAGAACATATGCTTAATACAAGGATGTTATTATATTTAACAAACTTTTTAGAGGGTTTTGCCATGAATTGCTAAAGTAGCAAGCTAACCTCTGTGGTGTTTGCTAAGATAGCTTAGCCAGTTAGCTGAAACTCACCCTCTCCTGACAGGCCAGGTTTCAGCACTGTTCAGATTACCGTGTAATTCACAAACAGTTTGGGATTATTAAAGTGCTCCTCCTGTCTCATCCCAAACGCGGTTATTCGACTCACTCAATCCGCGTGGTTCTTAACGTTGTCAGTCGATAAAAACGTACAGATTTGTGAAATACTGTAGGTTAAAAATCCCCACCCTCGAAGTATCTGGGGTGCCAGAATAGTCGTATCCCACTCCCAGGCAGGTCCAAAGATGGCTGCCGAGCGCTCCACCGCCGCCTCCCTTCGTGGAAATACGTTAGAGGGGGGGAAACGTGAGGAAAGTTTAAACACCTCCGACACGAACAGCAAACACGCCGTGACGCTATCCGAAGTGTTGTTAGAAAGCTGAGGATTTAAGTCGAAACACTGGCATGTTAGTAACTCTGCTGCTATAGTTCGGCGGAGACTCTCCGTCTTCCTTCGACACTCAACGGCGCTCAGCAGTTCCGCCCTGCCCGCTGTAACTGCAGTAAACTCTCCCTGACCCACAAACATCCAGAGGCGGAGACATTATCAAAACACACTCCAGCAATGATATACTTGAGACTATATACTTAAAATATACATCACTTTTTCAGTCATTGCAAAGTATCTACTGGTGTTTTCTCCGCCAGGACACTTCATGTTTTTTTAAAGCTCCAATGAGAAGTTTTTAGCAGCTCATGAAACAGATTGAAATCTATATTGAAGCAGGTCCAGCCCAAGCCTCAATGGGGCCCTAAACAAAATTTGATTTTGGGACCCTCTATTTCTGCCAATAATATTGATTATTGGTCATTCACACACTTTCACAAATCTCTTTGATTTAAGGTCCTTTCATACTGGGATCGTATTTGTCGTGCGATTATTATTTTGGACATCCATATTTTTTTCTGAACCCGTATCCTGTCAATACAAGCGTTCACATCAGTGATGTTTTCCCGTCCTGCGATATTGCGGCATTTATTTTTTCGGATCATGGTAGATTTTTCTAAAGTTTCGCATTATGTGTGTCCACTTCTGACCAATCAGATTGCCATGTCTGATTCACTGGTGTATCCAACATGGCTGACCAGCTGATTGTTTACGTGTTGAGGAACAGAGTGCTTTTTGATACAAGACACAAACATTACAAAGATAACGACCTGAAGGAAAACTTGTGGAGAGTCATAGCGTCGGATCTCTCATATGACGATAGTTTATGTGCTTTAACAGTTTGCCAAACATCTTTGTTTTAACTTTCATCTGTGCTAACGTAAGCTAACGGTTGTTACCATAGTTTCATGTGCTTATCTTATCGCCTCTGATTGGCTACAAGTGCTGACCGTTTGGCTTGAGCGTGTGATGACGTTTCCAGCTTTTCTAGCCAATCAGAGGCGAAGGAGGAGGGACTTTCCCTGGGAGAAGTCTTCCTCGGGATACGGGATGCTTCATTTTACCCCCGGAAAGTCGCAAAATCACATCAGGCTTGATGTGTATAGTCAGGTGCGTCAAAATTCTCCTCCGAATATTTCGTAATTTCACGTTCTATATTTTTCTCTGCTCATGAAGGATATGTCCCTTATGCGACATTGTTTTGCTCCACAACTACCTGTGCTTTGGATGCCCAGTGCACACTGCACAGCAGGAGGCACATAACGGTGGCGGAGCTTTGACATAGCGGCAGTCTCACTGGCCTACATCAGCAGCAGCACTGAAATATTTTTACTTTATTTTATTTTTACAATAATATATATTTGATCTTAAGAAAGCATCACTCATACATGCAAAAAAATCACAAAAAATTATTTATTTATTTTTGATTGCTCTTGGGGGCCCCCTATTGGCCCCGGGGCCCTAAGCAGGCGCTTAGTTTGCTTATGCCTTGGGACGGCTCTGTATTGAAGTCTCACTGTGATCAAAAACAGTCATATTTATGACTTTTTGTTTACTTAAACTTGACTTAAACTTTCACGGCAAAATGACTAAAATGTGAAAAAAAACAGCCAATATTAGCATTGACTCCTACACCACAGCATAGCTTTCAAACTTAAAAAGGCACGACGAGGGAATAATCTGATTGAACACTTTATCAGGCAAAGCTAAAAAGGTGCCTGGTGGCTAGTGCTATCGTTGGGACCCTATATGTACTGTTGATGAAGTTAGGTGCTGTTCTGAGCATTATTTGTGGCTATAGAGTGGCTTTTGGGTTGAGTGCAGAGCTCTCTGTATTGCTTTCGTGCAGTCGGTACTGAAGTTGGTATAACTAGAGAAGCAGGCGGTCGGTAACATTCATCCCTTGGGGGGGTGTCTAAGTCAGTGTTACAGTGTGTATGACCCTAACTTAATTTTACGCCGGAATATCCCCTTAAGTCGACTTAATAGTAGGCCCATATAGGATTTTTCTTTTAACTTCTGAAGTGGTCATTATACTGAATAATATTTATTCTGGTTTCCTCAAACTCTGGATTTCTAGAGTTGTATGGATTTGCATAAACTACATCACACTTTGAGAACCCTGGATCAAGAATACTATACATTTGTCCCTGTAAGCAAACAATAGCCAGCTATCGTTTCCTTATACACTATTGAGTTTTGGTGGGTTTGTGGATTAAACTGTCTTTTCTGACTGATATTTCTGCATGACAACTCAGCAATCAAAATGAAACAGAGCTCACAAATGGAAAAGTTTTACACAAGTTGACTAAAGAGAGCTTTGGGACTGTGGGCAGACATGCTTCCTCTTTGGTGGGTGCTGCATGTGACCAATACTGCATGTGTTGCACAACTTTAGGCTTCTTCATAAAAAGAGATGATCCATCAGGTAGCAAAAATATACTTCACTGTCTGTGGGCCATTACAGCCAAATCTCAACATGAAGGCCACCATCTTGCCCTGATATGGCTGTAGCCATGGTTGCTACAGTAGCAGTGAATGGAGAAACTAGTCCTTGAGGGCTTCTGGTGCTTTAAAGGCTTCTGTCATAGGGATGAGCAAGGGAACGTTTCAGTCTGATTGTTATGTATTATTAATGGTTCCCATTTATACACCCTTAACCTTTATTTTTTCATACCACTTTCACATGTGACTAACTGTTATGGACTCAGGAGTTAAATAACTGGAAAAAGGTTACATAAGTACAGAATGATGAAGTCTCTGATCAAACAGGACAACGACAGAGATACATTTATCCACCAGACCTAAGCTCTAATAACTGTAAGTGAAAATATGTCATGCTGTAACACCAAGAGCAACATTCCTTGTGGATTTTTTTTATTTATTGTGTAATAAATGCCCTTAATTCACTGTATTTCTTTTAAGATTAAACAAAAAAAGACACAGTGCAGGATTTTTATGCTCATTTAAGGTTATATTTATCAATATACAGCAATGAGTGACAACGCAAAGTGGCAAATCCATCGCTTCACGTGTTAAAAACGGACTTTTATTTTGAAGGAGAAACTCTCCCTAAAAGTTTGAAGACACGCCTTCGCGTTAACGTCACTGCGAATGCGGAAGCAAACCGCCTGATTTTCCCACATGGTGAAAATGGCTGCGAATGGGGAAAAACAGCAGGGCCACAGAGCCGGTATTTACAAACAAAAAAACAAAGGCCACAAACATGGCAAGCACCGGACGAAAGGTGAAATCGAGAGAGAAAATAAAGGTAAGTCGTTTTTAACAACAACCGTGTCTTTGAGAACAGCGTTAGCTCTTTCATGTTAGCATGTTAATGTGGTGACTGGACACTGCAAACACACGTGTTGAGTTTTCGGGGTATTTAAGGGGTGGCAGCTGTTTAATACGAACGGATACATGCTGTTAAAGTGTTATTACACACTTTTAAGATCTTTGTAACATGCACAACTATCACCTGGAGGCAGGTCAGGCAATGACATTAATGAACCTATAATACCTCTATTAATGCTGGGAGCAGAAATATGGAATAAAACAGTAATACATGGTAATACAGGTGGAAGAAAATCTCTATAATTATCTACTAATTTATGTCTTAAGACGCATGTAGATTGTATTGTTGCGATATGGGGTGTATGGTTACGTCTCTGATCATAAATACTGTGATGCTCAAACGAAAGTAAACAGGCATGAAGGCTGAGAAAAAGGATGGTGCCATAAATCAATCAAATGAACATGTGAAAAATACGAGCAGAAATAAACAACAATAAATTAATTAAATAATTGGGAGTTTTACACAACTTAATGTACATATTTTAATCAGTGCCTTTACACGGTGAACATCTTATGGACTCTGGATTCTATGCATCAGATCAGGCTATGGGTGATGAGTGTTAAATCATTGTTTGTGTGCTTGTTTCTCAGGAAGAGTGTCTGTGACAGCCCTTACCAAAAAGCAGAGAAAGGAGCATAAGAAAATGGACAGAAGACACAAAGCCAACCAGCTTCGCAGGAATAAGAAAGACATGGTAACTTCTCATTCCACGTGAAAGTCAGTCTTCTCAAATTTTTTAAATGTTCTGTTCAGTGACGGACTCTCGTCACCTTTTTTAGGTCCTGACAGAAAAGCGACGACTGGGTAGCAGGGATGGTCCCCCACATTTGGTCGCAGTGCTTTCTCTCCATGCCGCCGCTGATGCCGATGCTGTCACCAAACTGCTGCGTGGTGAGGGCGCAGGCGGTGTGGTACATCAGGAGCGCTGCATCAGTGGAGTCAGCGACAGCTTCGGGCTGATTCTGCCACGGTTTAAGCAAAGATTCATCTTTCTCAGGCAAAGCACAGGTAAATATCAAAAGTTATGAAACAGTTGAATGTGTTTCATACCTCTGTGATGTGGCGGAAAATGTTTTTGGAGGTAAAATACAAATATTAAAACAAAAAGTATAATAATGTTAAAAAAATGACAAAGGTGTTGACATACACCTCTTCTACAGCTTCTGCATGTTTGTTGGAATACTCTAACTCCATTCATTTTTTTCAGAGCAGTTACAAACAAGTATATATATTATAAATGTTTTTTTTTTTGTCTTTACTGCACTATTTTCTCATTTCTATGTTCTGTTCTCTTCTAAAATGTCTCTCCAGATGACATGCACTCCCTGCTTGATGTGGCAAAGATTGCAGATAGCCTTGTGTTCGTGCTGGACTCCACTGAAGGTTGGGACACCTATGGAGACCACTGTCTGTCCTGTCTCTTTGCACAGGGCCTCCCCAGCCACGGTGGGTGAAAACCTCAACATACTGTTAAAGCTTTAATTTTCCTCAATTGATACATGGAAAGACTTCTTTTGCACCAGATTTTCTTGATTTATATTGAGGTGTATAATATCTAATCCTGCATTTCTCTATCCCTCATGTAGCCCTGGTGTGTCAGGGTGTGTCTGACCTCCCTGTGAAGAAGAGAGTTGAGTCCAGGAGAGCTCTGTCAAAGATCACAGAGATCCGTTTCCCCGACACTCGTCTCTTTCCTCTGGATTCGGAGCAGGATGGCACCCTTCTTCTCAGACACCTGGGCATGCAGAGACAGAGAAAACTCGGTTTCCGCTCCAGACGGTCCCATCTTTTAGCTCAGCACGTCACTTTTACACCAAACAGCCCAGGTGAGGGGACAGGCGGGGGACCCACCGGCTTGGGCACCCTTTGCGTCTCTGGGTATGTCCGAGGCCGCCCCCTGAAGGTCGACAGACTGGTGCACATAAGTGGACACGGAGACTTTCAGCTCAGTCAGATTGACGCTCCAACAGACCCTCTACCGCTAAATTTAACAACAGCCAGACCAGCGAAGCCCGGGAAAGGGGGAGATGTTGACATGATGGTGGGTGTTCTCTGACTCAGTTCTTCCTGAGATTTTATTTATAACCTGTTTTATGAAAATAAATGGTTTACTCATTTCAGCTATGATGCTTATACCTGGTTTTGGAGTTCAACAAATGTGTGAAAATGCATCAGAGGACAGAATATCGTCCGTTTATGTGTAGTTTACTATTCTGGAAACAATCAATTGAATTCTGGTCCAAAAAATTACTCATAACTTCAGCTCTATATTTGAGTTAGAGTTGATGCAAGCATATCAGATTGATGGTAGTTTAAGCTTCATATGTGCCCTGCCGTCTGTTCCTCACAGGATGGAGGTGAGGATGAGGCTCCAGCACGGGTGCTAATGAAAGCAGACCCATCCTGCAGAGAGAGTCTTCAGACTGAGGCTGAAGTGGACCCCATGGATGGAGAGCAGACGTGGCCAACGGAATCTGAGCTGCTGGAGGCTGAAGGTGCAAAAACATTATTTAGACATGATCAAATTTTGACACAATAGATATAAATATATGAACAGATTGGATTTTCATGATGAATTGATTGTTAAGAAACATAATCAGTTAGTTAAAAAAAAGACAGAGCAAAATACATGTTTTTAGTAATGTTAACTTTACTTACTTTATCCTGAATATTTGTCTTTGTTGTTTAGAGGCTAGAAAGACCAAGCGCGTGATGAAGGTCCCGAAAGGAACCTCAGACTACCAGGCCACCTGGATCGTCGATGAAGATGAGGAGGAGAACGGAGAGCTGGACGAGGAAAGCAGTGAAGATGACGATGACAACGATGACATGTTGGATGAAGCCATGTATGGGGACGACGAAGACATTAACTCTCAGGTACGCACTGGAAGTAAAGAAGGGAGATGACAGCAATAGAGCAAAAGTATAAGAAGAAGTACAAGAAGAGTCTGAACCTGTAAGCCATGGGCACCTCCTTCAAAGATAGTAAAAGAAAACACGGAGTTAATGAGGAGAAAATGTGTTTAATCTCTGTGTTTCAGAGGCTAACTGAGGAATTGGACTGAATGTAAAATAAACAGAGAATTAAAAGAACGGGACACTAGGTGGCACACAACAAGCTAAAGGTGACTAAGCCTCAAAACACGTCATTTTTCAGCATATAGTAGAAAGCTGACTTTACAAGAAGGATAGAGAGTAACTTGGAGGAAAATGATCTAAAATTCACTTTTTGTTTGACCCTTGAAAAAAGGAAAATTAAGTTTAGAAATCAAGTAATAAATATAGAAGATAAAAGGGTAAAATACCACTAACTAAAATCAGTGCATAATAAATACACCTCTTCACTTGCAGATTTTGCAGCTTAAAAACTAAGATATTTAACATGAATTTACCGCTTGTTGTTAACATAGTCAAGAAGATAATTATTGTCCATTTGGTGTTTTATAATTAAGCTATAGCTGGGTTGAAGGTGTTTAGGTATGATTCTATATACTTCTTAAAAAATCTCTCTGAACAGATTTAAAAGTTAGTTGTTTCAGCAAAGCCTTAAGTCATCTTTAAGATTAGTCTGTTGAACTTCTTCTTGTTGTCATAGCAACAGTGAGGCAGTAGTGAGGCAGCAGTCAGACAGCGTCATCTTATCAAGGATGTGGGGGACAGTAACCTCTGGAGAAGAGGTATTCGTGGTTCCGGGGCTGCAGCGGTGCATACGTGACCCGCGGTGGGTGCTCCTCGTCACTGAGAGGCACTGTTTGTTTTCCCAGTGTCTGCCTCGGCCTACAGTGCCAGGCTGCTCACCACAACAATAGTGTTTAGAGTCCCGAGAGAAGCCTCCTGTCTTCCTGTCCTGTGAACAGAACTTCCTGTCTGGACCAAAGGGAGGGGTTGAACAATTTATTTATTTCCAGCTCGGCTTGAAAAGAGGTCGGGGAAACTCTTCCTTATGCAACGGGTTCATTAGGATCTGTGATTGTTATTAGCATGTGTTTGATGTCATAGGAATACGTATCTAGGACAGGGTAACAATGGGAAACGGGCACTTCAAATGATAATGATTATTATTATTGCTGCGGGGATGTTGGAAAGGTTGTGAATCAACCTCCTGCTGGGTGCTTCCTCCTCATTTGTCTGACTCTGTCTGTAATCTACAAGTCAAAGGTGCACTTACGAGCATTTTCCCTGTGATGATTCATTTCCTTGTACAGTTTTATGATCTTCTTCAGTTGAATTTCTAGACATTCCTGAAAGTAGATGTCTAGAAACACAGGATTCACTTGCACACGCTCACAGGTTATGGAAAAATGCAAATATATGCAAACCAGGGATTCCGAGATTCCTGTCCTTTCAGTCGTGGAAACACACCACCATCACCTTGACACAGCGCTCTTACACAGTATACAAGTCTCCGCAAACATTGGGGCTACTCAAAAAATCACCTTTTCTATATCTGGCATTCCCAGATACCCCATGTTCAAGTAATCAAATTACTTTATAATCAATTGATTTCTTGCAAATGGTATATTTTTTACCCAAAACAGACGTCTTTGTAGTAGCCATTTAAGGTGGAAACACAGGAGTCTAGTTCTAGTGCTGGTAAAGTAAAAGGTTCAATTTACCAAACATGGAAAACGTAATGAAACAATTTTTTCGCCATGTTTCGAGGGAGATTTATTTTGGCGCTTCATAATTTCCACCCACAGTGTTAGAGTTGCAGAGATGTTAAAAACTATACATCTTTACTACAACAGCTTCTGCATAACTTTTCATAAAGTAGCACTTTTTTTGGAAGCTCAAAGTTGTCTTTTTGGTCGTATAAAAAGCAATTTTATAGAATTGACTGCAAATTTTGGGGAAAATTACAGCCCACCTGGATAAATACGAGTTAATCCTCCGCCCTCTTTGCTCAGGATGCAGGTTCTGGCTCTGAAGAAGAAGCCGAGGAGGAAGAGGAGGAGGAAGAGGTGTGCTCCACAGAGCGCGCTGGAGCCGATCAGCGCTATGATGACAACATGGATGAAGCTGCAGAAGAAGAAGGCCTGAAACGCTACCGTGAGGCACGAGCCAATGAAATGTTCCCAGATGAGGTGGACACTCCCCTCGACGCGGCGGCCAGAATCAGGTCTGTTTTGTTTCATGATGGAGGCTGAGGAAGAAAAATGAACACGCTAAGAATTCAAATTATTCCCATTATTAACATTGTCTACTTCCTCTAGATTTCAGCGCTACAGAGGTCTGAAAAGTTTCCGCTCCTCGCCATGGGACGCCATGGAGAATTTGCCTCTCAACTACTCTCGCATCTTCCAGTTCCAGAGCTTTGAACGCACCCGGCACCGCATTCTGGCTGAGGCTGCAGCTGAAGAGGAGGGAGCTATGGTAAAAATAAGCACGGTTTAATCCTCATCTGAAGAAGTTTTTGTTCTTTCTTGTGGCTTTTTCTGATTCTTCCTCTCCTTTCTGTTTTAGGTGGGCTGGTATGTGACGCTGCACATCACTGATGTGCCATTTTCCGTGATGGAGAGCGTCCAGTCAGGCCGACCTCTTATGTTGGTGTCCCTGTTGCCTCATGAACAGAAGGTACGACCACTGTAACAACATCCGAAACCCTTTTTTTCTGATCACTTGTAGTTTGTTAAAATAGTCTTTTCTGTCATTTTGATTATTTTCTCACCTCCACACAGATGTCAGTGATGCACCTCTTGGTGAGGAGACACCCCAGCAACACAGAGCCAATCAAATCCAAGGAGGAGCTGGTGTTCCACTGCGGCTTTCGGAGGTTCAGAGCTTCTCCCATCTTCTCCCAGCACACGTCAGGTACGACATCTGCAAATCAAGCAAAGATACATAACCCTGACTACAAAATATGAAGGGCTCACCCACATCAGGGGTCACAAGAGTAACATTTCATTTGGATCTGCTCTGGTGCTGAAGTAAAAACAACCGCTTTGACAGCAAGAGAGTGTGACAACGATTTTCATATTCTTGGAATTAAATTGGTTCATTTTCTAGTTCTGGGACCGTTTACTTAGGCTGAAACAATCATTTACTGTCCAATAATATTGATTTGCTGTTATGTCTAAACAAACAATAGAAGAATGAATGTGGAGGCGAGTGGTCTGAGACCAACGCTGGCTGCTGGATGCGAAGCAGTAAATGAATTATTGAGTGTTAAACTTGGCTTGGCTTTTCTCCAGCTGACAAGCACAAGATGGAGCGCTTCCTCAGGCCAGATGCCCCCACCGTGGTGTCCGTGTACGCTCCCATCACCTTCCCGCCCGCCGGAGTCCTGCTCTTCAAACAGAGGAGCGATGGTGAGATGAAATAAGTAGATTTTGTCATAACCCCACTGCCTTTATTTTGAACTTTTGACCACCATTAGCTTGTCTGTTTTAATGGTTTTATTCAATTTTCCACTTAAGCTGATTTTGTCCCAGGTCTTTAGCTGTTTTTCTTCTTGCTTTGGCTTTTTAGGCATCCAGGATCTGGTAGCTACAGGCAGTCTGCTCAGCTGTGACACTCAGCGCATTGTGCTCAAGAGGATAGTGCTGAGCGGACACCCGTTCAAAATAAACCGGCGCTCCGCTGTCGTCCGTTACATGTTCTTTAACAGAGGTATGAAGATATTATTATTCTCCTTTTTCAGATAAAATATCAAATTTGACACGTAGGGTTGACCGTTTTTTTTTGCTCCTTTCCGTCACAGATGATATCATGTGGTTTAAACCAGTGGAGCTGAGAACAAAGTGGGGTCGAAGGGGCCACATCAAAGAGCCTTTAGGTAACAACATTTTAAAATATAAACACAATTTCAGACACTGTGATCAAAAAATTGTTAATTCTTATGAATTCTGACTGTTATATTTACATTTTACAGGAACACACGGGCACATGAAGTGTGTTTTTGACAACCAGCTGCGCTCTCAAGACACTGTCATGATGAATTTGTACAAGAGAGTGTATCCTCGCTGGACGTACGATCCCTACGTACCCCTACCACTACCCTGGGTGAAGAGCGAGACCACGGTGGAGATGGACGACTTGGATATGGAGTAGCGTACGGACTTGACTCGCGCGAACTGACACTCTGACTCACAGTGTGATCACCTGTCATCATTAAAAGTAATAGTTATTAATTAAATACGCAGTAATACAAACTCCTGTTGTCTTCTCACTGTACTGTTTCCAACTTTCAGCAGAGCCTGTTTTGACCACTAGATGGCAGTGATGAATAAGTCTTTGAAAAAACTCCTTGACTTTGAGCAACTTTTAACCTGGGTTATACGGGTAAAGCTGGATAAGCAGCAGTGAACATGTTGGCTGCTTTGGGATAGATAACTAGATTTCTTAGTGTGACACCAATGGGCAGCAACTTTAGCTTTTACAGAAGTTGTGAAACGATCACATTATACCTCTACAACATACGTCTCAAAGCCTGTCTGTAGCCTCATTAAAAAAACACAAAAAAACAGACTACTATTCAGATCCAGAGGAAGCTAAATCATGAAAAAGGTCCAAATTTCTCAGAGGATTCGTCATAATTTCTCATTAAATGACTCATAGCCTCGAAGATTGTCACTCACAGCAGCAGTCAGGTTTATTTATGTCATCTTTTTCATGAATCTGCCTCAGTGAACTATCAAAATTTAATGAATCACCAGTCTCGGATAAAATAAAACAGTCTGAAACACCTCCTCCGAACTCATTCCAGCTATTTCAGGCTGAATGGCATCAGTGTGAGGTTGAGTGAGCGAAGAAAGCAGGAATTTCCATTTACACTTGCTATCTACACTTTCCTGTTATGTGTTATCAGGTGATAGATTCTACAAGATGTGCGCCAAAAATCAAATAACAACCAAAAGTATGAGGATTTATCTACTTCACCCACTACCAGCAGAATATGCCCCTCCAAAGGTGGTCTTGCCCCGACCTGAGGCCTTCTTGTCAGCTCCAGACTACGCACACACTCCCTCCAGTCAGAACATCGACCGAGGCTAAATCGCTCCTCTGACGTGCGTCCTCTCATGCCCCGTGCTTTCTTACTCTGGAAAATACAGATTTATGAATTGCAATATTTATCATAAAACAGCGCTCTTGTACGCTCGCAGCAACATGATTCATCCTCGGGCTGTGTTGGGACTCCAGCGCAGAGGCATGCCAATATGTCTGGGAAAGCAGAAGGTGAAGACTTTGGGATGGAGAGGAGAACATGATCCAAGAAGCAGAGGGGAGCAAAAGTTCACTCTGTGCATTTTTATTTGATTACAGTGGAAAGAACTGAAGAAGAAGAAAAAAAAAAAGATAATACAATTGAAAAAGACTAATGTCTTTATTGCCCATGGGGGGCAAGCTGGGAGCTCTGGACAGCTTTGTGGTAACACTCAATTTATTTCCTTCTTTCCTACTTTTTTTTTTTACGTGTAAAAGCAAGGGCACAGTTACAGTGATGTGTTGAACACATCTTGTTAAAGCTGAGGGGAGGGGTGTGTGTGCTCTGCTGGCCAACAGTTCATGGCAAGGGGAGGGGGAATTCAATACCCCCTTGATGGAGAATGCTTAAAGTAACACATGGACAAAAAATGGCTCTGCGTTTGGATGCATTTTTCCCTGACACTATCAATTTGAAACAGATAAACATTGAGCTGTTTGGGGACTACAACTGCGACGTGGTAAAGCTGCATCCAGCCCATAAGTGAAGTGTGTGTTTGGCAGCGTCACAGGACGTGAACGCTGGTGACTTAGTGCTGTTTGGATCAGGAATGTCTTGTGGTTCCCAGTTCTCTGCCACCACACTTAGCTGGCTTCCAGTGAAGATATAATGGGTGAGAGATTTTTCCGTTGGATGTGGATGTAGAAACGGAAGGAGGAGAAAAAGAGGGCAGTAAGAGATAAGAGAAGAGCCAGTCGATGTTGAATAGAAACCAGAAGTGGTGGGAGGAAGGAGTCAAAGGAATGCAAAAGAAAAGGGGGACGCATAGAATTTGGATATTATAATAAAAAGTTAGAGGGTGAGAGAGGGAGAGAGAGTGAAATGGAGGAGTGTGAGAGTCAGAGGCGGTGTGGGCGAGGGAGCAGGAGAGCGAGAGTGGCTGGCGTTTATAGATTGCAGATGTGGCGCTATGGGGTTTTGGCAGGGGCTGTGCACGCCTGAATCCTGCACCGGCTGGGTGGCACCGGGGTGAGAGGGAGGTCACTGCACCGCAGCACACAGCCCATAAAACACTGAGAGTAGAGGGGGAAACAGAGAGAGAGAGAGCGAGAGAGAGAGGGCCTCAAATGCACACTTACCCAGGAGTGCAGGGCAGTGGGGGTGAGCGGCCAGATCACACTTTGGGTTCCAGCATGCACAAGGAAGCTAAACATCCTGAATAAAGTCAGGCTACCATTAAAACCACAGGTTAACACATCACAGTTAGCATAATAAGCCTATCTCATGTTTCATTAAAATGAGCCTTAGCAAAAAAAACCACCAACCATGACAAAGATCACATCTTCTGTGCGGTTTCATTTTTCATTCATAATCTCTCTTATCTGAGTCTTATCTGTGAAATTAGTCATTTTCCGTTTCATCATCTGCACTCCTAATCCTTTTTTAAAAAGTGATAAGGGACTTTGGAAACAATACAATATAATATGATACAAAGAGATATACCATAAGAGATAAGACCATAAGATGTGATAAGGAACAATACAGGATAGAACAGTCATGGTACTGTAAAAAAAAAGCAGAATATGTCATTAACCACACAAAATGACACGAAAAGATACAATACAATACAATACAATACAATACAATACAATACACTACAACACGATACGATACAATATGTTACGATACGATATGATACAATGCAATACAATACGATCTGATATGATACGATACAATGTGATATGATATGATACGATGCGATATGATATGATACGATACGATACAAAGTGAAACAAGACTATAAAATTTGGCAAAGCACATTATTGGAAAAAACAATTACGTTATGACAAATAGATAAATGACACTGAACGACGCAATAAGATGAAGATATAGATACTTAAATAAAAGGTGTGGTAAGGTACAATACAGGAAAGAACAATCATGGTACTGTAAAATACAGTTAGATATATCATAAACAACATAAAATGACAACATATGATAGGATACATAGGATACTATGCAAATTCATACAAGACTATAAAATTCGGCAAAGCACATTTTTTGAAAATAACAATTACGATATGACAAAGTAGGTAAATGACACAGAGCGATGCAAGAATGGGAACTTACTTTGCCATTCTTGAGCGAAAAACACTCGGATCCCATCAGCTGTGGTTGGATGACTGGCTCTCTGATCGTGGGCAACGGTTGAGGGCTTCTGGTACAGCCTGTGCTCAGTGATTAAAGACACTCCACCAAGACTTTGATTTCTGATCATCGCCTTTGTTTATAGTCCAACCAAAAATCTGAAAAATAAGTATAAGTAATATGAATGATCACCACAAAAGAGCTCTCATGTTGCTTTACAGCATATTATGTTTTTTCCCTTCCTGAGTACAGTCAAGATCTGCAAGGTCTACACTTTCATGCAGGATTTATTGCATATGATTAGTACGCAACAAGCTTGTCAGTTTTAGCATGTAGAAGAATGCGCCATAAGCCGCGCTCTTCTTGCAGGTCTATAGTAAGTGTGTTTGCAGGTACGTCATGCAATAATGAACCAATGAACAAAAATGGAACTGACTGGCTCAAACAGGCCTACAACACTCATATCTACTCTTTTTATCCCTTTTTAGGGCATTTGATGAATTGATTGCTTTCCGAAAACTTTAAACAGATATAAAAGAACTTTTTCACCCACTCAAGCATTATGTAAGATTCTTAACTAGAAGAAATGTTTTTCCAACCAAAATAAAACCGAGTCCTGATTTCTTAGCAATATAAAACCAAATGACAGCACCAGTATCAAATACTAAAACAAACTTAAACGGGCTCAAGTGTTTTTGGAAATCTGATGCTTTGTACCGCTCTGCCCGTGAAAACCTTTGAGGAACATCTCATGCACTCTCCTGTTTATGTAGGTGCTGCCTGACAATACTTTCGCATTAGGTCAGCTCTGTTTTTCTCTTTCTTTTGTGATATCTTTCCCTCCCTCTCTTGTTCCCCCTTTTTCTCCCCCTTTAGCCTGGTCCTGACTCCCTGGTTCCTGGGGCCTGGCCAAGGCGTGTGTCCCTGGAGGAGCTGGAGAGGAGATGGAGAGAGGGGGCAGCAAGGGGGCGCAGAGACCGACTCCAAAACCACAGCTGCAGCAGCCTCTCCTCCTTCCTCTCCTCTCTTTTCCCCTCTTCTAATGCCTCCCCTCCTTGCCTGGCACTCTCCCCAGCTCTGCCATTAATCAGTGAGGGTATTTCAGTGCATGTGTGTTTGTGTGCGAAGGAGAAAGATGCTGACTTTGTGAGTGGCGGACTGAGTGTTTATGTGTGTGTCTGTGTGTGCTGATAGAGAGCTGGATTGGGTCTCTGGTGATGGTATGGAGACCAGGATCGCACAACAAAGCTGGAGAGTTCACCCAGAGAACAAAAGGAGGAGGGAGGCAGGGAGGGTTATGACAGACATAAAGCCTGGTGAGCAGATTGGGACTGCCAGGAAGAAGTAGTTAGATGATCTGCAGAAGTTTTAAGCATCACAGGAACAATCGGAAATGGACATTTTTTGGGATTGATCCCGCAGCACCTGCACATGGATGTAGAGCTGACACACTAAAGCAACAAGTTCATGACCCTACGAGTTATAAAAATCACCTCTGAGGTAAATGTTGCCTCTATACATGCACTTCTTCAGCTGCTGATTATCCAGGTGGGAGTGAAATAAAAAAAAAAAGAGATAAAGTTTCCAACCTGCTCTGCTCTCACCCCCCCAAAGGGCCTCCCAGAGTGCTTTTCTGCTGACATCACTGCACAGAAACCTGGCAAGCCAATCTCTCTCCGGCTCTCTACCATTCCCCTCTCGACTGCTTCCTGCCCTGATGATGTCACACACCATATGGTTTTCAGCAGTATCAAGCCGGAAAAGAGATTTAGTCGGTGAAGGAGAGGAGAAGGAGGAGGAGGAGGAGGAGGGCTGGAACCCAGGTCGGACACAGAAAACAAAAGATTCGCTCTTCCCCTTGTGTGTGTAACTGTGAGTGGAAGGTAGAGAGGGAGAGGAGGTGGGGGTGAGAGAGGGGAATGGCTGCGCTGTGTGAGGCTAATGAGGAGAGTACAGGGAGCAGAGACCATGTATCGGACAGCCATGTGCTACCCAGACGGCCACTGGACCGGCCTTCACACAAACACACATCCAGAAATACACTCATACACACACACTGTTGGGCAAGAGTCAGCAACACTAAACTAACTCAGCCACATTGGTAAATTAGAGCTGACCTCGACCTGCTCTGATTAAACACGATTCAAAATGCCGCGAGGAAAACACTGATTTTGTTGCTTAATTTTCTGTTATCTCAGATTTTTAACTTTAACCTGCTGCCAGAAACTTAAAACTGATAAACACTTAAAAAAAAATCATAATTTTGGATCATATCACTACTTTTGTGTGATATGTCTCATGGTGCTGATTATACTGATAGAGAGTAGTCCATGTATTTTGCTGTTTCTCTGCTGTCACAAAGTATTTTAGCATTTTTTTAACTCATTGTTTTTTTGTTTTTTTGGCTCAGCAAGCAGCTTTTTTAAATTTCTAGCAGTAAATAATCAAATAAAGTTTCTCCAACCAACTTTATTCTGCCTGCGTAGCTGGACAAGCTTGCAAACATAGTTGAGATTGAGAAAAGACGTGACAGAAGTTTCCAACTTCTTAAAGCTGCTGTGAGGAACTTTTAGTTTGTGGTGATTTTTGGCGCCCCCCTGTGGACAACGTGATACCTCTTATCTATCACCCTGCGCATATGAATAACAATTCTCAGACACATAACACATCTTGTTGTGTATAAAGTCTAAAAAGGCTTTTTTTAGGCCACTTTAGCAATAAAATGACTAAATTAGACTTGTTTCTGATGAATTTGTTTATTTTTGAAGGACACAAAGCGGCATTAGTGCTAGTTATAATCTGTTTCTCAACCAGTTAGAAACTCCATAAGTCAAAGTAAAATTTTCTCACTATCTCAATCTTCCTTTTATTTTTACCTATTTTTTCTTCAAATGAGTCAAAGTACTAAAAATTACTTATAGGCTTCAGCAAAATTTCCTAGAAAAGTCTGTAATTGGACCCAGCAGTCTTTCCTAAAATGCAGTCCAGATCCTTGAAACGTCGTATCTTGTTTCTGTAGTGAAGCCACCAGCCAGGGCTAAAGCCAGAATGCTGTCATGCTATATACCAAACACAGATGGTATCTTGTAGTTTGTACATTCTCATCTTGAAAATGGAGATGAAGTTGTTGGTAGGCTGTGACTAGTCTAACTACTGGATTGAAGCAACATGTGGAAGCTAACTCATATAGGGGGCCTGAAACCTGGTGGTGCTAGCTCTGCTAATGGCAAACACAATCTGAGATATTGTATTTAGCAGTGTTAAATAGACTGCGCTTAATAATAGTATTTCCTTACCCTCGGTAAACCATTATTTAAGTTACAGTTTAAACATTTGGAAACTTATTGTCTTTGGAGCATCACTTCCTTTTGCATTCAGTGTTTTTATAATCAACAAATTGTGCAACCGTTGGTGCAATAAGACATAAATCGACCTGTTTTACTCATTTTTATCACATGATATATTACAGAGATATTCATGGAACGTTGACTGTAAGGTGTGGGTGTGGTACACAAGCAGCAGGGATGACTGCGGCCTTGAGAGGACTATCAAACAAAGCAGAGTCAAGAACTTAAGGGAGCTGTACAAGGAGAGGACTGAGGCTGAGTCAGAGCATCAATAGCCACTACAAGGTATGAAGTTCAACAGTCTGTGATGATTTAGTGTCATGTCATCTGCTGCTGTTGGTCTCCTAGGAGATTTTTCAGCTCTTCATGCTTCCATCTGTTGAGAAGTTCTATGGAAATACAGATTTCCTTTACCAGAAGGGTCCGACACCTGCCCACAGAGCCAAAACTACCAGAAACTGGTTTGCTGATCACGGTGTTACTCTGCTTGACTGGTCTTTATGGAGACTTTCTGGAGTATCCTCAAGTGATGGATGAGATACACCAGAGCCAACAATACAGACGAGCTGAAGGAGCTAACAAAGCAACCCCAGCAGAGACACAGACTGATCGCCTCCATGCCACGTCACACTGATGTACTTGTTCGTGCAAAAGGAGCCAATGAGAGAAAAAAAGAGCATAATTATTCAGAGTTTGCGTTTCGGTTTAAATCCTTTTTCTGGATTTGCGTTTTTTAAAAAAGGGGATTTTTAATTTCCATGAGCTGTTAGCCGTTATCATCAAGATCCCAACAAAAGTAGTCCTGAAAAATTTATCACTTAGTTTGGGAGTTTCACTTTCTAAATTGAATTATGGTAGGAAAAAAAAAGGTTTTGGGACATTTTAATTTTGGTAGACCATTCTTTGGGCACTTTTCCTTTTTAGGTAACTGCTCACCGAATAAGGCAAGACAGTCAAAAGTGAATATGGGAATCAAAACCAGAGGGTATTTGTATGCATGTGTTTCCTGGATTTCAAAATCAAGTAGGCAGATTGTAAATTAAGTCCTCCTCATGGCACCATAATCTTCCATCACAGGCAGAGGAACAAACTAGAATAGCGACCCAACGCTCACTAAGGCCCTGCTCCATCTAATGACATGCCTTGCACGCCTCTGCTCTAAAGCTGTCGTAGAACCGCTCATTAGGATGAATTAAGACAGGGCCTGTGTGTAAATGTTGAGCCTAGCGTTCAATTTCTGGTGGTGAAGGGAATCTGAAGCTGGAGGGGGGCGTGCCCGGTATGGTGGAGTGGTCACAGCAGGCATCTGGAGATATGTGTGGGCCATGTCCACTGGAGAGAAAGAGAGAGAGAGAGAGAGAGGAATGATTGATGGGAATGAAAGAAATAAGAGCGAGAGCAAAAGGTCTTGTGTGAGTCGTTGAGAAAAGTGTGAGACCTTGCGCTCAGATGGTCTATTTCAAGGTGTTAAGACTGTCCTGTCTTTTGTCCAGTGTTGCTCTTTTCCTCTTCTGGCAGGCAGAGATGGAGCAATAATAAGGTGATTGCAAAATTTTTTCACTCAAAACTTTAATTGAAACGAGGTGCTGTGGGCCTCGGAGACTTTGTGACCCTGCAACATATCCGCTCGCAGATGTCTGAAAAAGTTGGCTGCAGTCATTCAGAAAGTTCACCTCCTCATTGTGTTCCTACATCCAGCCAGCAATGCTTCTTCAAGATATATGTCACATGTAAAACCTGCATTTGGAGAGACGGTGAGAGAAAGGTGTGTGATTTAGAGAGTGACAGCGGACTGTTAAGAGACCTGGCTGGCCTGCCTTATCTCCAGCTCCGTTTCCTCACTTAGAGAGGGTCTGCTTGGGGAAATAGACATGCACTTTCTTTGGGATGGGCTCTCTGGACTGTTTTTGTGGCTCAGCTCTCTCAGCTTTAATTGAATCATTGCTTACAACCAGCAATTTGAAGGCCTTTTCAGTTCATTAAGAGTTCAGTGTTCAAGGTTTGCAGCCCTGCAGATTACGGTACGTTTAATTGTGTTTTGACAGGCTGAAGTTGAATGTCCAGCGCAGGCCTCTGGGGGCTGATTGATTAGAGAGATAAAGTCTGTCTGGGAAGACAACAGCTGTACCATGAGACATGTAAGAAAACAAAAATTAACCAGTATAAGTTTTTTTTCTACCAGGCGATTTTTTTTTTTAAACTTTTCCCTTCTCTCAAAAGCAGCTTCTAGGCCAATCTTAACAATCAACATTCAAAACTGATCTTTGCTTTTTTTCTCCCTGGCTGTCCGCTGGTTTTTGCTGTTACGGTGCATGCCAACATGTCTGATCCTTCCTAGAAAAACTAGCTATCATTCCTGGCTGTGACTTGAAAGATGGAGATAAGACATGACATGGCTTTTAAAACTCGAAATCAAAATAACTCTGACTAGTATGGTCCTGCACATGCTGCAGCAGGTGCAAAGTTTCACTTATTGGTTAGATTTTTGTATTTTGGAAGCTCTCCTTTAACAACCCTGCAGTATTAGAATTTATTCGGTATCTTAACACATTAAATATTTCCTATTTAAAGCCTTATCTACAGTAAAGATAAGATAGGATCAGATAAGATACTCCTTTATTAATCCCACAAGGGGAAATTCCCAATTTACAGTTCATCCTTTCCAAGAAACATACAGTAGAGAGATACATACAGGAGAGGACAGGAACAGGAGAACTGTCGGATTGCTGGCGCCCCTTTCTAAGTTGAGAAAAAGGAGAACAGGAGGGAGGATGATGGGGGGAAAAAGCAACGCAAAACTCTGCTTCCATGGAGTAAAGTAAAATATGTTATGTCAATGTTTAAAAGAAAAGAAAAGAAAAATTAATGATAGGATAGGATAGGACAGATATTTTATCAATCTTTTGTGGGAAGTTTCATTATTACAGCAGCCTAAGTCACAGTCAGTCAGACAAAAACGTCAAACAGACATTCAGGCACACAAAGCATTCATAGATACAACAAACAACGAGACATAAAATTGCACTAAATCTAAAAAAAAAGAGTATTAACTCTCAATAAAAGATATAAATCTAGATATAAAAGCATGACAGAAACAGTCAATTTGCAAAATATTGTGCTTAAATGTGCAGAAATCTTACTATCTAAAAATCATAATTTAAAAGAGAAGTATGGATATTTATATCTAAACAAATGCATGCATGTGAAACAGCATCTAAAACAGCTTCTGAGCATGAATGCATGCTGCTGTCATCGTTTAATTCTGATCATTAAACAATCCGATAGACCTTCTATTCAGCCCTGCACTTCGGTTGAATCAGAAGCTGCTGTGCTGCAGCATCTGTAAACTGTGGAGTGGGTGTAAGGAGTTACGAAGGGTGGGCTTTGAATTATGACGCATTCTTGGCTGTGTAACCTGCTGAATGCATATGATAAAAGGATGGATAGATATGGACAGACTGAAAGATGCCATATAAAAAAGGTACCAATAAATGGAAATAGAGACAGATAGGTGGTTAGATAGATCAACTGTTAGCTACCAATAAATACTGATGGACTGTTTTCTATCTATAAATAGATTGCCTACCAATAAAAGTACCAATAGACAGCTTGATTGAGATCGAAGTGATGGTTAAGTACCACTATGACTAGATTGCTACATGGATAGATAGTCTACATCTTATAATTCCATCTAAGCAGAGTTTGTGAATGTGAGTATATCAAAACATAGGGAAATGAATCTATGTAGAACAAACCTGAGCCGCTTCCTCAGGTGGAAAATCTATTTTGGAGCATGAATCGAAACACAGTGTCACATCCTTCATTCAGCACATCTATTCTCCCGCACAGGTCCGCAGCCTCAGCCTGGGAGGTTATCACCAGTTCATCGAGGGAACATGGAAGCTGCAGACAATACCACCAGGCTCACTGTGTATCTGGGATTACCTCCATCAAACGCCGGCACCCTTTGGAGAGGAAGAGACCCCGCATGTTGTATGAGATAGTCAGCTGCTGTTGTGATCGCAGTCAACATAAATAGGCCTCTCAGTCTGCTAAGCGTTTCACTGCATCACAGCGGCTGTTCATTAATAGCTGCTGTGATGGTAAAATAATGACTTTCATCAATTTCAATCTGCGGTCTTTCAAACACCTCAGGGCGGCTGTGGAAAGACTTAAGGGAACAATAACAGACAGGCCTTTCTGACACAAGCCATCTAAATAAAGGAGATTAAATGAGTGTCAGTATCAATCGTTTAAAAGTTACTTACTCCTCCTTCTCCAACTGAAGACATTTAACAAAAGTATGAAGACTCAGCAGTCCTCGAGGGACCTAATTTCTCATATAAAAATATGATAAAAACACAATCAGTTGGACATTTAAAACTTTTAGATGTGGAGCCTTCAAAATAAGAGCCGTTCCAGTATACTGAATTATTATTTGGTACACATAAAATCATTAAAATAAGCCCATTTTGACCAAAAACAACGTTGGAACAGCTGCCTGGTGTATTCTTGTGAATTTATGACTATTATTGTGCTGTAGGGGAGAGTGGGGTAAGATGAGCCATTTTTCATATTTCGGATCACTACATCAAGACAATCATAATTTTGTCTCTAACTAGTGTATCTGCATATATTTCAAGATGTTGTACATCCCTGTAAACCAACAGAATGAGTGTAAACAGATTTGTCTTGATGATATAGCATGCCAAAAAAAAGTGGTCTCCTATGGTCAACTTACCCCGTGTATGGGGTAAGTTGACCATAAATAACAGTCAATTCTTCATATTCATGTGTTTTTAAATATTATACGCTTTTCAACTGGTACAATAATTCTTTTGATTATTATTGCATATAACTGCTAAAAAGCTGTTTGGTAAAAAAACAGAAGAAAAAAATATTTCAACAATCTGACCTGAAACTCTGATCCTCTCATCAGACTCCTTTACTTTTTCAGTTACTCCTGAACTTCTATTATGACTTTATTAGTCCTCTAAGATAATATGACAGACTTTTATGTTAGGTTTTTGACCTTATGTTGTAGCTCATAGATACCACAATTGATGTGTAAAACAAATTTAAAAGGATCTTTTTTGGTCTGAACACAATTCTAATCAAACTTTTGACAGACTAAATTCACTTTCAAGAGTGATTTTTTTTTTGTAAATAAATGTCTAACCCCTTCACCCATGTGCTTCTAACCTTCACAGACTCCATGCATTGATGCCCATCTCCTAAATATTTGGTCACATGATCAGTTTCTTTGACCAGTTTTAAGCAACAGGTGGTGGCTCAACTTACCCCACTCTCCCCTATAAAATGAGCCTATTTTGACTAAAAACAACCTGGAAACGCTGCCTGGTGTATTCTTTAAAGTTATAACTATAATTGTGCTGTAAGTATTTTCTTATTTAACTGACAGGATTTTAAAAGTGCTGAAACTTTCATATATTTCAAGACCTCCTCACTCGACATAAACCCTTCAGTACATTTTTAAGCCTAATTTATCATAAAGATTATTTAGGTTGCAGTTTACCCTATGACTCTTAAATGATGCGCACAAGTTAAAGGTCATAGTTTTCCTTCCCTTTCACCCTCCTCCTCCTCCTCTTCCTCACAGATCTGCATGTCCTCCTTGACAGAAAGTCCACAGGGACCGAGAGCGCCATTGGGTGTCGCTGTCCGCGTAAAGTCTCCACCGGCAGGTTTTGGTCCGACCGGACCCCAACACAGTCTGAAGTGTCAGACAGTCTCGTTAACACGTGAGGAAATCCAGTGTATGGGAAAGAGAAGATAGAAGAGGAAAAGCGGGAGAGGGCTGGCAGGAAAAACACGCGGAAGAGACGTTTTTTGGGGGGAGAGCTGGACCTGGAGGAAACCGCCGAGGTCTGGATGAGGGAATGCCGAAAAGGAGAGCGTACAGGCGGCCAGAGCACCAGACATGAGTCCGAGGTAAGAGCGTGATTCGATAGAGAGGCGCGGAGGACATCCACGCTGATGTGTGTTATTCTGTGACATAATGAGCAGCTGGTGGGCTGAAATGATGAGTTTCCACAGGTTTTTAATACATGTAGTGTAATCGTTTTGAGTCTGTGGTCCTGATGGAGCACAAAGCGCAGACGAGACTCCAGCATCTGGATGATTTGGGCACGTCCGGCCTTGAGCTCATCTGGAGGACAGTCTGTTAGAGATTTTTAATGCTCACTGATCATCTTCATCACGAATGTTTAATTTATAAAAGACAGAATGTCAAAGAAGTAATGTATTTTAAAAATTAATTCAGATTAGTTCAAAAACTTTTGCTTTTTCATGACAAATCAGCAGGACACTGTTATAAGCTGCTTTTTTTGCAGGATTTAAGGTTAAAAAATCATTGCAAACACACTTTCCAGTGAGTTATTGCTCAGTTTAAACATCACAACATACCACTATGTCACTGCATCGTTTTAGAAAAATGTAAATTTGAGGAGGTTTATTGAAGTAACAGCAGGTGTCTCACCTGAGAGACACACACACACAGAGAAAGGGGGAGGTAGAGTTTTAAAAGTTGTCAACCAAGCCTCCTCTTGGTTTCCACTGAGTTGATCTTTTCTTAAAGTGAAGCCAGAAGGACTATTAAAGCCTCAACTGCTCTCTGAGGAGGTCTGTAAGGAAGAGTTACACCATTATTTAACTGTGTAATGGATTTGAATTATTTAAAAAGCAGTGAAATTTCACAACATCAACAAGTGTGCATTCACTTCATAAATCCCACTCACACAAAAAAAAGCAAACACAAATTAGGTTTAAATTTGATTACAATAAGCCCCTGGTAAGAAATAAAACCAATTATGCTGGTGTGTTTAGGGGGAATGTAAATCCTCATAGTCATTTAAATGAATAAACTTAAAGAAACTCTCAGTCATCTCTATTATTTCACTCTTCTTTCGCCTCAAACTGACTGCGTAATCATAAATAAGGAACATAGAGTATATCTGAGTGTATACAATGGCTGCCTGTCTCTTTAAGACGATGTGTTGAGAAGTTCAATTCGGGGTCACATAAAGTTCCTGCCCTCGATGTTACCTTTTAGTTTTATTATAGACTGACATCACACGGGGCGCTAAAACACTTAAGGCGCATAGAGGCTCCATTATCATCCCGGTGCGCGTTATTGCTCCGACTCAAAAATAGCTAAGGAAATTACTGGGAAAAAAAACGGAGGAAACTGATGCTGGTCTAAGCACGTAATTTTTTATAGGAGGGGATGAGAAAGGGGGGGTAAGAGTAGAGGAGGGGCAGAGAGACACTCCGAAAAAGAAAAAAAAACGAAGGAGAGGGAGGAAAGTGGGTGGGAGGACGGACCTAAAGGAGCGACAAGAAATTCATATCAATTAATAATCATAAAAAAAGAGCTGGCAGACGAGCGCGGAAAACTGGCATGGTTTTTGGAGGCTGGCAGTTCAAAGCTGAAACGTCAGATATGACTCCTGGAGGCTGCTGAGATGATCATTAAGGGAGACTTAGATCGGATGGCAGCAGACATCGGGCATGCAGGTAAGAGCTGAGACTGTGGTGTGCTGCGAGACGAACAGGGAGATGAAACTCAGGAGATGAAACTCAGGATTTTAGTTTTTAAAGCGTTACAGCGTCTAATGTAGGAGATGAAGCCTGTTTTTAATCGTATCGATGAAATACCAACGTGACTTCTAGTTTTTGGTCTGATATTATGGGAACAAACTAAGAACTGGATGCGCGTAATAATAAATATCGCAGAGAATTACGCATTTGGCTCATGAAACAAAATGTACGTGTTTGTACAAAAGTTGTTTTAAAGAATTCTAACCATGGATCAGTCATTTAGTTTGTAAAATTTCCCATCATGTTTGATATTTTTGTTGTGAATTTTCTTCCAAAAATTAGTAAAATGATCCAAAAACTTTCCGGTTAGTTTACAATATAGAACAAAATCTCTCCTTTTTGTATCATGACAGTTTTTAAGAATCGTTTCTTGCACTTATTTTTTTCATTTTTTTATTAAATTCTTCTGAGTGAAAATTTAATGTCGTCTATAAAAGTTGGGGGGAACATGAACCTATGTTAAAAGGGAACTTGAGCTTCTTCATGATCCTCTAATAAATTTAAAAGGAAGCAGCAAATCACAATGTTCCGTTCAGGCCTCTTACTGTGTGTTTTAATGTCAGCACATATAAAGCTTTTTTATTTTTAATGCATGTTCTGAGCGCCTCTCTGTTCGCTTCTGATAGGTCAGCTGTCTCCACACACCTTTACGCACAATGAGCGGAGATCGTTTTGTCTCTTGGATGATTTAAGACTCTTTCTGTGTGTCTGTCTGTGAAGCGCTGCAGCTCTCAGGGATGCGTCCACTCGTGATTCGGTTTACTGAACTCTGTGTGAAAAGCTGCTGAGTAAAAACTAGATTAGAGGAACAGACTGAGAGTACGGTGTCACCGGGTTATATGCTGGTTATTTGCGTTCACGACTAAACGTGAAGTACTCAGACTGAAAGATTTTACCACTGAGGAAACCATGAAACCTGTAAATACGCTTAAAACACCATTAATTCAGTTTCACTTGTGTACAAAATCATTGCTTACCGATTTTTAACGTGGAAAAAGAACTTCTATGTGGTGAATAAAATGATCTAAATTTATATCATAAATAACTATAAGACTTGCATGATGTTGAATGATTATTCCAGCACTGACAACTGAATTTTCTAGATAAAATGTATCTGTTTAAAAAAACTATTAATTCAGTGTGGTGTTTAAACTCCAGCTCAAGAAGCTGTGTTACACCTACACTATTTTCTCTTTACATATCTGATTATTTTCAGATACGCAATAACAGCAATACAACAGGAAACTGACTCTGACTCCCCCGTGATGTTTGCTGACTAAACCTCAACTTTTTACCTCTCAATCTGCTCTGCAACACGTCCTTTTTTTCTGACTTTATTGTGAAACTCACTTCTTTATTTACTGCATGTGAAGCTTACTTGGCTTGTTTTTTTTTGCATCTCGTGCTACAAGAATAAGCAAAAATAAATTATTTTAATGTAGACCCACTTTAGAGAATCTACAGGGATATTACTGTCACTTGCACCGGAGTGTTTCTTCATAAATTAAACATGTAATTTATGCTTATGGAGTTAAAAAAAGGCTTCTAAATTAAACAAGGCGGTATGAGTATGGGAAGCAAATTGTAATGAAAGAAAATAAAAGGTTAACACAACGTTTTAAGCAGATGTGTGCAGTGTTTATGTGACTGAGGCTGCATGCAGAGGTAGGAAGTTTAGTCTCCTGTGTCACCCCCAAACCACAAAAGTGACAAAACAGACAAAACACAGGGACATGAACATCAGCGCAGTGCAATGACTGAATGCTGCTGCCTTTAATTACAGTAGTAACAAATTTCCTCCGCTTGTTGACGCATCATTAAAAAGAAAGCTGTCAGATCAAACGACAGCCGTGCATGTAACAGTGACCTTTCTGAACTCTGCAGCACTGCACTGGATGTACAAGCTCATAAAAGCTTGTATAAAAAGGTTGTTCAACACGACAAAACAACAAAACAGAGCGAGGTGTGAGCTTCAAATGTGTACTGTAACCTGATATCTGTGTTTTCTGACTTAATATCTTTGCAATCGAAGATGGCTTCCTAACAGGATGCAGTGAGCTTACACTCACCGTTCAGATCGAGAGTTTGACAGAGCATGTTTTACTCTGGCCTTTCACTTTATGTCACTAGGCTATATCAAAGAGTCGGCGCAGATATTTCGAGTCGTACCGCTGCTTCTCTAAACACTTTCACAGACAGCGAGTGAAAAGAGATCCTAATTGTGTTGGTGGGAAACCCACAGCCACTCTGACTGTCGTCACCACAAGACGAGAATACGTTGTTTATGTAGAGCACGTTAAGAGGGCTCAAAAATGTGGTTTTGAGTGCTAAAAATTTATGAAATTACAAGAAACTGAACATCCTCATGGCTTAAAGACCCCTCTTTAAAATCCTGAAAGGCCAGATTTTCCGTCATGCGTTGTAATGCAATTGACCTGGGTCATACAATACAGCACTGTAGGCCGGGTATGGATGTGAATGGACACTCAGTGTGTGTGTGTGTGTGTGTGTGTATGCGGGTGCGCAACTTGTCACCCTGTGCTGCACTGCAACAGTCAGATGAACACCCGCTCATGCAGGCCGAGTTTCTGCAAAGGCTTTCTGCAAGTTTCGGAAAGTTATTGGTCCATTCCTCATATAACCCCAGCGAGTCTGATGTGACCGACGTTGAAAATTTATAGTAAAATATGAGTGTTGAGTAATCAAAACCAGATAGAAACCAGGAGTGGAAACAGTTTAGATGACAACTCGGAACCTGATGGAGCGTTTACCGACATAAACCTGCCATACAGGCCTTAATTTCACTGTTTTTTACTGTATTCGACAAAGTTTGAACTAATACTGAGCCATATCCTACAAACAAGCAATGAGTATTAAAGGAAGCACTTATACAAATGAGATCTTAAATGATTATTTCTTGTGGTACGCATTGTTTTAAAAAGTGTTTTCTTTGCACTTTGGTGGCTGTTCTTCACATGATCACTTGCTGACTCTCACTGACTTTTCATTTTCCACTTTATCCGTGATGACTTTCCCTTCTGATGTAAAATTTCAGCCTGATGCTGAATATGCATTCTCAGAAATAAACCGCTAAAACTGTACTTAGGTTTGACCTTTAGATCTCTGACTACACAGTTTAGCTTCAGTCTTTAGTAAGAGATAAAAATAGACTAATGCTTCTTTTCTCTATGCACGATAACTGGGAATTCCTCCGTTTAACATTCGTCAAGTTATTTTTTGAATATAGATTCACACTTCCCCTTTTTTGTGCCGTGAACACTGAATGAAATAAACAAGAAGTGAATGAGCTGGTGTCAGGAAGGCCATGATCACACAGATGACATGATATTTATTTAGTTGCTTGTTTCCCATCAGCGCGGCTCAGCCCTCAGGGACACTTTGAAACGTTTAATCTCGTAAGTAAACTCTCCTCAGATGCCACTGCGTGAACAATACATGATGCTTCATGCGTGCAGCTGAAAAAGTTTATTTTCGGCTTGTTGGAACAATTAGTGTTGATATTTGAGTGTGTGTGACTGCGTGAGCGTGTGTGTGCATAGGTTTTTTTGTGTGCTGATTTACATCCTTTGCGCTCACTGCTCCTTATATGACTGGGCAGACAGAGGAGCAGAGAGAGAGAGAGAGCTATCTTTTTTTGGATGTGTCCTTCCCCTGCAGGTTTATACCTGCTGTTCATCACACTGATGAAACATTCATCTTTTGCTCTGTTTGAAAGCCTGCACACCACCTCTGGAATACTTTTATCAGGGAGCCAGCAGCTACAAATATATGACAGCGGCTTTTTTCTTTTTTTAATTCTCTAAATTTTTTCTTTCTCTTCTGCTCGCTGCAGAGGAAGTAGATTTCCGATAATGAGAAAACCATTGCAGCTCTCCACCTTTAGCGAAAGTTTACTTTAATGAGAGGCCTTCACGTGCACGCTCCATGCTGGAGTTCTGCAGCCGAAACATGTTCAATCAAGTGGGAAGTGAATTAAACCGACTGATTCTGTAATTTTAAAAATGCAAAAACAAACTGAGCACTAAAACTTCAATAAAGAGTTTGAGAATTAAGTTATTAGTTTGCTAAAATAATCTATTAATCCAGCTCTAACCAAAACAGCACTATCCTCTGTGGCTTTTCCCGTTACAGTTTCCTTTTCACTCACATTTTTCATCTTTTAATCCCACTTTTATCATCCTCTAAAGTTCAAATCTGTTTCCCAACTGTTTTTTCCCCTCAGAGTCAGAGCTTACCCTTCTTCTATAAAAACTAAGAGCCGCCAGAAGTCAGAAGTAAATTAAAAAAAGTCCTTAGAAGCATCCAAACTATCCAGAAAGTGCGCTGAATTGGTTCTAGTTAAAATGTGCGAACCTCAGGGCAGACAAAGCCCCTTGGAGTTCCCCTAACAGAGGCCAGGACCCCAGGTTAGGAACCGGTGGTGTAAATAATAAACATTCTTGCACAAATACTCAAATAACCACGCTTGTGGTTCACAGATGTACGAATCCGTCCTATGATTGAGCGCTGAAAGTCTTATTGCCGCATGACATTTACAGACCTCTGTTGTTCCAGGTGGCGGACTGAAGACGATGCTGGATGCCATGGACGTTCCAAGTCATGCTAGGGATCTCCTCCTGCAGCTCAACAGCCAGCGCACCAAGGGCTTCCTGTGTGATGTCATCATCGTGGTGCAGAACGCCCTCTTCAGAGCTCATAAGAACATTTTGGCCGCCAGCAGCCTCTACTTGAAATCCCTGGTGGTCCACGACAATCTCATCAACCTCGACCACGAGATGGTGAGTCCAGGGGTCTTCAGAGTCATTTTGGACTACATCTACACAGGCCGCCTTAGCGAGGGGGACCCCACCTCTCCCACTGAACCCAATCTAGGGGCCGTTTTGGCTGCAGCCAGCTACCTGCAGCTGCTTGACTTGGTGGCTTTGTGTAAAAAGAAGTTGAAAAGAAATGGCAAGTACCCTCCACGCCCAAGTCCTGCATTTCTGCCTTACCCAAAGATGGGGCCCGCTGGTTTAGGCTCAGGGGGTGGGGGCAGGTATAGGGTTTCTACCATTCAGTCCTGCCATGCAGCCCGAGCAACAGCACTAGAGGAGCTAGTCCCCCATCGACTAGCCATCCATGCTGGGGAGCTGTACGCCCCCACCTCCGCCCAAGGCTCTCAGGTGTTCCCATCCCTGCAGCCGACTTTGCCAGCTCAGCTCGGCCGCTTAGCCCATCCAGACAGGAACTGCTCCCCCAACTATGGTCTTGATCTCTCCAAGAAAAGCCCCAACTCCCAGTCCCAGCACACACCCTCCCATCTGGCAAACACCCACAACGATGAGGAGCGAGACGGGACTCTGAGCGAACGCACCAGTCCCATGCAGGTGACCAACGGGGGGGCATTTCCCTCAGAGAAAAGAGATTCCACCGACCAGGCCAGCTCCTTAACTCCTCCACCTTTCCCCCACCCTCATCTCAACCAGCCTCTCGCTCCACACCTCCCCCACCTGCACCGCTCCAGCTCTCAAGGCACGGATCGCTACCTGTGCCCCCCAAGCCCCGAAAACCCCACAGAGGGTGCAGAGACGGGCAGAGACATGAGCCAAATCTACCGCTGGGTTAAACCTGAACCATTCACAGCTGACGATGACGAAGAGGACGAGGATGAGGAAGAAGGGGGTGAAAACGGAGACCAGCATCACAACCACCACAAGCCAGGAGAAGACAGTGAAGGAGCAGACGACAAGAGCGGGTCAGGCACAGAAGAGACGGGCAGCAGTGAAGGCCGCCCTTCACCTTCTGGAGGGATGGGGAGGTTCCACATGCCCTATGAGCCTGAGAGCTTTGGAGACAACCTGTACGTCTGCATCCCCTGTGACAAAGGTTTCCCGAGCTCGGAGCAGCTTAATGCACACGTGGAGACACACACGGAGGAGGAGCTGTACGGAAACTCTGGAGGGGAGATGGGGAACAACAATAACAGCAGCAACAAAAACATCAGCAGCAATACGAATGGTTACGGGGGCCTGAACAGCAGCAACAGCTTGAACAGTCTCTCCCACCTCGAGACCAAATCCAGCCAGAGTCTGAGCCCAGGGGGTATCGTGGAGATGATCAGACCCTATCGCTGCTCCTCCTGTGAAAAATCCTACAAAGACCCTGCGACTCTGCGCCAGCACGAGAAGACCCACTGGCTGACCCGGCCTTACCCCTGCAGCATCTGCGGCAAGAAGTTCACGCAGCGCGGCACCATGACGCGCCACATGCGGAGCCACCTGGGCCTCAAACCCTTCGCCTGCGACTCCTGCGGCATGCGCTTCACCCGCCAGTATCGCCTCACGGAGCACATGCGCATCCACTCGGGGGAGAAGCCGTATGAATGTCAGGTGTGTGGCGGGAAATTCGCCCAGCAGCGCAACCTCATCAGCCACATGAAGATGCACAGCGGCGGAGGCGGCGCAGGGGGGTTGACCACGGATGGGAAACTGAAGCTGGACTTTGCAGAGGGCATCTATCCTCTGAGTAAATACGCAGCCGAGCATCTGGGGCTGAAGCCGGAGAAAGCGAACGAGCTGCTCATCCAAGCACAGCAGCAACTGGTAGCAGATCAAAAGGTCATGGAGAGCCTCTACCCGCTGTCCAAACTGGCCTCGGAGCACCTGGGCCTCTCCCATGACAAGATGGACGTCCTGGGCCAACCCCTCCCCCCTCCTCCACAGGCCCTCTCTGAAAGCCGCACCATCGATCGCTACTCCCCCAGCTAAGACTGCACGACTGGTTTTAAAACAGCAATCACCAAATAGGTCTGTGTGCACACTTTTTTGTTTTTTTGCAGTATTCAAAAGCCGTTCACCTCAACTCAGTATCTCCTCTGCACCTCAGACTCAGGCCAAAAGGAACTGGTCTGCTTATGCACACCACAATGTGTAGACTGTAAGTGCCTTCAATGCATCCTATGTACCTTTAAGCCTTCCTTTCTGGAGGAGGGGCTCCGTGCCTTCCTGTGACCAAGGGACACTCACTCAAAGACGTACAGTATTTATGTACAGCGTATGCAAAAGAAACATTTCAAAAATTTACAGCTATTGAGCCAAAGCGACAAACCGAAAAAACCAAAATGAGACTGTCTTATTTATTTTTGTATAATGGTGATATCCAAAGAGAAACTGTTGCAAGGAAACGTTGCAATCTGACCCTAAACCTGTGTACAAAAAAAAAAAAAAAAGCACATAAGGACATGATTCAGGGTTTTCGGTCCAGACCTGAGCGGAACTTTTACAAAATGCATAAGCCAACTCTTCTGGACTTTAAAGAAATGGGAAGATGTATTTTTATTTTCATTTTTTGTTTGTTTTTGGGGTACTGGACAATTCATGTATCTCATTCTCCAGCTTTGCCAAAATATGTCCCTGTATCCTACAATCATCGGTTCATTTTGGTTAAGCTTTCCTTTATTTTTCCCCACATTTTTTAGGGTAACCCACACCCTTCGAGGATTAAAAAAAAATCATCTTATGTGACAGTAATGGTCGCTTAATAAGCCTTAAACTCAGCTCGAACTTGAGCTGAAACTTCCTTTAATATTCGACTAACTTCTTGAAGCCTTCGGTTGTTATTGAGCACAGCCCTGTGATGTCAGGACTGGGACATGACCACACATACCCAACTGATGACAAACTGATCCCAGATCATGGGGAGTGCAGCTCCGTCGAAGAGAGGGTGTTGCCTCTGAATGTTTTCAGTATTAACAATAGTGGATGCAGCTGAGCGGAGAGGCAGGGGGGGCAGCTCAGAATTAATGACACAAATATTTGTCATTTGCTGTCAGGAAAAATGACTGAATTCGCATTAGCTTGATGATTAATGGAGCTGCAGCAGTAGTCGGCGTCTTCTCCACTGTTGGACCTCCCTGCTACTGTTGACAGGCCAATTGAGTGCTGCACTAACACACATAGACCCCCTCTCTCTACACACACACACACACACACACACACACACACACACACACACACACACACACACACACACACACACACAGATAGCAGCCTGCTAATCTGCCCCTGATAGGAACATAAGACGGGGTTTGTGGGTCTTCCCCCAGAGCAGGCGGGTTAACAGCGCACCCCAGCTGCTGTGCCTCAGTAATCCCTGTGAAATCTCACTTTCTCCAGGACAATTCGCACCGCTCGCCGGCACCATGTCCCATTTCATGCCTGCCATCTTACCCCTCTGATCCACTTATTAACACCACGTCCGAGCCCCGGCAAATGTCTCCCTCCTCCTCCGCCTCCTCCGCCTCCCCCTCTCCTGCTGGTATCAAAGAATGTTTCTGCCTTTGCTGACCAGCAGTTCTTCCAGCTTGAAAACAAAAGAGCACTTAAAGGTTGCGGGTAGACGGCACATTTTTGTCTTTTTCCAAAGAATTTTTTTTTTTTTCCATTCTTTCTTGTCCTCGATTCAGATTAGAAATGTCTGACCACTATAGTGCCAACACCAACCTCAGTGGGTGAATGTGAAGACTAAAGCCATAAATACACTGTGATAGACGAAGTGAATCTTAAGGGCTTAAAAAAATTACAGAGACCATGTGCCTGACTTTAGGGAATGTTTTTTTTTTTCTTTTATAATAATTTAAGGGCTTCTTCTCTGTAGCATATGATCATATCAGACATGTTGTTTTTTTCTGTCACTTCCTTTTCTTTCTTTTTTGGTTTGAACTGAAAGCAGCGCACGTGAAACTGGTGCTTACCTCAGGACTGAACCCAGCGGGATGCTTAGCTTTACTAAACCTTTAAACACACTTTAACACACACACACACACACTCACACACACTCTGAACTTTCTCATTTACAGGGCATTTGTCCTGTGTTAAACCTGTGGTTATTTCTGTGTTCATACATTTCTTGTTGCAGTTTTATGTCAGAGATAACATGTGATATTAACTTTTTTTTTTTTTTTTTACTTTTTATGCGGTAACTATTTTTCTTATGTGTGTCCTCAAAGAGGCGTCTGATTCCATTGTCGTAACATGAGGCTCAGTCATTTCAGTAGCATCTAAACTGGCAGTTTGTGAATTCCTGAACCACGCCGAAACAAAAGCGATCGCATCAATCTGAAGTTTCAATCACGTATACACTCGAGTCTAGGTCGCCGTTTTGAAAAACTTCTCTTTACAACATGATATATCCTCAGCACTTCCCTGAACAGATAAGCATTTTCTATTTTCTGCAGGGTGAGCATGAAAATCAGCCGAATATTGTTTGACCTCTTTTCTCAAGAGGTTACTGAACTTCATGTCAGAGTCAGACTGAGACTGCACACAAACACACAGGAAGCCAGCTTATTTGGGCTACGTTTGAAGTTTTGTTTCACTGCTTTACAAGAAAAACTCGGGTAAAGCCTAAAGAAATACGTGCAAACTGTTCAAAGTGAAGGAACAAGCGAGTGTCAGTCGTGGGAATTTTGGTGCTTCTCATTCACAAGTTGAAATGAAAATCGTCTCCTCCTTTTTCCCTTTGCTTACAGCGTTAAAACAACATAAAGTGTTCCCACTGACACTCCAAATCTGTGCAGGAGGGAAGAGCAAGATAATGCCTGGACATTTCAGAAGGATGTTCACTGTTTGAGATTTGCTTAATTGCATGAATGTTAAAGACAGACAGGGGTGGAGGGTCTGGTATCTATAGAGAGAGGAAGCGCTCGCTTGTCTGTTTGTGTGTCCCAGTGCCATCAGAGTGAATTAGGGGATGTTAATGTATGTCCTGGGAATAATTTTGGTGTGAAGGAGAAGAGCCGAGGAGCAGGAAGTGAACTTTTGGCTGGTGTGTCGTGTCGGGCAGGATGTGCCGTGTGTTTCTGCTCAGAGGCAGATAGAGAGACGGAGAATGGGGAGGGAGAGGAGCAACGGAGAGAGCGCAGCAGGGTGCGCGCGAGCCATTGTCCCAGTATGAAAGAGTGTTTCGTACTTCTAAAACTCTCCATTCAGAAAACAACCAGACTGTATCTTCTCTTTTCCTTCCCCTCTTTGCTCTTTGGGAATTAAACCTCTGCTCAGTATCACCCTGATACGACGACGTGGGCTTTCAAGGGGCTGCGTGGTGAGGAAGCCGTTCAGACATTTTGTTGCACTTTCAGGATGTTGTGGATTAAACTTTTTTGGCATTCAGAGAGGATTTCAGTACAATATTCCCGCCGTGTGCCTTATTTTAAAAAAAATGAGGGCTCAGTGGATTAAGATGTGGAGACTAATGTAAATCATAGTGTAAAAAAACAGCTGTATTCCTCTTTCTCTGTGGCTGTTTTAATTAGTGAAATGACTCCAGCCTTGCTTCAATTATTGGCGTAGCCGCTCATCCCATGAGCTTTAATGCCATCTGCTTTCGTTAATGTAATTTATACGAGACACCAACCCAGAAAAGTCTCCTTGCCACCAAAGTGGTCAGGATGAAGATGTTTAGAAAGTCATAAAATTAGGATTCGAGAAAATTTATGAGTTACATAAATTGATGTAATGAAAATGACTAAATGCTAATATAAATTAGAATAAGTAAGACACACCACCAGCTGTAAGATGTGGGTTTTTGTTTTTATTTTACGTAATTCTTAAGACCACTTTATTCCTCTTTGTTGTTGTTATGGCAACCATCCAAGGGCTGTAACTCACACAACACTAATAATATAGATGACAAAAGGGTCTGAATGAGCTCCAGCGTGTGGACCTTAAAAGGATTCAGGTGTAATGGTAAAATATGCAACTCTTCCTTTAAGCTTTCCAGCAGCAGCAGCACAGAGCTGAGGTCACCTGTGTGACTCTGACAGACTGAATCACGCTGATCCGCTTTGTGTTTGACATTTACTGTATTTCACCCAGCGCGCCAAAAAAAGAGAGAAGTACCTCTGCGGTCATCACAGGTGCTTCAAACTAAAGTCAGCGACCGTTTTAGCATTTCTGCGTCCACTTGCTGCGGATCTTGTGACTGATTTTGCCTTTTTTTTCTGAGAGTCATAAGTCCATGTGGTTTTTATAAGAGCACAGGGCGGACATGACGCTTTTGTCCAGTATGCATATTTCTTTTATGAGGACAAATGTTTCGATGCAAGCGAGAGCCAGATAATATCTATAACCGAGCTTTATTTTGGCGGTAGACCAAAAGAATGCGCTTTGGTCAAACGGTATAAATGTGCCTTCAGAATCAAAAGCATCAGGGATCCTCGTGTATGAAGTGTGTGTGCGTTTGCATGTGGAGGTGTTCAGTGCACCTGTCCATCTCCGTGTCTGAACGCCTTTCCCACAGTGCAGCAGGGCGAAGTACAACGCAGAGATTTGACACTTTCTAGTCTTTATTACAAGCAGCTGCTTTAGATTTATTTCCCTGAACTGCACTTTTCTGGAAAAATCATCGTATTGTGATTTTTTATTACTCTCATGATCCCCAAGAAGTCCCACAATTGCCTTCCCTCTGGCTTTTTGCTTCCTCCTCCTCTCCCTCCTTTCAGTGCGGAGCTTGGCCACGCTCGTTCTGCGCCCTTATTACCTCCACTCACATCCTCCCTCGTCACCTCTTCTTGTCCCCTCTCTCCTCTTACACTCCACACAAACCGCCGACCCACTCCACTCCACCCGCCTCCTCCCTCCCTCCTCTTTCTCGCCCATGATCCACTTACTTCCAGCTGTTTTTCATGCTGAAGAAGACAGTTGTCTAAATGTTTATGCAAAGAGCTACTTTCTTTTTCTTTAAGCCCCTGATCAATTTCCAAAATGAACGCTGCGGCATGTGCAAAAATACACCCGGTGATGGGCCAAATGAAAAAAACAAACCTGACATGGTTATTGTTTTCTGATCCGGAGGGCCAGGACTCGGCTCACAAAGGGAGATTAAAGACGACGTATCGTTGTAGAGGAAATGCAGAATAATGTGAGGGGAAATGTTCAGGCGAAAATATGCGCAGAAAGATGCCAGTAAAGTAAACACGTATGAAATTGCACAATTGAGCCAGGGCCTCGGCTGCACCGGCCAAGTCATGCACTGAGATGGAGAGAGGAAGAAATGGAGACGAGTAGAGAAGGAGAGAAGCAGGGACAGAGTGAAAATTGGCTTGTGTTTGATAGACGTAACCTTGAGTAAATAACTAGGAAAATCTGGTTGCTTTTCCTGTCTGATCATGTCTTTATTCTCCGTACACCCTTTGCCTTCTTTTAGGAAATTACTTTTGAGGAAATACCATTTTTTTGCCCTCTCATTGTTGATTGCGGCGGGTCATTGTGAAACGCTTTTAAGGGCCAACATCATGTCAGTGTGCCCTTTGAGAAGTCATCCTTCATTACTGAGTCATTATCACCCAATCAGCACATGGCCCACCGTGGGCTCTTTTTAGATTAACAAGGAAAGGAGGTTAGGACTGCTTTGGGCGTCCTCAGATCTTGAATACCAGCAGGACTGACTGACTGACTGGACTTTGACTCCTTAAGTTTAAAGTTTTTGATGGTTTAAGTTTCAAAAAACAAGGTTTAAAGGAGCTAAAGTGGATCAGGCAGAGGATTTGATAGATATTTCACGAACACACACATGCACACCCAGCTGCATGGCAGACTGCTGCTCCAGATTAGGTCAGATTTAATTAGGCTGCCCTGCTCCGTTTGGACTGTCACTTCTTGTAGAAAAAGCCATTATTAAAATAAAAGGGGATTCCACTGACAGCTTTTCTTCCAACACACACATACACACACTAAAACCTGAACCTCAGGCGTCTACTTCACACACACACACACACAGGCATCAAATCTGGCGTTGGAAAAAACAGTTACGTGTAGAAGTGATGGATCATGACCAAACAAAGATGATGTTTTCAAACTGTTGTGGTTCGAGCATAAGAAAGTTCAGCAGGAACACAAACTGCCACGCAGACAGCAGAAAAACAGACATCAGATATTTGCAATTAAAATGAGTCTTCAAAGGATCTTATTTCAGCAGGTGTCCATGAAACTTTGAGTGTTTAGTTCTGTGTTTCTACAAAGTTCATACCAAAAAAAAAAAGAAGCTTAAAGCAATATAATTAAACCAAACAGTATTTCTGCATTTCATCGTCAATATTGATCTTACTTTTGCTTTAATGAAATGAATGTATTTATTGCATGTCCAATTGTTTTATAGTTAATTTTTGTGTAAATTTCAATTGTGGGTTTTTATAATAATTTCATTTAATAATGGTGTCTTGATACAATCATGTTGATAAGGCTTTTATTTTTTTAAAAGCCAATGTGAATTATGTCATGTTTGTTTTGTTTGTTTCTATACTCAGAATCAACTTGGCAATAAAGTGAATTGCATAACGGATTTACAAAGAAGTGTGTGGTGTGTTTTGATTTATTATCTTTGCTCATACAAATCAAATAGAAATAATTAGACGAATTTAAAAAAAAAAACTATTACTCTCAGATTGTCCCCATTAAAAATCAAACATTTCCAAGAGCAGCGCAGCAACCATGTGCTTTGACACATTTATTGTGCATTATATGAGTTTCACATGAGACCAGAGGAGAAAAATACGAGACAAAAGACCACGGTGGAAGCCATTTCACAGCATTGATGACCGCAAAAATGAGCCACTTTAGTCCATTTTCCTATAATACATTCTCCTTCAACTCTGTGTTCTCCCACATGGAGACGTGTGAGTGCCTCATTTAAGACAGAGAATTTCAAATGAATCTCATACATCACACACAGTCCACATGCAACAATGAACAGATCCATTACTCTGTCAGCAGGAGCCCAGCCAGCCAGGCAGGCACACACACACACACACACACACACACACACACACACACACACATTTACACACACATGCACACTAACATCCTTCTCCACTGTGTGAAAATCACCTTATTATCAGCAGCACATAAGAAATCATAGAGCCCTCCAGATGTTTGATATGAATCAAGCAAATGCTACAAATCTCTTTCTGACATTAAACAAATTATTATTTCTCCTCTCGGCTGCTGTAAATCATCAACATTCACGGGTCTGAGGTGTTTCCTGAGAGATCAAGTTCACCAGGTGTAATGAAAGACGCCTCCCTCCTGCGCGCTGTTTCTAACAGTAGGTGAAAACAAAAGGAACGGCAGGACATCCATCACGTTCTGGCGCACTTCTCTTACCGCGTTAAAGGAAAATTCCACTCGATTACAACGTGGCTTTCATTTTCATAGTTGTGGCCGTCAAACAGAATCTGACGGCTCAAAGTCCACCGGCTAGCTTTTTTCCCAGAGTTTTCAGATACATGTTCCCAAAGGTGGGGATTAACATGCCAACAGTCTTTTTTGTTGAGGCTGAGCATATTGGACTCAAGTACTCGGTGAGCTCTAGAAACATGGCAGCATCAGTGCACTCATACCAACAAGGTGAGAAACACAAGATTCAAGACAGCAAAGTCAATTTTTGGATTAAACTAAGATGACTATATTCTGAATCCCCAAAAAGAGGACACAGCTACGTGGGGGCAGAGTCACAGTCGCACAAAGTTAATTTTGATAGTTTTTTGGGTCGGATCGAGAGTCGTTTACATGTTTCTAACTCAGTAAGTCCACCTGACACAAACCCGAAACTGTCTATACAAAACCCGGGACATTTGAAGGATTTAATAAACTTCCCTGGACAAAGCTGGACAAGGCCGGGCAGCCCCCAAAAAAAGAGGACATGTCTGGGTAAAAGGAGGACGTATGGTCGCCCTAATTAAACTAAAACAGAGGATAGGGTGGAGGTAGAGTGTACAGTCTAATCCAACAGGAGTAAGCTCCAGTTGAACAGACTTTTTGGCTGTTCCCTTTCTAATTGTCCGCCCCTTTCTATTCAAAACAGGGGAGTAGGGCAAGGTGGAGCGTACATCCTGACCTGACACAGGTGAGCTCCAACCAACACAGGCCTTTAAACCCTGTTCTCTTTTTTACATCCTTATTCGCTCTTACCCACCTCTCCTCCCTCATAGAAACGGAAAGAATAGGGGAGGTAGAGTGTACAGTCTAATCCGGCTGAAGTAAGATCCAAACTTAACAGACTTCTTGCCTGTTCCCTTTGTCTGCTCCATCCTATTCAAAACAGGAGAGTAGGGGGAGGTGAAGCGTACATCCTGACCTGACATGGATAAAACAGGCCTGGTTTTTCCTTCCCTGTTCTCTTTCTGAAATTCTAATTCGCTTTTACCCACCTCTCCGCCCTCATGGAAACAGGAGGATAGGGGAGGTAGAGTGTACAGTCTAATCTGGCTGAAGTAAGCTCCAAACCTCCAACAGACTTCTTGCCTGTTCCCCTTCTTTTTGTCTGCTCCCTATTCAAAACAGGAGACAAGGGGGAGGTAGAGCGTACAGCCTAACCTGACATGGATGAGCTCCAACCAAAACTGGCCTTTAACCCTGGAGGGATGACTCTAACATCCCTCCTATCATCTATTATCCTGACTGGGTTGTGCTGACATTAGGCGTCATGTGCTAGACACAACTCCTCAGTCGTGTGTAAATATTGCATGAGGGTGTGATGGAGTGGGTTTATAACTGAGGGTTTATCCTTTTACATTAAAGCATCTCTAGTTTATTTAGCAGTAGAGCTACTTGAAAGAGTTTTTAACTGGCTATGAACCAGACTCAAGTCAGCAGTGGGGCCTGTTTATGACCTGTAGAACAAACCAGACTGTGTTAGACTTTGTCCACAGGGGGCGCCAAAACCAACACACACAGAAAGCCAGTTTGTGCAGTTTTTCCTCAGTGCATATGAAGTCTCATATATGAAGCGGTTAAAATGTTTATCATCTAAAACCTGGTGCCCACTGCTGTTTCCAAGAGGCCAGATCTACACCCTGCCTCTCTGCCACTCACACAGTAAATGGCAAAGGTCTGAGGTGTCCGGTGTCGGGCAGTGGGTGCCCTGTACAGGCTGGTAATGTCAAAAGAGGTCACAAAGCAGGTGCCAGGACTTAGTTACCTCACCACAGAGAGACTCCACTCTTCCTTCTGCCAGACATGAAGATGTTTGTGTATGGAGTTCACATGCTTTGATCAGCGATGGAGCAGGGAACTTTCTGGATGTGAGCGATGTAAACTGGGAAAGGATCTGAACCCTACTCACTTGAAATAGGACTAATTGTGCACAACATGAATCGATGAGGTTGGAAATCATTTAGTTTCCAGTGAAGTAGATGTTTGAGTAAACGTGTGTTTCAGATGGAGAGTCAATCAGGGAGTCAAAAGGTCAAAGGTGGTGTGGGTGCAAAGATGCACACGCACACTCACTGCTGCGCCTCCTCCTCCATCAAATCTAAGCAAAGAGATTAGAAAGTGTGCACTCATGATTTCCTTACAGCACGTTACATTCATTCAACTACCAGAGAATCAAGATTACACAGAAAGATGCATCTGAATTTCCTGCATCTTTTATGCAATTATTTCCCCTTTTCACTGATTAATTTTTAGCTGATTTAATGATGAAGACATATACTGGAATTCAGAAGGTTTTTGACTCAAAGAAATGAGCAAACAACAAGATATTATGATAATAAATATTTATATTTTTCATTAGTTAGTAGAAAAACACAGAGTAAGAGACTCTGAAGTGCAATGAACAAACAGTATACAGCTGATTTTATACTCTAAATGTCTAAAAAGTCTCTGCACTTTGTGAAGTTCTCATTTGAGCTCTCAAACACACGCTTGGCAAAGTACCTGAAACCGTGCCCTGCTTTCCTCCTCATGCATGTTTTTGCCAACTAGATAATAAATAAGAAAAGTGATAAGTGATACAAGCTTTGACAAATTAAACAGAGACGGCAGAGGAAGTAGATAAAGGTGAAAAAGCAGAGTAAGAACTTAAGAAATGTTCAACTCAGTTTTTTTTAAATAAAAGTCTATAAAAATCATTGACTATATATAGGATAGACCACATGCCTGTATTTCCGCCCATTATGAGATGTGAAACTTAAAGACTGCTAAGATAGGTGCTGACTTATTCTGTTGATGGTGTTGAACTGGGACCAGAGCCCTGTGTCTGGTGTTACTTCTATTCTGCTAACCAAAACATTTTAACTCACTAATAAAACAGTGATGATCCCATAGACTGATCAAAACTAGAACCGATTTTTCCTGTTGATTTGAAGCTGAAACTTACGGTTATGGAAAGTTCATTGACCCTTTGTGCCACTGTCTTTTAAGTTTACACACGCTGTTCCTCTTCTACTTGCCTAATCTGATGCTGAATGCTGCAGGAGCTGTACTGTCAACAGAGCTGTCAATCAATCATCTTTTTTTAAATCAAATAACAATAAAAACTTAACCTGTAAAAAAACGAGCACTTGGATATAAATCAGCACAACAAAAACTGACTTTAAAGGCAAAGACCATTTCCAAAAATCCAAAAATGTTGTCAACGTTTATCTTTATGTTATAATTTAACCTATGTGTGGTCTATGATCTATTCTGCAGCCAGCCAGCAGAGGGAGCTCTAAAACCTTTGGCTTCACAGTCGGTGAACTCTTATGGCATCACTTGAATACACAATCTATGATATAAAAAACATGGACGGCACAACAGCTGTCCTAAGTGAGGCCAAAACTTTAAGAGCTCACCCTCGTGTCCAGCTGCAGTAAAGGCGTGAAAGCCCGCCCCCTTCTGTTTCTAAAATATGAAAAAGGGAACACACTGCAAAACTTAAATAGATGTAAAAAATGTTCAAACACGGTTTCTGTCACAGTTCTGATAAAGTTGATTAATATGCAAGTGTTCAACTTCTTGAAAAAGTTTGCCAAAATTAGTCATTTAATGTGGGAAACAAGGGGAGTGGCATCATGACTGACAGCTTTATTGACAAATGCCAGCTTTTCTTCTTATTATTGTTTTTTAAATTACCTATCAAAAAGGTATTTTGGCTTCACTTTCACAATGAGAGGAGAGGGCGTGCCGTCCACATTAAAATGATCGGTGGTTTGAAAACATTTATGACTAACACATTAGAAGTCCATTGTGCAGGCCCTATAATGGGTTTTATAACAATGTGGCCTCATGGTTTTTGCAGATGGTCTATTATTTGGAGAGAAAATGCATCAGTGTTCTGCTCTGAAATAAGAGGGTGCAACAGGCCAACAGATTGGGGAGCCCTCACACTGAGAGGAAGTGGTTTTAAAGTGCAGTTACCTGCGTATTGAGTTAAAAACGAAGGTTTTCAGGACAGCATATACACAGAAACAGATCCCATTCCTCCACAGGGAGTGTGTTGTGTTTCAATAGGTGAATTAAGTTTGGATTAAGAAGTGGAAAACAGAAAGAAGGAACGTGAAGACAAACATTCAAGTCCACTGAAATGACCC